ATATGTGACTTGCACGTCATTTTGATTGAAAAGCAGATCATTCAACTCGTGCATAGGAAAGCAAACGTGAAGCGAAAAACGGTCCGACGAAGGCTAATCATACAAACTCCTGTCGCTCCTCCAGAGGGAACCGCTCGATCTTCTTCTTTTGCTTCTCATCCTTCTCTAGAATGAACATTTCGACCTGTGTGACATGCTTTCGGAACTTGCGAGGTGCAACCTTATCTTCGAACATCTCGTCAATCTCGGCCGGAGTGCGGCACGCGATCTCAGGGAGGACAAAATATCCGACAATGAATGAGATGAGGCCGGTAACACCGAAACTAGAGTAGGTTAGCGGACCATGCAACTGAAATCTCGGCAAAGGGTCGACTTACAAATATCCCGTCTGGACGCTCCAGACTTTGAGCATAAGAGGGACCGTGTAGTTAAATGTGATACCAAGACAGAACGATCCAATAAGCGCTATGGACGCAGTCCGTGCTCGGAGTCGCTGGGCAGGAATCTCAGCGACATAAGAGTATGCGATTCCCGCACCACCAATGACCCCGAAGTTGGAAACACATGCGAAAAATACCTGTGAATAAAGTTTGGTCATTTAGAGCCGTTCTAGACAGCATGATAGGCGGTAGCACTCACGAGGACGCTTCCCAACTCATGGCTCTGGTAGTCAAAAGATCCCAGTATACCGATGGCGAGAATAGCAACCGCACCAGACCCGAAGAGTCCCAACGTCAGCCATCGCCGACCGACGTTATTGGAACAGGCAGAAGTAAAGAGAACGCCCAAGAGTTGGCAAACTCCGAGGATAATTGTAACTGTGAAAGGGTCCTTGTTCCCCGCCAATTGGACTAAAGCTCGATTAGCAATAGATAGACAATAACCAGCAAACCCCCGTGCAACCGAAATCCATGCCGACTTACAGAAATACGTCCCATAGTTATTCGTTACACTCTGACCACAGAGCTGTTGCATTCCTTTTGGCCAGAATGCGATGAATAGCCGCCAAAGGTTAACGCCCTTGAATATTTGAACAAGTTGATACTTATTTTCGGCTTCGACAAGTTTCTCGTGTTCGACGGTAGCAATAATGATTGACTGCCTTGAGGTCAATTAAAGTTCAAAGGAACATAGAAGACTGAAACCCACCAATTCTTTCTTTAAGTCATAACCTGTTACACCCTTGTACGACGATGCCAGCACCTTTTCCGCGTCATGGTACTTGCTCCTTTGGACGAGCCACCCTGACTTTGATCAGCTTCAGATGAGACAGACAGTTGTATTGGAGGACCGCACAAGGACTTTCGGGTACGAAAAGGTTGATAATCAGCATCACACCTAGCATGCTCCACTGCGTGTAAATGGGAATTTTGTAATTGTAAGGGTCTCTAATGTGTAGCTGCTGTAGGGCCAAAGGGCCGAATATCTGCGCCACGACATACCAACTACATGAAATCAGTACCATGGCAAGGCCTCCACCTCGGCTTTACGACATTGGCATTTACTTACAACATATACGAGGTAGTGAGCAAGCCACGAATTTGGGTAGGCGACTGCTCAGAGATGTATACGGGATATGTCGCTTGCATCATGCCGAGCCCCGCGCCAGCAAGCAGCTTAGCAAAGAGCCAATGGAGCCAGTTCGTCGCCACCGATTCAAGTATGACAGACTACCCCCCGTCAGTCAGCAGTAGCCAATAATTCCTTTCGTATACCGGTTGCTCAGGCAGAAGGGCACGCAACTTACGACAACAAGGGTCAGCCATGTAAGGTGCATGGCCCACTTACGGCCCAACATATCGGTCCACATCATAAGGGCTGCCACGCCGACGAGTTGGCCTGTCGACAACATGCCTCCCCAGACGGCAACATGGGTAGGGTTGAGTGTAGTGCCTCCACCCGACATTTGACGGATGAAACCCCTGTTTGAGACGATGGAGTTTGTAATCGCAATCTCTGGAATCCAGAATCAGCATATCTAAGAACAGGTTGCGGTTATAATCAGCGAGATGGAGGCGAAGCCTACGGTAGCCTTCTAGCGCAGAACTGAATGCGGCCAGCATGCTGATGAGGGCTACACGCCAGTATAAACGTAGTCCCTGGAGCATCGGCAGGTCATCCAGCTCAGATCGCATCTGTATGTTATCGCCTGAGACAATGGCCTCGTCGATGGCCTTTGGATGGGTCTCTGCATTTTTGAGCAGGGTGGCAGGGGGCGCTGTGCCATGGTCTTGGTTGTTGCCGTTCATGGTCAGGTATTCCTGGAAGTATGCAAAAGCTGCTGGTAATTGTTAAGGAAGTGATCCTAAGCCTGGTGGCAGGGGACCTCGATTTCAAGTCTATGAATCCGGGTATGCGGTGCCGTAGGAAAGCACTGAGCTCCGCTCGCATTGAACGACGATGCTTGTCTTGGTTTTCAAACTCCTAAATACATGATCATGCGACTCTACGAAAGAATCCAGACAAGGAAAAGGATCAGATCCCTAGGCCGATGGGCTTCCGTCGGAGACTAGGCCGACAAGAGCGATCCCGGAATCTCGGTATAGATACTTAGGTAGTTATTCTAATTTTGCAGTCCCCAGAATCCCGGACAGCCGAGTCAACTATGATATCTCTTCAATATCCAAGTCTGGTCTACCTCTTAAGTTCCTATCTCACCTGCCCTACGATTGATTATCCCCTTCGTCGTTTCGACTAAGTTATGTAGTATGTGATTATGGAGTTGGATGTAGTGCAAACTTAGGTCTCGGCGTCGTTATGCCGGAGAAAGGTCAAGCAAGCTCCACCCCCACACAGCTCCGTTACGCCCCGCGCTACCCCAGTGATGTACGAAGTACATAGCACTGTTCAACCGTCCTCCCAGGCTTCACCCTGTTCCTTATTCTAAACAATCTCCTACATAGGGTAGAAAGCACTATCCCAAGCTGGTACTCTCCCCTGAGAGTTATGTGAACCAGGTGAAACGAAGAGGAGATAGTGACTCGGCGACCTATGCCAGGTTGGACCGGCTAGTAGAGTTACTACTCACTTTAACAATCAAGCTTTTCGGCGTCAAAGTGATGTCCCATGCGGGGTTTAGTGCTCAGGAAGGCGATTAGGCACGTAGGACGTCGGCAAGCCCCCGATGCCGTCATATACCGAGTATTCTATTTCAGACGTCGGCGAGTACTCCGATGAGAAAAGCGAACGCTTGGACCCCCCACAGCCGAATTCTCAATTGGCCATGTTCGTAAAGTAAGTCTTGACCGGAACCGGATTTCACAAGGGGCAGGATCTATAGAATTTCCCCTACGTGGTCAATTTGGTGCGAGGAGTAAGGGCAGACCGAAAGTGCTGTTAGAATTATTCAAAGCACCAATCAGCCTGGGCATAGTTCCTACCGTCACTCATTATCAAATCAGCAGCCCCCCTCCCCAAATCTCAGCGTCTCTTATCCCAGGCACAATCTTCGTCGGGCAGAATGGCACCAACGCGTATTATACTCGACACCGACCTGTCCATGGGCGCAGGCGCGGACGTCGATGATGGTTTTGCCCTCGCTCTGGCACATGCGGATCCAGACATTAAGCTGGACTTGATAACCACGGTGAACGGCAACACTGATGTCGAAAGCGCTACAGTCTTGACCGGTGTCCTACTCAATCGCCTCGGTATCAATGATGTACCCCTCATCCAAGGTTCGGCCACTCCCATCATCCACACTGATTTGAAGCGTACGCCCGCCTCGCACGTTCTCAAGCTGAAAGAGAGTGCACGGCCTCGGACCTTGGGCTATGCCCCCGTAGCCATAGTCGAGCACATCCTTACCAATCCCGGTGACATCACACTCGTCGCCATCGGACCTCTCACCAATGTGGCTATCGCCTTGTTGCTCGACCCTCGGATAAAGTCGGCTATCAAGGAGCTTGTTATCATGGGAGGGCTCTTCTTCGGAACCATGTACTCCCGAGATAAGCCGGGGGAGTTCAACGTCTTCTCCGATCCCGAGGCTGCCCGCGCCGTCCTTCGTTCCGGCATCCCGCAGCGTTGGATCGGTCTTGACTGTACACTTAAAGTTCGGTTAACCATGGAGGATGCCGAAGACCTCAAGCAGTCTCCCTCGAGTTTCGCATCTTTTGCCGGAGACGCCTCTGCCACGTACATAAAACACCAAGCCGTTAGGTTTCCGGGGAGACCTAAAATGACCTCTGTCCCAATGCACGACCCTCTGGCCGTTGCTGTTGTATCGAGGCCTGACTTATGCGAGTACAAGGATATGGCAGTGTCAGTTATCACGGGAAATGGTGAAGCGCGCGGCGTCCTGATTGCAGACCGATTAGAGACGCCCTCGCCCCCTACACCGAATTGTCGGGTCGCTGTCAGCGTTGATGCCGAGGCGTTCCGATCGCATTTTCTATCGTTGATCAAGACGCTATAATGAACTTTTATAGCTTCTCTAAATCGAAGAGGGTTCAAAATAGCGTGCCATTTTAAAGAAATGCCCGGTGCTCCTGTTCCCTGAACCGTGATAGAGACGCTGAAAGCTCGTCACCAATGAAAGCACCCCGAGCCTCGTTTGCTTCATAGATATTCTTGGGTTCTTCATCTTACATGAAGACACGTGACCGGTGGCGTGTCAACATTACTTTTTGCAAAGTGCCAACAATATTGAAAGAACCTAAGCTGTACCATTTGGGATAGTTTGCGGGCTTGCTGCTGCATTCCCCTTTATCCTGACATCTTGCGGTTACCTTGCGTGGTTGTTATGGTACACGGGGGCTTTTCCCTCAATTCTAAGGCTAAATTTGGTCGACAGTAACAGTATATCAATTGTATGCTCTATCAGCTGCGTCAATAGGAACCGTCTGTAGGGGAATGAGATGATACACTTAGCCGTATTCATAGTAGTGACGAAATGTCTTGTCTTATACGATTCAATTGTACGAGTTTCGTACGTATACGATGTTGGACGTTCACAACAGTGGCAAGGACAACTAGTCTGAATCGAATGTCCAAAGTCTTGGCACAATCTCCGCATCACCATTTCCCCAAACTCCTAGTCGCAATTTTGGATCAATTCCAAAGTTTCTCCGCACCAAGATCGAGGTGCATAGGCAAAGTAGTATTGCAAGGCCCCAGGTATTTACCCGGATGACGCTTGCGATATTAGCCGTACCCAAAGCCTCGGCGCCACAGCCGATCTTGCCTAACGTTATATCAAAGCCTGTTTCTGATTCGCCAATGCCATAAGCGACGAGCTCGCACAGGTGCGCGTAGTATTCACGGGCAGAGGACCACAGCATACACCCAGAGGACCGGATTCTTCTAATTCATCACCACCGGGAAAGCATCCTTGTCTCCGCATAGCCGGGTTGGGGATTTGGAGTCGATGCGGTGCCGTGTCTCCAATTGCTTGGCGTTGCCGGTGTATATGTAGCATCACTGCCCTGCCCGACTGATGGGATGCGTTTCGCACCTAGCTGACTGTTGCGTCTTCTCTGGAGCTTCTGCTGAGCACGAATTGGACAATATGCGTAGCTTCACTCTTGCCCTGGCCACGGCGCTGCCATTTTGTTCGGCCCAGCTCCACCTCGAAGCGAAGAAAGCTGGCCTCAAGTACTTTGGCGCAGCCACAGACTCGCCTGGACAACGTGAGAGAGCAGGCTTGGAAGCTTCATATGCACAGTATGATGCTATACTGAGGGACAACAATGAGTTCGGCCAGACAACCCCCACCAACGGCCAGAAGGTTTGTTTCTGCCCATACGCCATTCAAAAACGCACTGACTAATTTGTTTGGTAGTGGCTATTCACCGAGCCAGAGCAAGGCGTATTCAATTTCACTGAAGGCGACATTGTCACGTCCATTGCACAGGAGAATGGCTTGATACAACGTTGTCATGCCTTAGTCTGGCATAGCCAACTGGCGCCGTGGGTCGAGTCGACTAATTGGACTGCTGATGCTCTGAGGGACGTCATCGTCAACCACGTTACCAAGGTGATGGAGCACTACAAAGGAAAATGCTACGCCTGGGACGTTGTAAACGAAGCTCTCAATGAGGATGGTACCTATCGGGAATCAGTCTTCTACCAGACTCTTGGAGAGGAATATCTGAAGCTGGCATTCAGCACGGCGGCAAAGGTCGACCCTGATGTGAAGCTCTACTACAATGACTACAATCTGGAATCGCCAGGCAACAAGAGCGAGGGCGCAGTTCGTATCGTCAAGTTGCTCAAAGATAGTGGCATCAAAATCGACGGTGTAGGACTTCAAGCCCACCACGTTGCATCTCGGCCTCCTACCTTGGATCAGCAAATCGCAGTCATCCAGTCCTACGCTGCATTGGGAGTAGAAGTCGCCTACACGGAATTGGATGTCAGAGTCGAGCTTCCTTTGAATTCCACGAGCCTGGAGTGGCAGAAACAAGCCTACAAAAATGTAAGAGTTCTATGTCATAAAACGCCCTTTGCTGCTCTCGACTAACAATCAACGACAAAGGCCGTTGGCGCCTGTGTACAAAGTCCTGCATGTGTCGGTATTACCATCTGGGACTTCTATGACCCCTTCAGTTGGGTCCCGGCAGTATTCCCGGGTGAAGGCAATGCTCTGCTCTGGTTCGAAGACTTCAGCAAGCACCCGGCCTACTATGGCGCCATCGAGGCCTTGAAGAACAAGACCGGCGGCCACACTTGCAAGCCAAAGGCGCGCCGTTCAAGAGATGCAGTCAGGAGCAATAGACTCTACGAGTAGAACATCATGACGCGAATATAGACATATGTTCCTTAAAGACCCTTCTTTCATTGAGACCAATGTTTGCATGCAATACCATACTCTATGATGTATCCATGGATCCGACTAACCCGCGCAGAATCGAACCCGAAACTTGAACGAACGCAAAATGTACCTTCTGCAAAAAGAAGATCGCAACTATCTTCGCGGGCATAGTGAGTAGGATTTGGAGTCCAAGTTACAAAGATATAGTAAACCAACGCCCCTGTTGATTGAAATTAATGCATTGGAGGGACCTAGTTTAGCTGATCCTTCGGGCGACAACCTGGCTCATTAGAGCCAATAGGGTGCGATGCCATTAGCTTCGCCTGTGCCTAGAAGCCGCCGATTGTTGCTGTGCCGCTACAGAATGGAGACGCCGTTAAGATTAGCGGCCCTTGTAAGTCAGGAGGGAGATTACATGACTGAGGTACAAAACGTCCACGGACGCCCCCGATGAAGTGAAGATTGCCTCCTTGGTTCCTCTAGAGTTTACAGCCTGGAGAAGACTTTCCAGCACCGTTAGCGACCTACTTTTTGGGGATCCACCAAATCTTCTAAACTATAACTTATCTCTAAGCTTCAATAGAGCTGCTTGTGCTTGCATCCACAAAGACCCACGAACCTTCGCGATCGACCGTTCCTGGAAGCGCCAAATTACCAATTATGCATTCTTCATACGCCATTCTTGCACTCGTGCCTCTGGCGCTGGCCTACGAATCTGGCGTTGAGGACAGTGAATCCATCCCTGTGACCGAATACCTGTTTGAGCTCTACGGAACTGCCACACCGACCGGCGTAACCGGTGCTGTCGCCACTAGCCTGGCTTCCGCCGTCTACAGGTTAGTGTGAAGTTTCCTTTCCTTTGGGGGCGGGGCCTGCCGCTCCCAGAAGACTCAGCCAAGCGGAAAATGCGAAATGCGAGATGCTTACCAAACTATTCAATACAGCTACCAGATGGCGATATACACGAATGATGCCTACCGGAGCGCAGCTAATGATGTCTACTGGGCTGCTGCCACCGCCACGAACTCGGACGAGATCATGTCGTCCTTGAGAACTCAGGGTGCACTGAACGGCGACTACACCACCGCCGAATGGTATACTCGAGACGTCCCCCAGAGTGCGCAGGACGAAATGAAAAGCGTCTTTGGCGGCTTCCAGTCCGTGGCGACAAGCGTGCTCGGCGCTGCAGAGACGACGGGTGACTCTGCTTCCACAAAGGCGACTGTGACTGGGACGAACTCTACCCCGTCCATCACGTCGACCCCGACTTCGGACTCGGCATCATCAAGCAATGCTAGTGCCACATCTAGTTCGAGCACTGCTGGTGCCTATGTGGCCAAAGCCACAGGGGGCCCCGTGGCTGGTCTGGCCGCTGCCGTCGCGATTGGCGCTGCCGTCTTTTACTAGACGTAGGTATTGCTCCAGCGACTGGTGTTTTGGGCACCATCAACAATCTATCATGGCACAATGCCATCTATTGTAGAGGGACAAGAGCAAGAGCTCGTATCTGTCTGTAGGCTCATCAGCACCACTTTTATTTTCTTTTGTACAATCATGGCAGCGCATGGCACGGAGCGATCTCATCACGTTAGAGAGCATTTTCGTCTCGTAAGGTGGAAGGAACTATATACAGAGAAGTTGTATGGACAGTAGAAAGGGTTAATATATGTACAAAAAGCTTTATGTACCAGCGGGATATATCAAGTATATCATAATAAGACTAAATGACAACGAAGAAATTCCTTGGCCTTGTGTTGGTGTCATGTACTGACACAGATTTAGTAGAATAGCTCTATAGCGTCAAAGATCTGGCAATATTGTTAGCCGACATTCCGTTGGGGCTGTTGTTGAATCCTACTTACCACATTGGGGCTGAGGTAGGTAGTACCACTGCTGCCACTGATGACATTGATTGTTACCGTGTTGGTTCCGCTGACCAGGGTTCCGCTAGGAACACTACAGTCATACACATCACCCCATCCACGGTACGCGCCCCTGGTGACTCCGCGGCTATCGATGGTGGTCGGCGCCCCCGGAGCAGTGCAGGTGTAGCCGTTGACCTGAGCTTGGGGCCTGCCACCAGCGAAAGATAGCGTTGTAGCGATACGGAGAGTCGCGGTCTTGCTGATGGCCGAGGACAGCGAGAAGGTGATCTTCTGTCCGTTGTTGACGTCCTTGAACATAGCCATGGGCCAAGAGCCGGTAGCCGTGCTGGCAACGGATCCAGGTTTCCAGTTAGACATGCGAGAGTCCGAAGGGTGCATACGCAGCTGCTTGTCCGCATTAAGGAAGCCGGTAGGCTGGCCGTCGTAGTCGCCCAGCCTAAAAACGGTTGTGCGAGCAGCTGTCAAGATCGCGTTGTTCGCGGCGATGTTGGAGGTGACTGTAGAGCCAGCATTGACGGTCACAGATTGAGTTGCAGCCAAGAACTCATCCTGGTAGCTGTAGAACGCCAATTAGCCTGAGACAAATATACTTTGGGGCAAGTCCCTTACAGTTTCATGGTGTAGGTGCCGGCAGCAAGAGCTGGCGAGGTGAAGGCCCCTGAGCTAGAAGCGTAAGTCCAGGCCTGGTAGTTGGCGTTGTACCAGTGGACAACGATGGGGAAGTTGCTGGAGACACCAGTGGCAGTTCCCTTGACAGTGCCACGGCCGGAAGCGCCGACATATCCAGTCAAGCCGAGGTTGTCGAAGAACGAAGTATCATAGGCGCTGGGTGTCGGAATGCCTGAGCGAGTGAAGGCAAAGACGTAGGGACCGTGGAAACCAGTGCGATAGGTTTCGGTCTGGTCGTGGCCCGAGTTCATGTAATAGGTAACCGAGTGGTACGAGCCTCCCCAGTTCAAGTTAATGTCTCGAAAGAATGGACCACCAGAGCTCTTCTCAGTAGCCCTGCTGTTCGGGCGGAGCCAGCAGGCATGCACAGAACCCGAATCTGTAGCGCAGTAGACGTTGTTGTCGATGAATCGCTCAGAAGAGTAGAACTTGCTGCGAGTCTGGCCGTTGACGTTGTAGACATCAGATCCCTCAACAGCGCTTCCGCCGGCTGTGTCGGAGACATCGCCGTATGCCGAGTAGGCCGGGTAGGTCTCGGTGAGTCCTGTGAGACGGAAGATGAAGCGCAGCTCACCCACGGTGGGCTCCTTGTTGATGTTGGTTCCCATCCAGATGTTATTCTCGCCATTGACAAAGACCATGTAATGGGTCAGGTCGAACTGGTCATTCTTAGCCACGCATTTAACGATGACATTGTTCCCTAGGCCATGGTGTCAGTCTGAAGCTTTTCTCCTGTCTGAGCCGCGTGAACTACTAACCACTCTGGGTGTAGGATACGGTGGCCGAGCCCAAGCCCGAGGCAATGTGACTGGCGGTGCTTGAATACTGGTATTCAGTATTGTAGAACTTCAGCGAGGTAATGTCACAGGAGCTGCGACTGATGACCGTGGTGAAGCCATAGCTGCTCTCTACATTGATGGTGTAAGAGGAGCTTGAAGTGGTGACAGTGATACCCGCAACCGAGGCGGCCCACGACGAAAGAAGCGCAAAGGCTGCTGCGAACCTCATTTTGGCTGTTCTACTGGGTCAAGACGTGCTACCTCGACTTACCCTAGGACCTGCCAAGGGGACGGCGTACCGGACGGGTTCATTTATACCGTCCATCCATGGTCCCAAAGGGTCCCCGAAAGATCCAGGAGTGGTGGAACTGACCGTCAAAGGCTGCGATCTGGTTCAGTTACATTTCGAACGGATATATGGCGGGACTTGCTCAATCAAGCTGGTTCGAAGCGACCTAATGTTGCGGGGCTCCAGGGTGCATACCCAATCAGGACTCAAATTAATGCAGCTTGGCAGGACTGCTGCGTAAAGAGAAGCCTTTGCAGAGATCGGAAAATTGAACGCTCGAGGAATATGCTGCTGTTGCAACCTGACGGGCCACTACGCCTTCGGTACATTCTGTGCCGATCGTGGTCCGCAAATCCCTAGGTCCGAGAAAGTGCCTCTCGAAGGCTCCCAAGCAAGGGCACCGTATGGCGGCATGTGACGACTATGTCGTATAATACACGGGCTCGCGCGCTCGAACAGGTAACCTGGTAGAAGCTAGAAGTGAGATTGCTCAGTTGACCGGAAGCTTATGCGCCCCTGTTCGTATACGAAAAGAGAATTGTCCCTGCATTTTCCACCACTTACACCCTGGCGACCGGGGATCCGCCTGCACCCCGCAATCTCCTGTGTGTGGGGGCTGTCGGCGTGCATGGTGTGGTGGCTTGGTACGTGCCGTGGCGATGCGTAGAAGGGCATCGCGCCGCTTCTACACCGCTGGGCTGGTTCGATTCCGAACGAACTGCGGGAGGTGGCTTTCTCGGCACACTTGGCCATGTTCGCTGACGATTTGCTTCAGGGAGCCAACGTTCATCTTCGCCATAACAAGATGGATCATCGCACTTTGTTATGATTATTTTAAGCTTATTCTTGCTTCAAACATCGGCCGTACAGGTTTTGCATACCACACAATTAGGTACCAGTAGCTATGGGCTTGGCATTATTGCTGAAGCTTTCACCCAAGGCCATGGCATGAAGTCTGCCAAAGGTGAACAACAAGACGCAATTTTCTCCTGGTAAATGGGCGCTCACGCTTTGAAGGACGACAGCGCGACTTCGCAGTGTTGACCGCACAGTCACTTTCCAATCGCTGCAGGTCGTGTCGGGTCCTCCCAGAACCTCAGTTCTAGGAAAGGATATTACTTGACGCCAGAATTTCACCATCCACCGCAACATCCCTCGAACCAGGAGTGCGACTTGCATCATGAAAGGGCATACTTATATGTTAGCCATCTACTACATTGTGGATTACTGGTTTTCCATCCTGCGTAGCATACATGTGGCGTTTCATTTCTTCCAGAAATTGTATGCTTGATGTGTTGTCGAATCTCCCTGGGGTATACCAATATGTCCGCCAATGACTATTCCGTGAGATTGCATCAACCATAAGTTGTGACTATAATAGACAGTAGCAGCTCTGAAAGTAATAGGCCACGTGTGGATCCGTGGCCAAGCTGGCTACTGTCTTATCGCCGTCTCCAGCCTTGATACGTCTCTTCATGGGTCACGTACCACATCCACTGGCGGCATGGTGTGGGGTAATATCACCGACGACATTTCGCAGAGGCCCAACTGCAGCCGTCGCGTCATTCCTGCATCCGAACGATGCTTTTCATGCAGAGGCCAAACCGCAACATTTGCCAGTTTGCGAAACGACTGCCAACGCCAGAGCAGTGATGGCCTCAAGGAACAGCCTTGTTGCGCTATGCTCAGTCAAATGAATATTGACGTTCTGGCAAGTAAATTCTCCCGGGTAGCAGACACGGTGACCTGCGGACGTTGTCATGCACCCAGCAGTTCACAAACCAGCCTTTCAGCCTTTCACCAAGTTGAACCCTCGTTGCTTTTGGAGCTGGTTGGACTGAAATCGACTCACTTGATGGTTTTCCTATTTGTCCAGTAGCGCAACTCAGCTTCAGCCCTGCCGCTGGACCCCTGGGATGGATCAACACCGAGTGGCCCATGCTTCCGCGTTCCTGGATCCATGACATCAGAGTGGTCACAAAAGCCTGGGGGAAGCTACAATCATCTGCAAACTACTTTACGCTGGTGGATGTCTGTCGTTGACCTAGCACTAGTCACGACGTCACTGGTTTTCCTTCTGAGAACTTATCTACCTCTGAGACTGTCTTCTTACCTCACCACCGTCATCGCCACTGATTCACCTCCTTGTTCACTTTGAGCAACCTCTATCCTGCTCCCATCGTCACGATTTCCCCATTCTAGAAAGACATAGAGACCTGTGCCACCCGCTAAGTGAGCAAACACAACTTCCACAATCAGCCATGGTGACCTCAACCAGATCTTCGGACACGAAGGGTGACGCGACAGCCGTCGAGTCGTCTGATCTGGCGGCTGGCACCAAGCATCAAATCGAGGAAAAGGCCTCGCCTGAGTCCAAACGACCCAAGAAAGCGGACGAGAAGACCCAAAAGACTATCGATGAGACTATGCCGGGGTAAGTCACATATCCTGTTGCTTCCACCTAGCGCCTCGTTCAATCCAGTGAGGTCGAAACTGCCCAGTCACTGATACACGTATCTAGTGTTGTCCCATCCAAGGATGAAAGTCATGAAGACGAACCATCCAATGACGGCAAGCGAGATGAGGGCGAACAGGCACAGCCTGATGAGAAGAATGGGTCAGCCGAAGAGCCAAATGCGCGGGAAGGGCGGACGCCAGCCAACATCCTCGAAAAGGGGATTATCTACTTTTTCTTCCGCAGCCGCGTGGGTATTGAAGAGCCTAGCAGTGTCAATGAGGTGGCTCGAAGCTATATTGTTCTTCGACCGATCGCGAAGGATGCAAAGCTCGGCGAAGGCACTATTGGAGATGCAGGCAACAGTCGCCTGATCGCCATTCCGAAGAAAGTGCTCCCTCTCAGTGGCAAGGATCGATGGATTGCCTTCGTGGAGAAGTCGAATACTACGTTTCAGACCCTGAAAGACGACTTCCTCGCCGCTTCTGATTATGCGACCAAGACCGCTGGCACACGTCATACTCCTGCCGCAACGCCCGTCGGTGAAGGCATATATGCTATCACGACCACGGGACGTGAGAATCACCTTGCATACATGCTCACAATTCCTTCGGAACTTGGTGAGGTCCAAAACGACGTCGGCTTGCGTGAGCGGGGTAGTTTTATCATTTCCACGAGAAACCCGGATTATGACGCTCCAAGAAACGTCGCGCTCCCTCAGGGGGCCGACTATCCCAAGGAGGTCAAGGATGAGTTCAGATCTCTTCGATGGATGGCCACCAACCCTGGGCATCTCGACTATGTAAATACACAATTCCTGTTAATTGGAGAGTCATCTGGACTTGACAAGGCAACCGAACCGCAAAAGGAAGACCAGAAGAACGGCAAGGATGAGCCTCTTGAAGAGCTGGAAAAGTTGGAGGATGAGGATACTCACAGGATGGAGGATTTGAAGGGCGACGACAGCGCCGCCATCTATGGAGATCTGGAAGTCCATGCCAAGGATTATCCAAAGTTGCAGACAACTTTCTGATGGATCTCCGTCCTCACAACCTGGGCTACTGGCATGTGATCCACTGGCGAGATCTAGGAAGAGGACCAGTCGAGCGAATAAGCCTAACCATTACATCGTTCCCAGCATAAGTGCATGGTGTCGGCAATTTACGAAACATATGCAACGGTCTTACCTTAAGTCTTCTGCATATTTTCGTATATCATGCCCGAGAACTGGCAATGCTAGTAACTGTGCAGCGTTTTAATGAAATTCAGAAATTACGTGATTTTAGTCGGAAACACGACAGTATCCAATTCAAGATGATAGGTCAACAGCTGCAGCGTGCGTCGAGGTGTGGTGGAGGTTCCCCACATCTTATAGTGAACCTCAGATGCTCACTACATCATGATTTTTGAGAACTAGATATTCAGAATCTAGAGCCAACAACGGGCTTGTAGTGTCAGAAAGTCATGGCAGCAATAGTAGACGATGTCCCAAACCGAGCGTTCCAGAACGTGAGCAGCGCTGATTCTCCACTGATTTTCGAACCATTTGACCTGCCCTCAAGCAACCAGCGTCGACTGGGCACTCCGCATGTCGAAGGCACTGTAATGCCATTGGCATTGCGTCCAGCAGAGGGTCCTGAAACATCCACAGCTACTATAGAGGGCGCCATACAGAGCATAGAGTCGCTCCAGGCCCAAGGTGGCCTTCTGACCCAGAAGCTCGCGACGCATGGGGCGTTGCTGTTCCGTGGCCTACCGATACACGACGCTGAGCAGTTCAGCAAGTTTGCCCACGCCTTCGGCTACAGGCCGCACGAGATCATCGGCATCGTCGTAGACCGCCCGCTGCTGGCCCCCAACGTCGCCCCGGCCAATGAAGCGCCCAAAGACGTGCTCATCTACAACCACAACGAGTCCCCCCAGGTGCCTCACGCGCCGGAGTACGTCTTCTTCTACTGCCACCGGGCACCGCGCACTGGCGGTGAGACACCCGCGTCCTCATCCCTGGAGCTCTTCTACCGAGCCCAGCGCGAGATTCCAGAGTTCATTGACGAGATTTCCCGCAAAGGCATCCTCAGCAGGGTCACGTACAAAATCGATCGGCAGCACGCGGGCGGGTCAACGCTGAAGCAGGCCTTTGGAAAGGAGGTGCAGGAGGAGGACGATGAGGCGATGCGGCGCGCCAAGGTTGAGGCGCAGATCGCCCGGTACGGCCGGGGCAAGCACACGACCTGGGCCTGGACAGATGACGGTGGCGTAGTCCTGACGCACAGGCTCCCCGCCGTGCGGACGCAGCCCGCGACCGGCCTCCCGACGCTGTTCACGGGCCTGGCGGCGTACTACAAGAGCGTGCAGGCCGGCCAGGGTGCTCGGAGGAACGTGACGCAGCAGCTGTTCGGCGACGGCACCCCGATCCCAGAGAAGTACCTGGCGCATCTTGCGAAGATCACGGACGAGATCCGCGTTCTGCACAGGTGGGAGAGGGGCGACGTTCTTGTGTTTGACAATGTCATTGCACAGCATGGTCGACAGCCGTGGGGAGGCGAACAGGCGGATCGTGTAGTGTTGGCGAGTCTTTTCGATGGGCAGGTGCCGGGCGCCTACTGTGACGAGGATTGGGCACAAGTTGTCCAGGCCCTGGATGGGTAGCCAAATCATGCCGAGAGAAAGATACTACTCAGATTGAAATACACGGGGCGATGCTGTATCTCTGTGAGGTTGAGTAGTGCTTCGGTGACTGGTAATACTTGACTCTGCCACAATAATAGCAATTCACATTCTATTGTATGTGATATGGCGCTCACGTGAAATCGTACACCATGAGACTTTCTGTCCCCTTAGATTCTTTCAGCACAATGACCATCTCATCGTCAAATCCAACCCAGTTTCGTCGCTCGTCGAAGGCGGCAATTGTAAGCTCCTCTTCCGTATCCTGTCCCGCACCATTTGTGGCAGTCGGGCGCACTTCGATACTTCGCCCGTCAGCCCGGCCCTCCAGTTCCCACACTCTGATCTCCTCGCCTCGACAGCTCACACTAACTGCCTTGCCGCGCGCAGTGATCTCGGCATCACTTATACCCGATGTGTGACCCCAGAGTCGGATGCCGGGTGATATCGACAAGGACGACGCATTTGAGGTGCACAAGTAAAGAATTAGGGTATTATCTGGTAGGGTTGCGAGGAGGTACGGGTGTGTGTAACATATGCTGATAGGGCCGTCTTCATCTACGCCAGATTCCAGCCTGCGTAGTCCCGTACGCGGCCGCGCCGGGGAAGTGGGTGGTGACGGTGTTTGACCTGCACCCCTAACCGGCAGAGTATATGCCAGCCTGGTCGTGGTGATGTCTGGCATTTCATTCGACTTAGAGTATCCAGCCTTTAGATGCAAGTCCTGGATGCCCAGCGACCATCCTTGTAGAGTCGAGAACGTATATGCAATGGAGGCTATTGTGCGACCAGCCGACTTGCGGATTGACAGAGCCAAAGGCGCTCGTGACGTGTGAGATTTCAGAGAAGTTAGAAGATATGGAGCAGGGAGGCTTGTTCCGGTAGGAAAAGGCTGGCCTTGTTTTGGTCTGCCCAGCGGCTTGCGTAATGGGCCCATGTGGTCCTCAGCATGGTGATCAGACTCGGGAGCAGTTTCACTATCGGAACCCCTCTCGGTTTCGCTATCCGACTCAGATTCTTTGCCTTCTTGTGGGGTCGAAATAGGTCGGTCGAAGGTGTATAGAGAGATCAGAACGGACTCGGTCGCTGTCAGTAAGTAAGGGTATGAGAATGCCGCCCCGGCTAGACCGCCGTTCGTCGACTTCTCATGCCGATATCTTCTGACCAACCGATGATCTTCAAGGTCGAGTTTCCACACACCGAAGCTCCCATCATTGAACCCGACTGCAATGCCCACTGCGTTATTTCGGATGTCTTGATCATCAAGAGCAAGACAACTCGGTAAACCCCCCGAGTCTGGATCAGATAGACTAATGTGCGCCACCAGCTGTTTCGTCTTGAGATCCCAAGCGCGTAGCCCCGAAGCCACATCTGCTGTCACGGCGATGCCTTCGCACACCTTCACAAGCATTTTCCGAGGTGCTTCCATCCCAGTGGAAGGTATGACGTCGCCGACTCTCAGCTCTTCCACAGCACATTTGCCCTTGGACCAGTTATGTCTGAGCTTATATTGCCGTTTCCAGTCGCGGGATGCCTTATCTTCTTCACTCCGCATATCCACCCACCCGCCTCTCCTGCCATCAGCCCAGACGGCTTTCCGCGACGTGTAATGTAGCTTTCCTTCACGCGCTGAGCCGTCGCGGAACCCAGGGATGCGCATCGCGCGGGGGAGGACGAATCTCGAGTAGTACAGTCGCTTCCATACTTGTGAGTCTTCCGATAGTCTGTGAAATCGTCGCGAGACCGGCGCAACCTCGAGGAGCTGCGGAAGCGATAGGTACGTGAGGATGCGGACGAGTAATTCGTCGGAGAGTGGCGATACGAAGTCGCGGGATGCACTTAAGCGGGGCCGCTTTGTCGTTGCCGATCGAGCCTCGACGTCTCTCTCGGCATCGACGCGCCTACGCTTTGGAGGCATCGTGTCCGCCGTTGTCGCATGAGCAACAGCAACGCAGAATCGATGGCGATAAAACCCGAGTTTGGTTGCAAGTCGTGATGCGACTGTTCAGGCTTGGGGCCAGTTGGGACGTTCGGCGTTATCGGACTTTGTGGGGCCCGGCATTTAGCCGCTCGACTTCAAGTGTATAGCTTTTAGTATAGGTCTTGCAACTGATAATGGCGCTCTTAGTACTTTAAAACACGAGCGATTTTCTATATATACGGAAAAGGTTATAACTAGTGTTGATACGAAGTAGACCAATCTAGCATTGGGACATGATAAGGTGATGCTCACGGATATGCCTTATAGGAAGGGCATGATGGCTTTTAACCTCCAAGAGATAATCGATTGGAAGCTCCGCATAGAGTCACTGAGGCTCTCGCTCTGAATGGTTTAGCTTTGTCTAGACCAGTCCAGTTCAGACTAGAATAATTTGATCTTGACTCTGACTCTTCATAGATGGATGCCATCATTGTAAGTTTGATTCAAGATTCGCCTATGTGCGGGCTCCGCAAATAGCGTGTCGGCGGCACCATGTGTCAAGAAATCTGAAGAACTCAGGCTCGTTACGATCTATAATTGAGAGGCATAATGATGCCAATTGAGAAACTTAGCGTCTGGCTCATGCACTGCCATATTGCGCACCATGCATCCGAGGGGCTAACTCTCCAGATTTTGGAGCGCCAGAGCGATGTCAACAAGCTCTATCCGACAAAATGGGAAGCGATTCGTGATATTTAGAAGAAGAGGAGTGATGTTTCCATAATCAGAAAGGTTGATCAGGCGGTGACGTAGCAGCGGGCCGCGCAAACTGCAGAACCCCCTGATAAATGGACACGTGAAGTGAGCATTCTAAAGATACTAGCTCTTGACATGGCTACCAAATATTTACCAAGTCTGGCGTTGCATGGCACTTGCCAGTTTTTTTCATTTGTTGCAACAAAGGTCCATTGTGAACAATCAAGGCAGCGAAGTCCAAGCAGGTGAATCTTTGGGCAGGAGTAATCGGTAAACACACTCCTAAAATTCACATGGAGACAAACGGCTCCACATGGCATCATTATTCAGAGCTATTTAAACGATATGAGATCGGCGACTTGATCCTGCTTTGTTTGGTTGCATTCATCTCGGACACATCGGTGTCGTCGATCATTCTCAACACAAGACATCGCTGTACGTTATCCGAAAACCGCATACTAAGATGAATGTCGTCAACTGGCAGTCCACCTGGCCACGGCGAGCGGGGAACTACTATCGTGACTGGACACGTTTCGAAAAAGATCTCGATGCGCTTCTTGATTCATTGGATATCAACGACCGTCGCCAGCTCGAGCAGAGTCTTCTCGAGAAACCTTTCAGAAAAGACATACTAGCAGCTGCACCTTTTGAAATTTTCCTGATGGTCGTCGACTATTTCAGCACCACTGATTATTTGCAAAGCGTGCAAGTTTCCAAGACATGGTTTTCGAGACTTGTCGACCCGCGCACAGCCAGCAGTCTTGCTGCGAAATTCGGATTCTCCTCGCTCTGGCGGATGGCAGTCAATACTCCCGGAGCTCAGATCACAGGAAACACATCTCCAGTGGACAGGATTAACGTCTCCCCTACGAAATCTCCTACCTCCTTCTACGGTTCGTCACTCACTCAACAACAAGACTCGGATGGCGGTGCACGGCTCCTTAAAGCCTTTCATTCGATTGGTCCCAGGACCAGTGGCAAGTACAGATCAGTGCTCACTAAGCTCTTCTGCTGGGAAAACGAACACTTCTTTCAGTTGGAGTGCAAATCACCAGGCACAACCGGAGAGGAAACTCAAGGCGACACATACTACAGCCAGTTTTCAAGGCCTTCCCATACCTCAGGTAGTAGGGAATCCGTTGGCAAAAATGCGATGTACCAAGATGGATTGATCACTTGGATCCCTGATAACGGAGCCATAGTCATACTCGACAACCTGAGAACCAAGTCGCGCAAGATATGGCAGGTTGTTTTGCGTCACACGGAGGAGACTACAGAGAAGCTACGCCTTATGGGAGTAAGCGGAGAATTGGTAGTTGTACGTTTCGGCAGAACGGTGTAAGTTGTCGTTTTCTGTATGAATTTATAGTGCTGGGGTATAGAACTGACAAGTACAGCCATGTTTGGAACCACAGCTCCAACGAGACGTCTGTCTTCGACACTGAAACAGAACTACGGTCATGTGTAGTAGACGCAAGCCGTTTTGTTGCAATCACAGGCTGCAGCGAAATACACGTGGGACGATGGGGAAGGCCCACGGTTTCTTTCAGACCTCTCACGCCGCTCGAAGCATACGAGGAATGCGAACAAGGCCTCGATCAGGCGCGCCATTGCCACAAGACCCTGAACGCCTTCCTCCACCCATCCGACCCGGATATTGTGTACTGCACAATGGCACTACCGGTATTGAAGCGCCGCAAGGACCGTCTACAGTTTTGGGTTAAGAAGGTTAACATTACTAACTGGAAGTTTACCTGGTGGCCAAAAATCATCAGAAGCTATGGGGGCTGGCTTCATAGCCAAGACCACCCCGACAAAGTTTTTGTCTCGACAAATACGGCAAAAGCAAACAACTTCGGCCTCTACACGGTTGGATTGGTCCTTGGGCGGATCGCACACGAGCCCGCCATCGATACTGAACTTGCCGACAGGGTGACGATATGGGTGACTTTCGATATCTTCCGGGAAGAGTTCAGTACCGACATGTGGTACGCTTGCGGCCTGCGCAGAAGGGACAGTCCTCGCCTGCCGCACTTTATAGGCTCAGCCCACTTTTGGAATCGCCGAGTAGTATACCAACCCTTTCCCGGCCCTTGGGAGCCGACGAGGTTTCATTTGCTCGTTGCGAATGTAGTCGGCAGAAACAGCGACACTGACTGCCAGAAGCTGTGTGGCCCTTGGAGGTTATGTGAGGCGGCCTTTTGCGGCGTCACCCCAACAACCCGTCCTTCTGGTGAAAACAGAGGGAAAGCATATGCCGAAGAGTACGGTGTCTCTATGGATATAAAGGGGCCAGATGATACCTCCCCGGCGTGGATCGATATGCAAGATCTTCGCCAGAGATGGGCTCGCGTGGTATGCAATCCCCATGCCTCTTCTCTTTTCCAATGTTGTCACTAGAGACATGTGTTGTTGAGAGTATTGCTAACCTGTGATCGTCACGAAGGAGGGCTGGCAAAGCCAGTATCTGTTCTCACAGGCCCCCCACGGCTACGCAACGCCAAGAATGGGCGTCTGCACCCGAGTGATGGGCGATGATGACTTCCTTGTCATGCTTACTGATGACGGTTTCATCGCGTGGAGCTTTCACTCGGATCTCGACGATCCTACTGATCACGAGTGGGAACTCGTCGAGAACGGCGGCCTTGGTTTCCACGGACCAGACCCACACGGCCACATGGTGAATTACGACCTGATGGTGCTGGTACCCGGGAATATAAAGGATTTCCCCGAGGAAGTGGACAACGACGATGAGCCGGACTATACAGACGATGAGTCCAGCGAGGATGAATCGGACAGTAATGATCAACCAGGCAACGATGATGCACAAGGTGGTCATAATACGCCGGGCAATGAAGATGGGCTGGGTAATGATGGTGAGACGGTCAGTACCTAAAGGTCTCTAGCAAGCAAAATCGACCGAGCTTTGTAGCATGATTGCTTCATTCATGACTCATGATGCGATTGCTTCCTATCTTTTGGCATTTCTTCTGATCGTAAGAGCAACTAACACGCGGTCTTGACCGCTATTTGCTCGTGGCGGCTATCTCTCTACATGTACAGACTCGCCACGGCCGTGATGTCCCTCTTGATCATCTCCTGGGCCTCCTGCATCTTCTGGTACAGCGCTGGGTCGCCAATTATCCGTGCTGCATTCTTGACCTCGCGACATGTTTCGTCGAGCCTCGTGATGGTCCTCACAATGGTGCCTTCGAGCACATCCGTCAAGTCCGTGATATTCCGGAAGCTCATACCCCTAGCCCACTCGTACACGACTTCCACGAGGCCAAAGCGCGGGCGCACTACGAAATCGCTGCCCTCCTCCGTTGATTGGATCACCTGGTGTACCGTTTGTACCTCATTGACCTTCTCCGAGATGCCGATTATAGTCTTGATGCCCTGCTCGAGCTTTCCCGGGAGTTGGGGAACAGCGTCCGTCTTCTCCTGGAACACAAAAGCGGAGAGAAGGGCGGCGATCTCGGCGGGCTCATAATCGGCCAGCACGTTGTCGAGAATAAGCTCGGTGAGGACGAGCTCATCGGCGCTGTGGATCTCGCAAGCCACCTTGCCCTTCAGTTGGATGCGGGATTCGCTGTCAATAAAGGACAAATCCTTCAGCACTTGGATGCGCTGCTCGTAGTCGGGAAGGAGCTGCAGATTCTGGTCGGCCAGGGAAGCGCGGAGTGTGGAGATATGCTCCTGAATGAGCCACTGATCGTGGCACATGGCGAACTGCTTGAGGTTAGCTTGATTGTCAGTATGATGGCAAGAGAGAAGAACATACATGTTTGAGGAAGTTCTTGCAGTGCACAGGAGCGGTATCTGCAGCCTTTGTGGCCTCATCGTGCCGCTTCTTCATGAGCTCCTGCAGCTGCATGCTCTTGATCTTCCCATAGTCCATCTCATCCCACATGTCTGTCTCCCATGTCTTACAAATCTTCAAGATTCGTTCCTTAGCTTTGACATACGTGTCGCCACCTTGGAAGATATCAGGCACAATGCCCTTCGTTAGCGTCTTGGTCAGACACTCCACATCACCCAGCGGGACATGATTCGTCTTGAAGTGGATGTTCCTCTTGGCCTGCGGCAGGAGTGTGTAGAGGTTTCTGAAAGCCGGCAAGAATGGCAGGATATCAGTGGAATCACGAGTCTCGCGCATGGTGCGAATCTCAAAAACATGAACCATTGGCTGACCGCCCGACGTTTTGGTGCTTACGCCATCGGACAACAGAATACCGGGAGTTCGTACACCATCCTTGTTGAAGATGATGAGGCGAGACTGCGCGAACATCTTGCGTCCAATTGGGATAGTGGTGATGCCCTTGTGTAGTTCCTGGGTCAACTCTCTATAAGCCATTGAGGATGTGTGGCAATCATCTAGACTCTGGTCACAGATGTCGCAAGGCTCCCGCTTGATCTTTGCCAGATCAGCCTCCGAGACCTTTACAGCTTTCTCGTGCTCAGGCAGCAACTGCTGTGTTGCATGTTCGGAGAAACTGCGCTTAATCATTTCTTCGATCTTGAGTGCCTCAACACGCAGCAAATTCAGGATCATGTTGTACGTCAGTCTGAATTGCGATCGCAGCTTGTTTGGCGGATCCAGGATCATCTTCTGCAGATCCACGACAGGAGGCGCCTCGTCACCACCACCAGGTGCAACAATGATGACAGTACCAACGGTATCCAAGCCACGACGACCAGCTCGGCCAGCCATCTGGGTATATTCGCCTGGAAGGAGGTTGCGGAAAGAATGCCCATCGTGCTTTCGGTATCCTGAGAAGACAACCGTTCGGGTCGGCAAGTTGAGACCCATGGCGAAGGTCTCGGTAGCAAACAAGACCTTTACTAGAGTTTGGGCAAAGAGGAGCTCAACCAGCTCCTTGACGATGGGCAGCAAGCCACCGTGGTGAACGGCAATACCTCTGGAGAGAAGTTCTCTCAGACGGATGATCTGCGGAAGAACACGGTCCTCGGGTCGCAGACGTGCGACCGACTTCTCAATGATCATGTGGATGTGACTCTTTTCCTGAGCTGTACAGAAGTCCTGATTGCTGAGCGCATCTGCATTCTCTTCACATCGCTTCTTGGAGAACACAAATATGCAAGCTGGCAGTAACGAAGACTTCTTGAGGAACTGCACCATGTGCACCCAGAGGTTCTTGTCCTGTGCCATTGACGAGAATCCACCCGGTCGGCCAGCTCTACCCATGTGTCCGGGTGCATGGCTGGCACGCGGAGGACCACCTCTACCGCGCTGCTGAGGCCCTCCACCTCTTCCTCCTCTGCCTTGCGGCCCACCTCGTTGAGGGCCGCCCCTCTGGTTTCCACGCTGGTTGCCTCCGCCCCGAGCTGCGGGTGCTGGTGGAAGAGCCTTGTCCTTACCTCTGAGAGCCTGATCAGCCTCCTTCCAGCCCTTCTCTGAGAACTTCTTTTCTGAGTCGACGATCTTGTGAATATTCTTGCCAGCCCAGAGGTAGTGCTCGAGAGGAATAGGTCTTTTCGGTGTAGAAATAACGTAGATGTCTTTCTGTTTCGTTCTGCCGACCCACTGGGCGAACTCCTTCGTATTCGGAACAGTAGCAGAGAGTAGGATCAGCGATACATGCTCGGGTAGCATGATGATGACTTCTTCCCACACGACACCTCGCTCAAAATCATTGACATAATGGACCTCGTCAAAGATGACGAATTCTACGTCTCGAATGAGATCGGCTCCTCTGTACAGCATACTTCGCAGAATCTCGGTCGTCATGATGAGACAACTTGCCTCTGGATTGATTTGAACATCTCCCGTGAGGATACCTACCTCATCAAAAGTCTCCCTGAAATCTCGGAACTTCTGGTTGCTTAGAGCCTTGATAGGTGAAGTATATATGGCCTTGGTCATATGCCGGGCAGCCAGCGCAATAGCATACTCGGCAACCACTGTTTTGCCAGCGGAGGTGTGCGCAGCAACAAAGATCGAGTCGCCGTTCTCCAGGTGGTAAATAGCCTCCTTCTGGAAGTTGTCGAGCTCAAATGGCCAATCTCTCGCCATATCGGGGACCAGCTCGCGGAAATTAGGGATCCCGCGATTGATGTCCACCATGTGCGCCCATTCTTTCCCAGCCTTTCTAGCGCTGGATGCTGCCAGGTTGGCGTGTGGCTCGAGAGCTGGGAATTCGACAGGCAGTAGAGCGTCGATGTCTTCGCCGTCCTCTTCGTCTTCTGCCGATTCGTCCTCCGGGATCTTGGCAGGAATGCCATCGATCTCGTCAGCACCCGGTGCATCCTCGGGCTCCTGATCCAATTCTGCCTCGACCGCCTTGGCCTCCGACTCGTTCACCTTGCTCTTCTTCTTGGTGAAATCAATCCCGCGCTCAAGGCCAGGGGCGACCTCGAGCAGACCACCTTCGGCACCCAGCTTGATAACACGCTCGAGCTTGTTGCCGGTTCCATTCGCCGATACAGCGCCAGGTCTCAGCATCTGATCCTCGCTTGCAGAAATGGAGTCCACGCTCTCCAGCCCACCAGGAGCAAACGGGAAGAAGCCGGCCGCACCTCTGACGAAATCGGCGCGGCCTGCTGGTTTGCGGGTCAGACTGGTCGAGTTCTTCGCCGTCGCACTGTTGGCCGGGACCGTGACATTCTTATAGCCTGTGACCCGGCCCTCCAGGCCCTGCCTCATGAACCTTGTGACCGTCCTCGTCTGCGTGGGCGCGATGCGGAACAGCTCGGAGAGGTCGGTGGGGCAGTCCCAGCGCTGCTGAAGGCGGTTCAGCCAGTCGGTAGAGAACTTGTTGGACGGCGCCAGGAAGTCGATCTCGAGCTGCGACTTCAGGGCGGTCGGGTCTTGCTTCTGGCGCTTTCGGGGGCCCTGCTGGAAGAGGATGTCGTCGATATTGACATTGTCAGAGCTGGAGCTGATGTGGAGCCTGTGCATGGCCTCGGCGAGGTCGGGAGACGCCATGATGACCTCTCTCGCTTCGCTACGTTCGGTCAGGCGTATGTTGACGGGTCCTCGCGAGGTTGTGCGGTCATGACATTTGGTGCTGGTGTCCTTGTCGTCAGCTACATTCATTTAGTGGGGGGTCGGGAGCATTAGACACCGATCATTTGGTGGGGTTGATTCAAATAGGTGACGCAGACACTCAAACACTCATGAGAGGAGCAACGCATCTCTACACATTTCTCTTACCCACCTCCAGCTGCCTCTCAGACAAGCGCAACTGATTTAACCCTTCTTCTCTGTAAGACTACGTCTGTCTCAGCTCTGGCCCTCGGCCTTTTCTAGTGAATATTCTGAAAACACAGAGTTGACTCTGATGATTGCGACACCCGCATGCGGGAACAGTCCTAACGTTAGGTGAGTGGGCTTCACAACAGACTCAAGATTGTGGATGTTAGTTTCGGCATTCGTCGTTGTATGCCGTGAAAGACGGTCATAAAGGTTCATAATATGATTACATCTACATCCGCGCGTCCTGTTCCATTCTCACCATAGCCCATCCATCTCTGCCATCGCCGCCTCCTCGTCAGCATCGGCGCCTGCTTTCGGTGATGACGGCGCTTTGTCTTCGTTTGACTTGGTGACCGATTTCGTTGGGGGAGCAGCCTCTTGAGCTTCGGCCTCGGCCATTAAAGCATCGAGGTCGTCCTCATCGCCATCCGGCGGTTGTTGATGGGGTCTGGTAGTGCTGGCTGGTGCGGCTTTGGCGGGGCCTGGTTTGACTGCCTCTGCTTCCGCCATGAGCGCATCCAAGTCATCCTCGTCGGGTTCGGACATGTGTTGGACGGGCTTGTGCGTGACCTGTCCATTTCCAAATATTGACTTCGGGGCGGCCCTCTGGGCTTCCTCCTCGGCCATGAGGGCATCCAAGTCTTCCTCCTCATCGGGCTCGTCAACTGCCAGCCCCTTCACGCCGCTGGTGACTTCCGTGGCTGCACTAGAAGTGGCGCCTTTCCTTAGAGCCTTCGGAGTTGCATCATAGAGATCATGGTCTCCGAACAGATCATCGCCTAGAATCGATGGGGTTTTCTGGCGTGCTTTGTTCTGGAATATGGGAGCCACCCTGGGGGGGAATTTGGCAGCATCGCGGCCCTCTGTTTCCGCAAAGGGATCTGCATCATCATTGTCGTCTACTGGGTCTCTCGGCTTTCCCTCGTCAATCCATTCCATCCGAGCCATTCTCATGCGTTTGGTGTGGCCTGCTTTCTCCACCATGGCTGCCGCATCCAGAAACTTTGCTTTGGGAAAGAGATCATCCAGCCAAAGCTGGTAGAACGACATAAGACGGGCAGTGTCCGAGAACTTGATGACTTCTTGTCAGCCCGCTTCACCTGCCATGCTCGATGTGCAGTGCAACCTACCTCGTGCCCTTTGCCTTTGAACTTGAGATCGCCAGCTTTCCTCCGCAGCTTCGGGATTCCCTTGTCCGATAGAAGACGCGTGTCGTCGAGCTTCACCCTGGGGACTCTGGCCTTCTTCGATACAGCAACTGCCTCGTCAATACCAAGCCCAGAGGCGTCCTTGCGCTTCTTGGACTGTGACTCTGGAGCATTGGTGTTGTCGTCGCCCGATTCGGCAAAGGGATCCACGCCGAAATCGTCGACTCCATAGTCATCCAAGTCATCGTTCACCACTGGGCCGTTTGCCGTTGTAGGGGCCATGTTGCGGCGTCAAAAACGGGCGAAAATGGTTGTGGTTGTTGGCGGTACGTTCCTCTGCTTGATCACCGAATCTGGGAGACGCGTCGGGCCCTCACTTGAGGCGCGTCTCAATTAAACTTGGGGGGTCCCCTGGGGCGGCAGGACGGGCGGCCGTAGCGTCGCTGTCGCTGGGCAATTCTTGGGCGGCCTGGAGAGGGGCCAGGGAGGTGGAAAACTCCGACGTTGAGCCGCTTACCTAATCCCCGAGACGGGCCACCCGCGATTTCAAGCTTCGAATCAACTTCGACCGATTGCAAGAGCTCCGTAGCCCACCCATTGGACAGGCCCCATTGAGTCCGCAAACATGGCGACGGCATCGACGCAACCGACCTACGTTCCCAGCAAGGTCTTGAAGACCGACTACCCTGTACGTTCCGCCTCAATTGGCCGAGCCACGCCGCAGCGACGGCTAGCTAACCTGGATACAGCTCATCGACAATGACCCGTATGTTTTCATGTCACCCGAGCTTCCGCGACGACAACCCTCCGCTCCCCCCTCCCTCCCCTCGACGTCGTAGGCGGCGAGACGTGGAACACTGACGATAGGGCAGGCACTTCAAGCGCGTGATTGGCTACGCTAGGCCCTCGGACTATGCCTGGGGTCTCGGCATGGCTGCGGGAGGACCAGGTGCTCTCCTGTTGATGGAGAAGTTCGCACCATCGCACGTCGGGCGAGGCGGTTTCGCACGAGCCATGCGCCTGGCCGGTGTCATCGGAGCCATCGGTGGCTTCCTCTACTTCTACCAGCAATCTACATGTACGTCACAGGGTTGAGCGGCGACCGGAAGAAGCCGGAGAGAACCTAGGAGGACCGCCATGCTAACATGGATCACAGTCCGGTTCTACGGCATGTCGGAGAACGCCCGCGAGGTCGAGATGGACATGAAGGAGATGGTTGCCAAGGTCAAGGCCGGCGAGCCGCTCTACGGCGAGAGCAGATTGACCCCCCACATGCAGGGTGTCGCCGCCCGCCAGAGCAGATACTCTGCCCTGTTCATGTACGGCATCCCGTGGTTCAACTTTGTCAACCACAACCAGCACGGTGTCGACACCGCCAAGTACTACAGAGAGGCCGAGAGGCAACTAGAGGCTGAGCGAACGGGGTCTGCACAGGGCGAGGCCGCCAAGCTGGGTTAGAACACCCTAACCTTGCTTCAGCGGGCGTGCGTGCTATCGGGTTTGTACATATGTGATACTAGTCTAGACATTATTCTAGACATGTGGAGGCTTCCACGGCGGAGAGGAACAAAGGCACCATCAAGAGTTTCTATTTGTTGACCAATAATCGCAGTATTCAAGCCGACCGTGAAGTGAACATCTATAAACAGTTTCAACCCGAAAGAACGGACCGCCATCTACCACGCAGAAGTATTGAATGTCGACAAGTCTTCCTCCACCAACCCCATGATGTGGTTTCCTCCAGAAAACCAGTCGCCTAGCTGTGTAGTTTGCAACAAGTTCCTCGTCATGTCATCAGGCGCGGTATCGCCGAGCCCTCCTGCCATTGTCTCGTCCATTGGCATGAAACCAAGCTGGCTAAGGTACATGTCAAACTCATTCCCCACCGGCACCATGTCCTGGTCAAGCGACTGCTGCGTTTTGGCCTCGACGTAGAGTAACGCAACATGGTACAACACCTTCGACAGCCGGTGTAGCTTGTCCACTGCCGCCGAGATTTGGCAGGAATCCTTCAAAGATAGGATGAAGTGCTCCAGGAGCTGCAGGTCTGACGTTGATGATGTCTCAATGACATGGCAGAATATCACGATGAAGGGGATGAAGGGTGCGTAGAGAATGGTCCTGCAAGATGTTAGTACCCAAGTTGGGATGTGCGTTCGACGGACACTCACCAGTGCAAATACACTATCACCAAGCTCTTGTCGTCCATCATGGCCATGGCTTCCTGATGGCTCTTCATGGCCGCTCGGGCCGAGTCCAGGCATTCATCCGCAAACGAGAAGCTCGCCCCCGTGCCACTGGGAGGCAGGGCGCGGAACGCCAATGCCAAGCTCGAATAGTAGCTGACCTCGTCGCTCTTCAGGACGATCTCAAACATCTTTTCCTCCCGAGTCTTTGCATGGATCCGCACATCTTCCATCAACCTGAGCGTCTCCTGCAGCAGAAACTGCAGATCTTTCACCACGAGCTGCACCTGCTGCGACCGTGCCGCCTCGCTCTGCCGCAGGGCGCCGGGCGAGTACAGCCTCTGGTAGATCCTGCCCTGCACCTCGGCATGCTTGATCCAGAGGCTCAGGATGGCCTCGCTCGGTGGGCTCCCGTGTGGGTGCTGCACATGCGTCTGGTGCAGCACGCTGGGCACGCTGATGTCGTAGTCCTGCAGGACACTGGCGCGGCCCAGCCGTAGGCTCAGGCCTTTGTCCAGCATGTACGTACTCCAGAACAGGATGGCCTTGTTGGCGCGGACCTCGGGCGGGTCGTTGCGGACGCTGCTCTCCTGGTGCAGGCCCAGCGTGCGGCACATGTGCGCGGCGCGGCTCGTCAGCAGCCAGCTCAGGCTCGGCCGGCTGAGGTCAATGGCGAAGCTGGCCGCCATCAGCAGCGCCTCGACGTTCTCCAGCGTCGCCGGCATCAGCAGTGGCAGGTGCGCGAGCGCCGCCTCCACGTTGCCCTGGCACATGGCGCAGCACCGCTCGAGCCGGGCCTTCTCGGCCGACCCGGCCGGCGCCGTCACGCTGCCCTCGAAGAACAGGTACATGAGCCCCGCGTTGACGATGATGAAGAGACTCTCGGAGAAGTCGGCGTCGTCGGTGCAGAAGTACAGCCGCCGACACCGGTTGGTGAAGTCCTCGATGTCCGTGAAGCACGTCACGACTAGGAGCATCATCGGACCCGGCGCCCCCTTCAGGTCACGCAGCTTCTCGATCACAAAGTCCATCGGCGGCATCGGCAGGTCACGCAGCCGGCCGCGCCCCACGTGGATGGTCTTCTGCGGGGGCGCCTCGCCGCCGGACATGCCCTGGCGGGTCGTCTGCAGGTCGACCATCTGCCGGAGCGAGGAGAGCGCGGCTTCGATGCGCGGGTTTGGCGCGCTGTAGGGCGTGCCGGCGGCAAGCATGTTGCTCTGCACCGCCTGAGAAACGAGCTCGGAGGCAAATGCCGCATGGGCAGCCAGTGATGAGCTCCCCTCGAAGGACTCGGCATCCTCTGGGTCAAAAATCGTGGAGCCGTCATTGTCGTCGCGCGATGCCGACGACGACGGTGTGGCTCTCTCCGTCGATCTTTGGAGTTTGTCTGTCTCTGCCGAGAGGGACGCGGCCACGGCTTGGATCGCCCCGGCCGTGGAGCCGGACCCGGTTGTGAGATCCCGCAGCAAAGTCTCGATGCTGGCCAGGCTTTCTTGCATATCGTCTATCTTCTTCTCGCTTGTCGTTGTCAGCTACGGACCTGACCCAACCCCTGTCCTGACTGATGCCACACAGGGGACCGGCGGACATACTATTGGCTTGAGATCAGGACTCGCTGTCTCGGCTCCTTGGGCTTCTGCCCCAGCCCCGTCGAGCTGCATGATCTTTTAGCACTCTTGCAGTTCGAGCATGGCGACTCTTTGTCACATCTGATCTATGGACTGTTAGTGCGTCGGGCCTTCTGGGCAAGAGTGGGTTTGGCTCCTGATGTTGCATCTCAGCGCAGCCGAAGCGGCATGGGACAACACACCTTCCGTAGCCTGCATTGGTCACACTACATAATCAGGTCAGCCGGCAGTTCTTTGAAGGATCGGGATTTGCGCGACGGTCTCCGAGGGTCCCGCCTTGACTCGGCCGGAACCCCCAGGCCGGGTTTGTCTTACCGCACGCCGAATGCCTCCGGGCCCACCGTTGGCATCCGCTTCAGCATCCATATTTATGACACCAAAATCGTTGGATGAGCCGTACAGTATGGCTTCAGTGGATGATAAATCTTGTACTCAGCAGATCTTGGGAGTTTGTTTGATATCCACGACTGCTGACCCAAGCTCTGTGGAGACTCATCTTCCATCTGCCGAACCTAAAGTCCACTTTCCGACTCGGGTCCCGCGGAACCCGGCGATAGCCACGGCTTGTGCTACGGTACTTACACCACCAGAGAAGAACTTGATACAAACTTAAATTCTACACTTCAATCAAGTTTGCATGTCTATGTAAAGTTTTAATTGATTTAAATTCGGTTTAGTAACTTTTTCTGTTCTTGTTAATTTGCCTAGCTTCTATCGTTTCTGCGGTCTATAGGAATACTCCCCGAAGGACCTAAACAATTAACAAATGAAGCCGCTGAGCTGTTTGAGTTTTTCTAACCATAAAATTCAGCCATTGAAGTAACCAATTGTGCAGGTTGAATTCCTACAGTCGCGTACAGTCGCGCCTTTTTCAGGCAGCCTACATATATACGGCCTGTCCGGCGATGCCAGGTTGACTTATTAACTCGAACTCGCCAAAAACTACAGATGAGAAAGCGTAGGAGATGAACTCGACTTCATGTTTCCGGAACTTCCAGGATATGTAATGAAACGGCGGCTTTGGTGTAGCCAGATCGATCAACCATCACTTGCTGCAAAAGCGGTCCGAACCTAGAGTTGAAGGCGAGTACGAACGAACCATGTTCGTACAAAACTTGGAGATACAAACACCCCTCAAATTTTCCAAACGCAACATAGGTCGATTCGGTGGAGATAGACCCCTGCCCGCTACCAAGCTTCTCTTCGGGACAGTAGGGAAACAGATCTGCACATGCGAAGAAAGCACTCAGGGTAACAGTGCATCAAGAACCGCCAGATATACTACTGACTACTATTCGGTTTCCTTCCTAGTCTCATGAAATTTGACTTGCAGGTGCAGCTGCCATGTACCATAACCAATGCAATCCTCGGATATTGAGCCGGCACTGGCGGGGATACAAGGAGGGAGGGCCCTCCGGCTATACTAATCCCTGTCTAGTATATTAAAAAGCTATAAGGGACTCTAAGCGTAGAATTCAGCGGGGCGCAACATTAATTCCTGTCTATAGGTGTAGTCTATTTCACTTCTAAATCTTCCATAGGAACACGGGGGAGGCTTCACCGTCCTATAAGTCTCTTTAGTACAAACCTCTCTTTCAACCCCGTTTCCTGCAGAATATCTCCACCGTCAGCCGTAGCCATCACGTAGACAAAGTCTTTTTTCTTATCTTGATCACTGCTATCAGCGACTTTATTCGGCGGTTCATAGCAATCTCTGGCGCCCACCAGAGATAACTCTTTGCTCAGCTCCGTATCCGTCGTCACGATAGAGACGCGCCCTGACTGCAGGGGCAGACGCTCGATGTCGATGTAGAGTAGAAATAGTTGCTGATGATTCACCAGCTCAAACATGCGTTTCATGAATCCTGCCGCGTACACTCTATCGGCCTCGAGGTTTAGCTCTAGGGAAGGGTAGCCAGTGATCATGGCTAGTTGAGCCGGATCATCCTCAGACTGATATAGGATGTGCTGCTCATTCCCTCCGGTATTCGAGTCAGATGTGTATGATGCGCAATGAGCTAGGATCTCGGTCCAGAGATCTACAAAGGCTGTGGTCGTTACTGTAATATCGGGCTTTAAGGTGAACAGCCAGATTTTGGTGATAGGCGCGGTCGTTCTTGGAGAGGGCGTTGTCTCGAACATCGTGGTTATCTTCACAATTATATCGCCGTATATCGTGACCGAGTGTCAGATCATTGACAAACTTGACAGACTATCAAAATGTTTGTGATAGTCTGCCAGCTTTGCAGACGCATTGTCGCAGTGACGTCGTCGGCATTGGGACGGCGCTAAATGCCACGATGGCCCGATGGCACTAGGCGGCGCCACTCAACGATCAGCCCAAAAAGCGTTGCGCGAGACGAGACCCGTGTGCACAAGCGGGTCAGCCCAAATGAAATGTCAGCAGTCCTTGCATCTTGCTTCTGAATCCTTGAGGAAGAACTTTTTGCGCATAACCATAGCAGCCAGACTGCAAGGACCAGACCAGTTTACTATGGTATCAGACTGAAAAAACTGGGACAGTTGGACTCATCCATGGGCGAGCCTAGGCTAGACCGTTTCATCTGAAGTCCGTGGGAGAACCCATAAATCCCCAGGGTCTCCCCAGTTTTCCAGGTGTGGCCTTGAACACAACAGCTGAAAACATGACTCAAAGATTTGGATAGTAGCAACAGCTTAATTAGGAGTTTCCAAGTTTATTCTGGCATGACGTGATGTTTTTGAGAACCATTCTAGAACAGGAAAGGGTGATTCATACATATTGCTACCCTCACTATAACAACAAATTCTTTACATCGTAACCTTTGCCTACTTAAGTATCTAACGGCATTTTGTGGCTTGTTAGTCGCTCTTCACTGGAGCGGACGATGCGTCGCTTTCACGGCCTGCCAGTGTTGATGCTGGAAAAACTGTCTTAGTACCTGATGCTGCAACGCGCATCAGGGTGAACGATGGTGGGCATTATCGGCCCTAATGAAAAAGCGCGTGCATTGTTAGTCTACCGGGTCCTTCCCGAAATTCACGCAATGTGTCTGTGTTTCTGTGTCCAGAGCCGCGTGCCCTCGTGATTGACTGGCCATTGGTCTCGCTGTCCGGATGCGGAAAATACCCATGCACAAAAGCCCCTTGGCAGGCCCGAGTTGGTGGATCCAACTGATCGGTTGCTAATGCTTACACAGCAACAGATAGATAAGATTGATAGCTTCAAACTGCCAAGATGGAGTTGCGGGTACGCAGTGGACCACCTTAACCTTATTCACCTGCTCAATTTCAACTTCCACCGAAGGCGGCTCTGGTAAACTCCACAGCCATCAGGGTGAAGGACAGCTTGATTCGGTTCCAAGGACCGTCGTAACTCCACCGGCATATTGCCGGAGATAATTGTAACAAGGAAAACCCCACGGGCGAGAACCGGGAATGGACCTTACCAGCGACTTAGTAGGGATCGCGAGATCCTCTACATACTAAGAGGACAATATATCCCTTGTGCGATGCCGGACATTCACCGAGCAGTCCAGATGGGGCAGAAATCAAAATTTTTGTATATAGAAGTGCCATCTGCACAGCAATTGACGTGGTTGTGATTCACAAGGCTACTTTCAGAGTACCTGCATCGTCCTCATTCGTTACCAACTTCCCAAGATGCGTCCCTTCCTTTACATCAACCTGGCTGCGCTGGCTCTCGCAGCAGACCCATGGATCAACGAGCCCGACACCGGTCTAGAGGCGTATCTCTACAGCACAAATTACACAAAGAGCAGCCAACCGTTGTTGAAAGATATCCGAGGTGTTCCGGACTTTGACTGGGCTGCGGAGCAATCATTAGGCTTGCAGCAATATTCATTCTATCGGACAGCTGCCGCTGGGGAGTGGAGTATGTGACTCCAGCCTACATTGCTGGCAAAGTGACCATAACTGATCCTCACAGGTTATCGAAACAACTTGGATGTATGGTCGAAAGTCAAGTTCCGAGTTCGCATGCTGAACGACGTCTCCAAAGTGAATGAGACACTGCCGTATGTTGCCAAGTCCACACTTACTACAATATTTTCTTACCCGCAGACAGCACCACCTTCTTAGGCTACAACTTCAGTGCCCCAATCTTCATTGCTCCTGCGGCGCGCGCGGGATATGGCGACGAAAGAGGCGAATTGAACTTCGTTGATGCCGCAGCTAACGAAAACATCCTATACACTGTGAGTCTCAGCTCTTGATTTACATACTGAGGTCATTTTCTAAACTTCAAATAGGCCGCTTTGTACGCATCCAAGACCATTGAGGAACTTGGTGCTCAGAAGAAGATGCACAATGATACCCTGAATGGTCCACTCGCGACCTTCCAGCAGGTGAGTCGCTTTCCAGTTCCTCGTCAAGATCGGAAGCTAATCCCAATAAGATCTACACCAACGCCAACCTATCCGTAACATGGGATGCGATGAAACGTGCCGAAGCACAAGGAGCCAAGGCCTTCGTATGGACTATTGATGCGCCCGGCACCGCAACAAGGCACCGCGCTGCTAGATATGACACTACCAATGCGTAAGTCATCAAATTACGATAATAATGCGGGAGCTGCCGTCTAACAAATCCTCAGCAATGCTGTCACCTCGCCCCTGACCGTAAGCGCCCCAGAGTCGCGATCCGTTGGTTGTCCTGAGGGGACTTCTGCTAACTGAAACGACAGTGGGATCTTTACGATCAGATTAGAAATCACACCTCACTTCCGGTCATTCCTAAGGGTATTTCTACTGTTGAGGATGCTCTCTTGGCGATAGAGAAGGGCGCAAAAGCCATTTACATCTCCAACCACGGTGGCCGACAGCTCGACCACTCTCCCTCTCCTCTCGAGATCGCATATGAAATCTACCGCAATGCACCCCAGGTCTTTGAGCAGGTCGACGTCATGGCCGACAGTGGTGTCAGATACGGCAGCGATGTTCTCAAGTTGTTGGCGCTTGGTGTGAAGATGGTCGGCATGGGTCGACCGTGAGTGTTCCCCCTGAATATGCTTTGTATCCCAAGACTGATAGCTTGTGTAGCTTCATGTACGCCAACTGCTATGGTCTCGAAGGCGTCAAAAAGCTCATCCAGATCATGAAGACGGAACTTGCTGCTGATGCAGGCCAAGCCGGCGTGGCCGACTTGAAGAAGATTAGCCGCAATCTGGTAAGTCCTCTGTTGCTTCGGGTTTTGAAATTCTCTTACTCATAGCCTGTAGATCAACGCACGCGCTCTTGATGACACGGTGTTTCTCATGGATGCTTAAAGAAAGTCGTGCCTGTCAGTACGTGGCAACCCTGGTTATCGAGTCAGAAAACCTATGATGCCAAAAGATGTCTTTGCCACATGACTGGGATAACAATATGGGGTAAAATTTCTTGTACATATTTCTCTTGACATATAGATATCAAACTGGCCTTGCTTACTTTTGAGAGAATTGCCAATACTTGTATATGCTCTATGCGGTTGCGTTCTCTGTCCTATGGGCCGCCGAAGATTGTGAACAAAGAGACGGAGACAATTTGATGACTGCCTGTGCCAACGGATAGCGTTTCAAGATTTTCGATGTTTGGAGCAAACTTTGGCTAACATTGACGTATCACCCAGCGAGCGGCCGTGAGAAGTGAGTGATATCGCTATAACTACGCATGATGAACTATGTGGAGGATTTTAGAAGGCAGTGGTCGTGATGAACATCCAGCTCTCGGCCTCGCCCCAGACAACTCGCAGCAGCTACACCTAGTCCACGCTGCACAATACTTCTCTCTTCGCTGTGTGAAGATCCCATTTCCCCATATCTCAAATTCCGTGGAACCTGTTTGTTGTCGTCCCAGAATAATTTGCTGACTGGTGTGCCTTGATAGGCTCCCAACACACGCTTTCGCGTCTTTTGCTTCGCTTCGAGGAGCATCGCAGTGTAACCAGGGCAAATCCCACTCTCGATACGCGTGCTGGCAAACGTCAGAGCTGGCTAAAAGCCGTCCAGAAGGGCGTATGTCACGCGGCTTTCCAAGAGCTGTGACCGCCACCTCGTAGAAACGTACCAGTTGTTAATGATATTATCCATATTCGGATGCTACGCAATCAAAATGACGACATAGGGTGGAATGTTTGCAATGATATCCCTTTTGAACTCCATCTTCGAGAGAAGCATCTGGGTTGTGGGCAACATTTGTCAAGAGTGAGGCAGTGAGGTCCTCCAGAGCTGGCTTACACATCTGGTGATCTGTCTTGCCATCGTTGCGCTTCAGAGCAAGAAGCCTTTTGGTCAGGCATCGGTCCATCTTCGTATTTGGCATCGACGTGCAGTAGTTCCAAGACAGTGAAAGGAACCAACGGGAATCACTCCGGCGATACGGTTGCGTAGGTCAAGGAATAATGTTGGTTGTTTCCCGGAAGTGAGGAGTCGGCGTAGCAAGGGTTCGCCACTTGTTGCGGGAGGGTATGAGGTGCGTTCATAGGCCATACGGTTTTCGATGCCAACCGGGGCTACCTATCCGCGTGAAGGCAACTACTAGCCGCGTTCAATTACTTGAGGTGCTGAACTTACAGAACATTCAAGCAGTAATAACTTCTAAGTTTCCCCGAAGAATGTCTTGGGAAGTTGGAAGTCTTCGTTGCACTCCATCATCTTTGATCGCTCTGGACAAAGAGGTTCATCGGGGTGGCCCGGTAATGCCTTCTACTCGACATCCAGGATGCTTAAGGCCACGACGATATGGAGCCATCGGTTTAAGCTTGGATAGTATCAAAGGGTACAGCAATGTTCATACGTATGTATCTATCCTAATCTTGAAAAGGCGTACCGAGTAGCCTCAGTGAGTGATGCCAGCCCGTAAAGCAGAGGTGCCACAACGCCGGTAAAACTCCTTCATCCATGTCCTTGCCCAAATTAATCATTTCCTCGTGGCTGACCAACGCTGCTATGAGACCCTTCTGGCTCGTTGCCGTCCATCATCCCGTGGATCTCACCTACAGCAACAAGGCTTTGTTCTTGACTAAACCGTATCTCAGCATCTTGCCTCTCTTCTCCCTCTGTAAACCCGGAATCAGCAGCGCCCCTAGGCTCTCAGAGCCCTCAGTCTCTGCTGCAGTGCGTCTTCCTCCTCGGCCGTCGGCTCGGTCGTTTGGGGTCCTACAGGCTCAGCCTTGCTCGGTTCGTTGGCGTTCAACTCGCTGTTCAGCTGGACACCGGCGTCGTCGGCCAGCTTTCCTAGCAGTTCGTGCACTGCATCCTCGCTGACCTGGGCACTCGTGCTCTGCGAAATAGCGTCCTGGTAGATGCCGTTGCTCATGGCATACTCCTCGTTCTGAGTGCGGAACTGCTCTAGGGTGGTAAGGGTGCGCTCGGGGTTCATGGTGCGCTGGGCGATGTTCATGGTGCGCGATGACTGGCCCATCATGTGTGTCATGCGGTTCATGGCGTTGTTGGCCTGGATCTGGGATGCCGAAAGCTCGGCCATGTCGGCCATCTGGTCCATCTGGGCGGCAAGGGCCTGCTTTGAGAGGAGCATCTTGGCCTTCTGGTAGGCCTTTGCGGTCTCGCCTTTTCTCAGAAGCTCCTGGATCTGTTTGCGCAGGAGGGGGTCCTGCTTTGCGGCCTTTTGGGCCTCGCGACGGGCTTGCTTGGCTTGGAACTGGGTGGACAGATAAGTTAGAGGAGGTAGAGCAAGATGTGGACAGGGAGATTGGGGGTACGCACGCGAGCCTGGAACTCGACTTGCATATCGCGAGCCTGTTGTCGGTTCGACATATTGGCGATGGCTTGTTGTAGCCTGGGGAAGGGGTATGGAAAGGATATGAAGGTGGTAGTCGATGGAACGCGGAATGCGCCGGTCGGGGCCCGGGCGGTGGTTGGTTCGGGTTTGTGCGAGTATTGTGCCCGCGGGTCGTAGGCGGAGATGCAGTCGAAGGGTGTGTGTCTGTCGAAAGGCGGATCGGGGTTCGCTGGTGCCTCTGCGCGGATGGACTTCAGGACGATTCAGGTTGTTGGGTTGGTATCAGAAGCGTCAGGTGGGCTGTAGGCGATCTCGCCCCGGAGCGTGGCCGCCTGAAGCGCCTGAAGCAGTTGGTGGGGAACGGGGAACGCGGGGGGTGGACGCCACACCATGACGCAGCCATAGCCCAGCCACAGCCAAGGCTTGCCGTCACCACCCCATACCTTCCGAGTATACACCCAGCTAACGGTCTTTATTCCCTTTGCCGTAAATCTGTCGTACGAGCGCTGGGGGTTTTCAACTGACCATATTGCTCTGGGAAGTCAGTTTGCATAACGACAACTTTCAGCGGATGTCTAGATTTGGGCTCCGAGGGTCACGTCGTGCAAGTTATACGGTCTTTAATGACCAGTTCAAAGCTATCACATCAGGTTGACCATAACCCGAGCAGGAATCCCGGTCAGCCTCTTCATTCAAACGTGAGATGTGGTCCGGGACAGTTGCACTGCACTAGTTGGCATCTACCAAAATAGGTGCGGGGGGAGCCAACCCATGACGCGCTCTAACGTCTTTCAGCCTCGCTACACCAATCAGATGGGTAGTAATAGACCAAGTCAACCAGTACAAAGGTGACCCAGACTTCAGAAGGAGAGACACACCCAGCGTTATCAGATTAATAGGGATTTCACTGTCTGTTTAACCTACATGGGAATCTTGAGAATGGCGTCCAAGGCAAGATTAAATGTGCAAACCTTCCCTCGCCCACCTCTCTTGGAACGCACCACAAGACATCTCCAGATCAAATGGGACGGCAAGCTGGTCGCAGACACCAAGAATGCATATTGGGTTCTTGAGACACATCATCCACCAAGTGAGCACTCAAGGCGCCCGCATACAGGATTCCCTCGCTGACCGGTGCAGCCTACTACTTACCGCCCTCCTCGATCTTACTACCACTAACCCAAACGCCGAGATCATCTTACTGCGAATGGAAGGGAAGAGCGACCTACTACTCCATTACTTATGGCAAAAGCACGGTTTCTGACCGTATCTGGGCCTATCATAACCCAACCAAAGGGTTTGAACCTATCAAGGACTATTTGTCATTCTACGCTGGGCCCTGGGATTGTATTGTCGATGGCGAGAAGGTTGAGCCACAGCCAGGCGACTTCTACGGCGGGTGGGTAACCAGTGAGATTGCTGGTATTGTTAAGGGGAAGGATGGGAACTTTGATCCTGTCATATAAGGCAGATATGGTCCCCCTAGTCTTCCAAACTATCTAAATCACAGAATCAGATGCCCATTCCACTTTGTGGCCTCAAATGCGACCCGCGGGCTTGACGGTCTCTTCCACCTGCTCGACGCCAGCCTCATCATCGCCAATGCTCTTAGCCATGCCAAGCTGTTCTCTGCGCACGTCTGTCTCGCCGATCTCTACAACCTCGTCTCCAAAAGCGCTCGCAATCTCTTCCAACGTCTTGCGTCGGGTCTCGGGGAAATAAAACCACGCCAGAACCAGGAAGAACAATGTGCATCCTACAAAGACGTAGTAGTAGTTCTCCTTGATGTTGGCAAAGGCACTCGGACCCGCCTCTGTCACACCCACATTGACAATAAAGTGACTCGCCGCTGCGAGCCCCATGATCTTACTCCGCAGTGCAATTGGCAAGACTTCGGCACCGTAAAGCCAAGTTGTGCTGTTGAGCATACCATAGTAGCAGACAACAAAGAGGTAGATACCCAAGATGGCGAAACCCTTGCCAACTCTGTTGTCGGTGTTTTGGAAAACGCGTTGCATCGCAGCTGCGTATATCTCGATTACAATAATACCCGCCAGGCCAGCGATGATCATCTTGCGGCGTCCCCATTGATCTGTCAGGTATCGCGTTGTGAGGACATTGGAGGTAAACGCAATGGTGCCATATACGGCAGCCAAGGCCAGTATAGTATGTGCCTCGATCCCAAGGGACTGGTATAGAATCGTCTGGTAGTACTGGATCACGTTGACTCCAGTAAGACTTGTCATGGTCTGGACGGCTATAGAGACGAGAGCTCGGTGACGATATAGCTTGAAGACCTCCCGGTAAGATTTGATCTCACGGGACATCTCATATTCGATCTGAGCTCTCATGAGAGCAAATTCTTCCTGCACCTCATGAGATTGTAGATCTCTTCTGATCTTGATGAATTCTTGCCGCGCGTAGTCCACCTTGCCGCTTCGTAGCAACTGTCGCGGGGAGTTGGGCATGAAGGTGGATAGCCCCAAAAACATAATCACACCCCATGGAATCTGGATCCCAAGGGGCAAGCGCCATTGGGTCGGTCCGTATGGCGCATAGCCGCAAGCGAAGCCAACCCAGTTTGACATCATTGTGCCAAAGGAGATGCCACAACCGGATATGCCACCGATGAGCCCTCGTTGTTCTGGCGCCGAGATTTCGCTGAGATAAATGGGAACGGTGGCGACCATACCACCGACAGCATACCCGGCCAGTGCACGCCCTGCCAGGAACATTCCAATATTGACCGCAGCCGTCTGAATGATGGTGCCTATGGTTACTATGATGCACATCATCTGCATAAAGCGAATTCTGCCAAGCCTATCGCCAACGAAGGTCTGCGTCAACGCACCGACAGCTTCGCCCGCAATATAGACAGCGACAACGGCCCCAGTGAGTCCCTTTGATGGATTTTGCATATAGTCAACCCAACTTTGGTGCGCGATGGCTGGAATCTGTCAACTCTCCGCTTGCTCCAGGTAAACTTGAGACGAGACTCACTGGTAGTGGCTATGCCGGTATCAAATCCCTTCAAGTCATAGATCAGTCGTTATTCTCCAACATCACTGGCGGAAGGACGTTACTAACAAATAGAAAAGTACCAATGGCTGCGAACAGCGCAATGCCGATAGTATACCACCCCTTCATGATGGCGATAAAGGCTACAGAGATGCTTCAGGATTGCAACTTCCACCATCAAACGAGCACGTTTCTGTGATGAAGAGGACATCTTTTGGCTCTTACGATGCTGACCATACCTGACTTTCTAAGCCCCCGCACAGGTTCCCCCACACAACTAACCACCAACGGAGAATGGGGGTGCAACAGGGCAACCCGGTAGATCATTGGAGTAGTACGGGGTAGGATCGTGGGGTTAGGCCCATTGAAGAGTGGAGATTGTACGGCTTAGACTGCCGACAAATGACCAACACAAACTCAGTTGCTCCGCAGTGCATGGCTCGTGGGTTGAATAGTGTCAACGGTCGGGCTATGTAAGACCGAAAATCGGGACAGTACATCGATAAATCCGCTACATTTCCGTAAACTCGGAAAGAAGTCCGGGGACTAACGGCAAACGCTTCCTTTCCAGGCTGATTTACGTCGTTTAGAGACGACGGTGTGTGAAGAAACATATTCCAATGCAGTCTGTGTGGGTATGTGCATAAAATTTATCAAACAATGCCCCATATACTCTAGCCATCTAGTCCACCGGGCCGATGAGGGCTTCTACTTCTAACTGTGTCAATGTGCTTGGAGACCTGCAATTGCCCCCTCGCTTCTTTCTGCTCATCCTTTGCCTTGACTTTGTCTTCGGTCTCGAAATCACTTTCGAAACTGTCGAGACTAGCCATTTCCAATATCTCCTCTTCGTCCGGTTCCCTCCTCCCGCCAGAACTGGTTGTGTGATCTATCGAGTCGCTTTCGTGCTGGTACAGCTTCATGTTAACGAACATGGCATACAGGCCAAGATCATACGCTAGCCGGCAGCTACCAGCAACCACAAAGGCTATCCAGAACTTATCACCCGCAGCGAGAAAACCTGTAAACGTAGGCCCGGACATTGCGGCCAATGTTCGGAGCATGGTGGTGATGCCCATGACTGCTGTTCTCTCTTCTGGCTTTACCACAGCGGCAATGAATGCTGTTCGCGGTGCCTGGTCCATGTTATTCAGCCCCGCACGGACAAACAGAAGTGCTGCAGCCATCCAAAAATAAGGTGGAAATGGGAACAGAAGTACGGCTGCCGAAGATGGGATATGCGTGAAGACCATGGTGTTGATCAGTCCGATCCTGCGGGAAAGGGGACCCGCAAAAACGCCAGAAATGGCGCCGAGAAAATAACTGACAGACTGGACATCACCCAATGTTGCCTTATCGGGATGAAATGTGATGTCCATGTAATAATTCGTCATAGAGTACGGAACCATGCCGTCAGCCAGTGAGTCCACAGCTAAAAGGAACCATAACTTATACATGACCGAGCGGGTGGGTGCCGAGATCTGGGCTAGTTGCGAGGAAAGCCAGGTCGCCCATCTCATGAAGCGGTTCCGGTTTGGTGAAAGTGGTTCAGGCGTGGGAGTTATCGATGCTTCAGGAGGTGCGATGCTCTGGTCCTCAGATTGAGGCAGCTGTGAGTATGCTTCCTTCTTGTCTTCCATTTCACAGCTGTCGGTCAAAAGGAGAACCAAACAAGCATTCACGATGCCCATGATACCGTAAACCCAGAAGAGAGCATGGTACGCATCGACTGTGGTCCAGCCGTCTCTTTCTTCTAAATAGCGGATAATGCGCCCTGATGCCTCGCTCCCTATCGAGGAGCCAAGAGTTGACGTTGTGACGTACCAGGCCAATACATCTGATCGCGTGGACGGCGTGGTGAGTTGAGACAGTATGGACCTGCACGCTGGCTTAGTTCCTTATCAAACACGACATGAACGTCACTCCTTACTCTTCGATACTCCTGAACGGTCCGAAATCACCACCAGTGACGCTGATAACTCCCACGATTGCGGCCAGAAGGAGGATCCAGAAATCCTCAAAGACGGCAAATACGACACCGCTCACTACCATGAGGAATGAGCCTGCCATCAGCACCTTGCGCCTGCCAAGCTTATCGGCGACAAGAGTGAGGAACGTCCCGAGAAAAACATCTCCCAGAAGCGTTAGGGTCATAAACAACCCGATCTGGTGATCAGAAAAGTCAAGGGCCGAAAAGAAAATAGCTGGGAAATACTGTTAGAACCACTCAGTCATACACTTGTTATAGGATTGGAAGTAGCCTCACCCAAGATCAGCGAATTCGTTCCATAGGCGAACATTCGGCAAGCTCGGGCCAGGATTATGAGCCAAGCATTTCTGCCGGTCTCGTGAATAGCAGCAATGCCAAATTCGTGGTAAAACCACCTGATGGGGGCCACGATGCTTGACATTATAGCTGTCGGATGCCATGCGCCATGCGCAATTCATGTGAGACAAAAATAGAGGTCGTCATTGGCCCTGGACTTAACCAAAATACCAAGAAAAGTTCTTGTCGGTTCGGCCGAGCGGGGTGCTCGGAATAGGCAGTAACTAAGCCCGGTGTCGGCGCCAATGGCATCATCAGGTTTAAGAGGCGGTGGGAAGACTAGTCTAACCTAACTAGTCAGCCACAGTTGGTTACGTGATCCAGCAAAACTGTGTCGGTAGAAGAAGAGAATGTACGCATCGTGAGAAGCTTTCGAAATGTGACACTACCCAAACAACCAGGCAATGTCGGTGATCGCTCCACAGGTCCAGGATCCCTACCGCCCCGGGTTTTGACACACTTCCGTAACATTTCTCTTGCCCAGTGGAAAATACTAAATCACTGTTTTACATACAATTTCTATCACCGCATATGAAAGATTTTGATAGATTTGTTCTTCCTTGACTTAAAAAGCTTAAGGACTCCTTCCATTTTCTACGCCATCTGACAGCCTCGATACGAATAAGGACATGCTGGGACTGTACATTCAAGCATAAGGATGAATACCTTTCCTTCCAAGTGAAGGAGTAATAACTTTAGGAAGGTGGCAATCACTGGACATTAATCAAAGCCTTGTAGGATGCATCATCGCCTGTAGTCAGATTCGCATTCCACCACGGCTGTGTCGTGTTCGAGCTCTAGATAGCCTGTAGTAGTTGGTGTTACCTTACGCCTGAACCGCGAATGGGGGCCCATTGGTTAGGCCAGTCCTTTTCTCGTGCGTAACGAGACTTCGTTTTTCCTGCTTCAATCATATCACCAACAGCTGGTCCGCGTCAATCCTTCTCTCATACCAATGCTTGCATAAACGGAATATTAAAGCCCCACCCAGCCAAATCTCACAGCCTTAATCAAGGAGAAGCAGAGGGGCTGGATGGGATTCAAGGGCAGATAAATGTTTCGAGCACGCGCAGACTGACTCTTCTCATATGCATGAGGCACATCCTGTTTAGGGCAGAGAAAACTAGCCAAGTCCGTGGCCCAGCAATAAGACGAATAGTCATGGTTGGAGACATTCGTTTGCGAAATGATTTGGATGTGATCGCTACGAACCATTCTGACCAAGCTCACAGTTGTGCAGAGGCCACTCAAAAGGGCACCAACTGACTGAGTATTGATACTAAGGAAACAATAAAAGGTAAAAGATAAGTGAACGGTATGTAGGTAATCAAGAGTGGTTGCTATCAGCGAGTGCGGGACACGCGGATTTTCAGCCAACCAGAGCCGCATTCTTTCCATGTGGCAATGTACGAGCAGCCTTCATAGCCCTTTAATTACGAAATAAAAGAAATTTGCCTCCTCAGCCCCCAAATGTCAGACACGTTCCTATTTGAGTCCGAGCTCCTTGATGAATATGTCTGCCGCCTTCTCACCCACGGCCAACGCCGTAGCATTGGTGTGGGCCGCGACGTTTACCGGAGGGATGCTCAAGTCTGCAATCTTGAGCCCTTCAACGCCATAGACGGCCAGATTCTCGTCGACAACGCCCTTGTTGGCCAGGGGCGCCATCTTGCACGTGCCGATCGAGTGCCATGGCGTCGAAACGTGCTCGCGCACAAATCGGTCGATGGCGGCGTCATCCTCGGCCGAGTATTTGATTTCCGGCGTGTCAACAGCGTCATGATCGTCGCGTTTCGTGGGCCGGGCATCCGATTCCGCCGCAAAGGCAGGGTGGCTGGCAGCCACTTCTCCACGGTACGTCGTCATCCGTCGGGCAATCTCACGCTGCTTCTTGTATGCCCACCGGCAAGCGAGTAGATCGACACCCTCGGGATCCGAGAGGAGGCCGAAATCGAAGTTGACCGGGTCGTCCAGGTTTGGACCCGTGATATGGATCTGACCCCGAGAATATGGGTATGCGGTGAAAACGGATATGGAAAAGTATTGGCCGGGTTCTCCAACAGGCTCAGCACCGCTAGATGGTTTTCATCTCGTCAGACAAAGCACGTACGTATAGTCATTGCGGTGCAGAGTCCGACCTTACCCATTGACCAAAACCATCAAGCTCAGGGGCCTGCTAGGCTCTTCTTTGAAGTCCCTGTCCCAGAGCTTTTGAAATCCAGATCCAAGAGCAGCCACTTCCTGGTCGGTCGGCCGAAGCTTTCCGGTCACGTCGAGGCAGTTCCATCCGATTAGTTTATCGTTCCTCTGTATCATGGCAGGAACATCAAAGGTACCCGTTATGATACCATCAAGTGTCTCGTCGGCGCCAAGGTCAGACCTATAAATGTAAGTCATGGTGTGGTGGTCCTCATAGCCGTCACCGACGCCTGGCAGCGCGACAATAGTTTTGACGTTGGCGCGTTCTAGGATGGCCTTGTCGCCTACACCGGATCTCTCCAGGACCGATGGCGTACCACAGGCTCCGCAGGACAAGACCACCATCTTTCTGGCCTTGACTGTCCGGGCTTCAGCTCCGCTGGACTGGTAGGTCACCCCCGAGGCTCTCTTGCCTTCAAAAGTAACACGGACTACCGAGGTATCGACAAGAACGTGGAGGTTCGGGTGCTCTCCATCTTGGAGCCTGGGATGGAGGTACTGGTGGGCTGCGTCTTGACGCTTTCCGTCGAGTGATACGTAGCGCTTTGCTCGTTGAACTCCGTTGATAGATTCCAAGTCACTGATATCTGCCAGTTCCCTCCACCCTTGGCGTTGCGCCGCCTCCAAAAAGGAATCCTGCGACCTCTTGGAAGAATATGTGCCCTGAGATATGTGGATAGGTCCGTCCATTCCGTGGTTTCCTTTAGAGTCCTCTCCGTGATACGTTTCGGCCTGAAAGACGTTACCAGGGTATCACAAGGCAGTATCCCTGTTATTTTTCTGAGGGTGAGAGACTCACTCTTTTCATGTAAGGTATCAGGTCGTCAGCGGACCAACCGGGCATTCCCCAGGAGTCAAAGTCAGCGCGCTGACCCCGACTATACATAAGGAAATTCACGGATGAGCCACCACCTAGCACGCGAGCTGTAGGGACGATAGGCTCTCTGTCGCCCAGAAATTGCGACTTCTTTCCCGCGTGAAAGGACATGGTCTTGGCTCCTGGGGCCAGGTGGGATATGAATAGAAATGGAGTGACGATGGTGGGGTCCCCGAAGTTGTTGGGCCCGGCCTCAATGAGGAGGATTGATAAGGACGGGTCGGCCTCGGAAAGCCTTGAGGCGACGACGCATCCCGCCGTGCCACCTAGAAATACGTAATATGGTCAGATTTGAGGGTTGGTCGTGACGATGGTAGTAACACTCACCACCCGCGACGATGACATCGACGGCATCCAGCTCGAGAGGTAGCTTATTGTAAAGTGGCATGGTGCTAGACGACTTTCAAGGTGGTGCTGAGGGGAGAAGAGGTGGGGCTACGTGATTTTGCAGGATTGCAAGATGAAACGGAATGGAGGCCGGTAACTTATATGCAAGGCTCGTTCTGGTCGGCATCTACATATCATGTCGAAAGGGACAGCCGACACCTTCTCGAAGTGCCGTACTGGCTTGGACAGCGGCACGGAAGGTGGAAGCCGCCAAGATTATGGGCTTGGATATGGAATTCGGCAACCAACAAGTTAGTTTGCCTGCGGCGCTTGTTTGGGGGGCAAGGGACGAAATGAAACCAACGTCAGGGCACGACTGGGCTCGGATGTGCGACTAGGATGGGCGACAGACGGCTGCACATGACGGGGGCCATGAATCTTCCAACATCTGACTGGGGGCCCTGCACGCCATTCAGAGAACCATTCATGCTTAGAATCAACGGCCAACAGGATCGATGAACCGGGAATGAGGCTTCTTGTCTGGGATGCCAGCTCCCTTACCTTACGCATATACCCATGTAAAGAGCAACATCTTTCACAGTCCTTACTTACGTGCATCTGCAGCCATTGCCATCCCTGCACGTGCATCTAACCGTATACATAGCAAAATGGGTACACGATATGTTTATTTGTGGGCCACGTCTTTCCTATATACTGCACAGTGCGCCGAGATGTTTGAGTCGATATTTGCATTCCTGCTGTGATGGATTATACGGTAATGTACTGGTGCAAGTCCGCACCCATTATGAGAACAACCCCCGCTGGCCTTCATCCTGCAAGTCGCCTTATCTGTTTCCCACCAAACTTCATATGTCTGGCGTGACACCATCTTCTTCATAGGATAAGGGCTCGATTACGCCACCTTGCTTGAATGGCTGCATCGTAACAGCGGCCACAACTGGGCTGATTTTGGACACAGCTCTAGCTTCATGATGTTGGAGGAGTACATGCCCGATATTCCTTGACTAAACAGTAAAAGCTCATTCGTCCAATGCATCACGAAGCATGCGCCACGCATAAGCTCGTCTACCTTCTTCATCCTCGAATTTTGTCTTGAAATCCTTCCAAAGCAAATCCGGATGTATCCACTGATAATGACCACTCGCCACCGGGTTGCTTATCTTCTGCAGTACCTTGCGCATACCCGAGATCTCAGGGAGATCCACAAGGAACTCCTCGAGCCTTGTACGCTCCCTACTGCACCTCTTCTGTCGTACAAATGCCAGTATCAGGGCGGCCATGGCTACAGCTACGGGCGTTGAGAATGATGTACCGCTATAAGGCCTGAAACCACCCCCTTTGGACGTCGGCCAGTGTGTGAGAATATCCTCACCCACCACCATGAGATTCGTCCGACCTGAAGGCGGAGGGGTGAAGTCAGATGGCTTTGTTCCCTCACTGTTACTGGAATGAATCCCGATAACCAAGTTCTCATCTCTTGCGGGCCAGGCCATGCGTTTGAAATTGCCTTCATTTGACGTAGCTGCAAAGACGATGCAGTGGTTTCGGGCTCTCTTCAACGCCGTCTTCACTGCTATATCGCTTTCATCAAACCCAAACGACATGTTTATGAGATCCACCTGCTGTTCTATCGCCCAATCTATAGCCTGTAGACTACCTTAGTATAAGGGTCGCCTCACAAAGGAGAGAGCCACTCACCCGTGCAACGATACTCGGTTGCGGTCTCCTAGGCTCCTCTGCAGCTGATCCACCTGTACATACTCGAGCGATATAAAACTCAGATCTAGGTGCTAGTCGCAGAATAATTCCAGCGACCGCCGTGCCGTGGCCGTCGAGATCCGTCGTATCACTTTCCGCTCTTCCATCCCCACAGAAGTTTTTGCAACCCTTGATCAAGTCGATCTGCTTGGGGGCCCGACCACTCTCGTCCGATATGGGTTGCCCATTCTCGAAACGAAGAGCTCTAGGCTGAGAAAAGTCTTCGTGGTTTGTATCGATGCCTGTATCTAAGATGGCGATTTTTACGATGCCGTCTTTCTCATGGAACTCGAAATTTTTGCGGTGTGTCTCTATCAAATCTACAAATGTTCTTGGCTGCTTAAAATTGGAGCTTGAATGCTGGTCAGTCCCTTTGAATATCACGTAACCGACAATTTGCGGCGAGTCTTAGTGACTTACCTGGTTGTGGGTAATGAATAATTGAAACCATCAAACGTTCCAGCAGCACTATCGGTCTGAGATGCCGTCAAGTAGTCTTTAGGCTGGGCCGGACGAGCGTTTGCCATAGGGGAAGCATATTGTGCCTTAGCCTTGGCGGACGAGGATTGTGCTAGCTGTCGGGACCGTGGATTTTCTATCTTGCTAATGAACTCGTCCAGTACAGCTGCGGTCCCCGAATGGTTCCCATTCCAGGCAATGTCGAAAGCACTTCGTCCATCTTGTGTCTCAGCGAAGACATTCGCACCATTCTGTAGCAGAACTCTCACAGTTCTTTGACGGCCTTTTTCAGAAGCGATGAGAAGCGGTGTCAATTTTTCGGGCTCGGTGAGGCTATCGACGAATGCTCCTCGTTCCAGTAATTTCGGAATTACTTTGCTCTCTCCTCCCTTTGCGGCGAAGTGGATGGCGTTCCAACCCCTGACTCTCGTATCGATGAACTCAGGGTTGACATTCATGTCTAAAATGTATTCTAGAGTCTCCATCTTCCCCTTCTGTGCAGCCCAAGCGAGGAGGGAGGAATAATCCAGCCTGCCATCAGGTTCGATATACTCGCGGAGTATTTGGCGGCATTCCATATCTCTTTGTCTGATTCCCCATTTATGGATGATCTTCCTCACTTTGTTGCGGAAGCTTTCATCTTCTAAGCGTTCGACCAAGCCGTAATCTGCTGGGTTTTGGGCGGACCCAGGTGATGGTTTTACCAAGAATGCGCATAGGACGAGAACACTCAATGGCTTTCTGTAATCGATGGCCCGTGATAATAATGATTTCATCGAAATGTTGTCATGGAGAAGCGCACCATACGCAATCATCAGATGGAGAGCATCAGTTGTCAGCTGATCCCCTGTGACATTCTCGATGGCGAAGTCCAAAATGCTGGAGCCTCGCTGCAGTTCTCCTGTGTTGGAGACCGCGCCAGCTTTCAACAGAATTGCCATATTCCTAGTGTGGCCTTGGGATAGGCCTACCATGAGAGGCGTATAACCCTCGCGAGATATTGCATTGGGGTCCGCACCGTGCTTCAGCAAGGCCTGGACGGATTGGCTTTGCCCCTTCTGCATTGCCCAGTGAAGTGGCCTCTCATTGAGATGCAGTGAATGTACAAGTTCGGGATATTGGTCCAGGACTCGATCAATAGCAGAAGCGTTACCCGCCTTTACGGCTTCGTGCAAGTTCATTATCTTGTTGTCGTCCTCTGACAAGGGGGCAGGCCGAGACGGCCGGTAAGGCAGGCTTGAAGTAGCCCATTCTCCAGACATCTTCTCAACAAGACAATCATCGTCCGATAATGTCCGGTAAAATGGACTCGCGTCATTGCCTTGATGTGCGGGGCTATGCTTACTCAGCAAGTCGTATGATATGAACGAGCGAAGACATCCTGGATGAGGGCAAGTATAGACAGAAGGTGCTGCCATCACCAAGATTCATATGACGCGTCTCGTCTCGCAGGTTCTGGACACTGGTGGATTCTGGCATATGATTCGGAGTGCTTCAGCAAGTTCCGTTGGCTTGCTGAATCGGACAAAACAGCTGAGGAAGGGAACTTGGAATGCCCACTGGTCTCCACCCACAGCCTTACAGAGAGGTCATCAGCTGCGATAATTGCAGGGCAAAACGAGGGGAGGCCCCTGTCGTGGGACTACCATGGTGGACCCATTTGAACTGTGGAGTAGAAGAGGATGTACCAATAGCATCCCACAGCCTGCAAGGCAATTCAGCTTCGTGAGCGCATGGCGACAATTTGCGAGCACAAATAAGCAGACACGCCACGTTCGCAGCATCGTGGTTTTGAAGTGATCTCAACTCCTTTCTGAATCCAGACAAGTTTTGTTAAGTTTCCACCTCAATATGCCAAACTCCAGCGGCCGCATCGCCGGCGACATGAAATGGCATATTTATCGCTACCCTTCAAAACCCGGTACCCTCATGTCACTTGGCACTATCTTGACGCAGCCCGACAATCTGGAGGAGCCATTACACGTTCCTAGTGGGACAGGCCCTTTCTTACCTCATCAACTCCTGGACCAAACAGACGCGGTGCAGAGGGTGATAAGATCTGAGCTCACCAACAAGTTCGGAACGCAACTGCAGGCTGTACTCCCCATCAATCCTTTCATCAGCGCAGGAGGTGGTGCTGAAACACAATGGTCAAAGAGCCGTGCAGTGACAGCCGAAGCATTGGGCATCTCAGCTCGGGTTCTCAGGCCGGATGCTGCCAGAGAATACCTAGAGGCACAGTTATCATTACCCAAAATTGTTCGATACGTGAGGGAGGGATTCTTTGCAAAGTCTCTGTATGTCATTGTGGGGGTGGCTACAGCAAAGAAGTTCTACCTGAGCGAAACACTTTCATCTGAGAGAGCCGCTTCCGTCGAAGGAAAGGTGCAGTTTCCGATGGCTGGTGTCGACGTCGGCGTTGGGCCCTCAGTCAGCATGGTTGAAGAGCGAGGGTCTGACGCGGATATCCAAGGAGAGTGTGATTTTGCGTATCGAGTGAGGGAGTTTGTCTACTCAAAAAGAAAGAAACAAATCAAGGACAAGTCTACAGATTTCGTAAAAGGCACCCTGTTCGGGCTGGACGAGGGTGTTGAACTTGATGCGGGTTTTGAGTTGCGCGGGAGAGTCAGCCCCCAAGCATTTCTCCCGGCTGAGGGAGATGCAAAGACGATGGAAGAATTCCCTGTTCTTGATTATATTGAAGATTATGATGAGGAGTTTGGCGACAATGACTCGAGTTTCACTACGTGAAGTTCATAGATGCTCCAGATGGGGCTAGCATAGTCAGAACTATATATGGTCATGCGGCTACTATGAGATGATATATAGTGTTGATTATAATGATCTTGAGTATTGGCCAACCTTTACGAACCTATTTGATATCCTTACTCTGGATGACAGTGCCGAACGCATCCGCAATCTCACTCAAAGCAACTTTGGTTAGCTGCTCGGCAGCCACACCAGGAATATCTCTGTCACCCACGGCATCTTCGGCGATCAGCACATCATATCCCCGCTGAGAGGCCTGTCGAGCAGTTGTTGATACACACACATGTGCCTGTTGCTAAGGTTAGCAATGTCTCAGGCAAAGCAGAACGGCCCAAAAGCAATTACCATATACCCAGTGAGCACGACTTTCTTGCTCCCCACCTTCTCCAGGTGGTCCTGCAAGTCTGTGCCCGCAAATGAGCCCGGGTATTGTTTCTGGATCACCTTCTCGCCATCCTTTGGGGTGAGTTCCTCAAACTCCTGGGCCAGGCTGGTCTTGGGTGTGAAGACGGGAGCTCCATCCGGAGTAGCGTGCACGACATGGACGATGCTCCCTTTTGCATCGCGGTACTTCTTCAGCAGGTCTGCGATGGCTTTCCGTGAGGAGTCAACGTTGGACACTTTGAGCTTGCCCTCGGCATACTCGTTCTGCGCGTCAATAATAACGAGCGTGCTGTCGCTTGGCGAAGCCGTGGACGGTGTGACGCCAATAATGTCACGGAAAGATGTTGCAGAAGCCATGATGTGAACCTGAACTGATGTGGTATGCTTGCGCCTGGGAAGTCGCTCGATGGGTCTGCGGCGGAATATATTTGACCAAGAAGATTGATGAGGGGGAGGGTTTATGCTAGTGCTCTGCTATACGTAATTCCGCTCAGTTACTATGTCGGGTTTAAGACCTTCCGAATCCCAAGCACACCATTTCTGAACCCTAATACACCCCTGATAAGCACGTTTTTGGCGGGGTAGCGGGGTTCACAGGTATCAAACAGCATAGTAGGCATCAAACAGTACTCAAGCGACTGACAGCCAGAAAGAAGGCGTAGGGCAAGGTGCGAAGGGAGATATTATTAATGATGACCGCGCGCCTCTATCTCCTTATGTCGAATGATTTGCCCTAGGTGCACGTGCGAAGTAAACTTCCCGCCCATTTTCTGTGTAATCCAAGTTGCTATTGTCGCGCTGCATTGGCGTCTCTACTGACTCAGTTTCTATAGTGGATCTGAAGTTTCTACAAGATTAGAGCCTTGTAAATCTTCGAAATTCCCCTGTGCGGTTATCTATTATACTCTTCGCCTCCTAGAAACAGGTGATCAGGAAGCAGGCATAGATTTCGACGCGCTGACTGTGCCATGGATCCAATTATATCATTAATGTGTAATTGCGAGAAGTCTATTTCGGTTTTAGGATTAACATTGCGTTTGGGGCGCAGTTGTGGCAGAACGCAGAGATACGAGAGCTGCATGAGCTGAGAGCGCCCAGCCTCAACTTGGCGTCAGGAATGAGCGTCGTACAAGAACTGAAAGGAAGGTGATTTAATACAGGAAAGACCAGGGAATCACTGAAATGCAACTCGCCTCGACAATCACATGCTATTACTTATTTTTGTCGTGGGCAACTTTCTCTGTGTGCCATGGATCGACAAAGTTATAACCTCTTGGGACCTGGGCATCCAAGGAGACAGTCAAGCCCATCTCGGAACGACGGTTCAAGGCGAACGCGGAATCAAGGCTGGGACGAAAACCAACGACTTGCGAAACCACCTCCACAGGTTAGCGAACGCAAGGTACCAGAGCCGAAGAGAACAGCTCAGTCCTTGAATTGGTTTGGGTTCTGGGTATGGGAATTAGCTGCACTCGCTCTCATCTGCATCGCACTGGTTGCACTGGTCGTAACACTATACCCGCATCAAGGCAAGCCACTGCCAGAATGGCCGTTTGATATCTCCATCAATGCTCTTCTCTCCATTTATTCCCTGGTATTCAAAGGAGCCCTTCTGTTCGTCGTAGCGTCGTGCCTGGGCCAGCTGCAGTGGAAGTGGTTTTCCTCCGAGCGCCCCTTGTACGATTTGGTCCGGTATGACGAGGCGACTCGTGGTCCATGGGGATCCGTAATTAGTGCTTCTTTGGTCCCAGAAGTTCCGGCAGCCACTCACGACGTTGGCCATCGCATTGACAGTCGCTGCCGTTGCTATAGATCCTATTATCCAGCAGTTCATCTCTCTGACGGACTGCAGCGCCGTGCTGACGAGCGAGAGCTCAACCATTCCCCGGACGAGTCTTTTTAATCCAATGACGGCATCCTTGGGGAACGAGGCAGCCATGTCGAGCGAAGAGCTTGAAGTTGCACTCAACGCTCGTGTCAACTCGCAGACATCAGAAATCACCAGCGAGTGCACCACTGGCAACTGCACGTTCACGCAAGTGTATAGCACGTTGGGATACTGCGGCTACTGCAAGGATTCTTCACATGACATTGTCTTCAATCAAACCTGCTACCAGCACAACCGTACAGAGTCACGTCACGGCTATGGAGCCTACAGCTACTTTCAAGACTGTGCCACCGGCCAGTTTGAGAACATTTCTTCGACTCTGCCTTCGGGCGTTAGTTCTGTGTTCTCGAGTGAAATCCAGATCGGCGAATCAGTCGACCTGTTGAAGATGGATTTCCACGAAGAGGATTATGCAGATGTTTCGGACCCGGTTGGAAGTGTAACCGCCTTTCGGGCTGATTTGTTGGTCGGGAAGACAATCATGTCGGGCAAGGGCATCGACATCCTCACAGGTAAGAATTTTACGGACTGCAATGGCACAGCGAGCAAAAACACATGGCGTTGTCGAGGGTACGGTGCCGCGACCTGTAGGTTGCAACCTTGCGTCCGCCGGTACAATGCTACTGTGACCGCAGGCCGCCTGACAGAACAACTGCTGGATTATTCTCCAGATATACCTTGGGGCAGCGGCCATCATACCACCATGGGTTCATCTTCGTTCTGGGCCCTGCTCGACACTCGCTGCGTTTCGGCTGAGGAGGAAGCCCGAGTGGTCGAGCAAGGATATCATATGAACGGATCGACCCCTTGGATTCCCTTCAACATTACGTCGCCACTGTCGGCTTCAAATGAGGACACGGGGGAACTTTTGCAATCTTTATTGGAAAAGAAGTGCCTCTTCCTTGTTGGGGAAGGGTTTACAAGCTCGCTGGGAAGCCACATGGCTTTCAAGCTTGGCACCATCAAAGGTGTCATAGGCGGCGCGTCACTCACCGCTGGACAAGGCGCTGGTGTTCCACAGGGACCGCCGATGCTACAGAGGATTTACGACTATGGGAGGGTTGATCTGGACCACATCCAAAGTACGTACAACTTGATCGCTGAAGGGCTCACCGAGTACATCCGAATGCATGGCAACGCATCATTCTCGGAGCCGGCAACTGGGCAAGTGCATCACTTTGCGACATGTTTGAACGTCACGTGGCAGTGGATTGCTTTCCCAGCAGTATTGTCTCTTGCGACTCTAGTCCTGTTTGTGTTGACCGTCGCCACGACCACAGCTCAGAAGATGCCTGTGTGGAAGTCGTCGCCCTTAGCCTGGATTTGCCGCGGCCCAACAACGGCTGGATGGTCGAGTCGCGACGAAGGTGATGGGCCGCCACTCACGAAACACGGAATGGAAGCTTGGTCGAAAACGTTTGCTGTAAAACTGTCTGGAAGAGATGACCCTGTGATTAAGAGGGACTTGATGCCCTATGCGAGCCGACGGGAACACTGGATAGGACGCTAGTCCAACTTATCTCGAACAAAATATTCATGCAGCGGGGAAACAAATACTGCGACGGAAATCGCGAGTCTTATAAAACGGTGTTTGAGATCTTGATAGTCCGTAGAAAAGAGCCTCGTAAGGATATGAACACGTGCAGGAGCCATTAGAAGCTAGATACTGAAAGACGTACCCCCGGGGGGGACCCTTCCTGTTTCTTATGCACTCACTCTAGCTGGTCGTCTTCCTTACCTTCGCCCCTGGTACGAGACCGTGCCATAGTACATCCAATCTATGGCGATTTGAAAAGATAAGGCTGATGACGCCAAGATATCGAGATATTAGACACATGAGACCAACCATATGCTTGCCACCAAGGGCAGCAAGAGGTCAAATTGCCTTGAGTTCCTGATGATTTTGTCGACGGTATCGTAACGTTTGGACCTGGGGGCATCATATCATGCTCACTTTCCGAGCGTCCCGCATTCATTCCATAGGAGAAGAGTTTTCTTTTGAACAATATTGGGTATAATACTCCGTCGTCAGCGTCTCTTCAGCTGCGTGGTATGTACAAAACCATGCTCTACATTGCTCAGGTGACCTAAGCCCCGTGAATTTACCAGGAGACGGTGCGCCGTGTCCGTCCATGCAGACTCTATGTGAAAATAATGAGGTATGAAAAGCCAGACCAGAAATGTGGTATCAACAAGAGTGTAAGCGAGTGACCTGTCCTATTATGCGCCGGGGGTTGTTTTCCATCCAACTGAATGCCTGTTCCACCTTTGAAACAAGCTTCCCCCAATCGTCCAATTGCGCCACATGCAATGTAGGATGGGAAAGGCACAACATCGCTATGAGCCGTAGACCGAACGCCGTAAATGTGAGATGAGTAATTCGTGATCAGTAATGATCCGGTTGATGTACCGACATCACCGATTTCGGTCATCGGCAGTCTCCCGAGACCGTGTAGTTGACGGGGTTGAAGCTTCTCTGAGGCTTCTGGATAATGCTCGGAACCAATTTTCTTGCTGGTGCGTTCTGCGTGGTGTTGGCGATAGAATGCCTTGCTCGACGTCAATATCGGTATCGGCTCTACGAGCTGAGCGTGTCGAGCTGCCCGAGGAAGATGTCGAGGCCTCGCCGACAAAGTCGTCATCGCTGTCATCACGATACGGCTCATACCGTGGACTGGAAGGTGACCCTCGTGCCAAAGAGCGGACCACATCTCCCTTGCAGATGGGACAGGTACGTCGACGTGTGGTCAGCCATGGAGTACTGGTGAATGTTAGCAGGGCCACCCAGAAGATGCAAATCAAATCGAACAGGGCACACCCACATGCACTCAACGTGGAATTCATGCCCACAAGGAAGGCTCATGACCTGACTGACGCCATCGATATACTCCTCAAGACATACCACGCACTCCACTTGTCTTCCCATGTACTTCTTCCACTCGCTAGGCTTCTCGTGTGATGGGGACTTCGGAACTTGTAGGGAGGCATTAACTTGCAACAAGTCACCCGCGACACCCGTAGTAGTCCTTGAGCGGGGTCTGGGCCTAGACGGTCCATGTTGACTTTGTAGCAGCGGCGTAGTTGGCGAAGGAGGCGAGGGCGACGGAGAACGTGGGATTCTGGGGGACTGGCTAGGGGTTGACGCCACAGTATGGTACGTTCGCACAGGGAGTCTTTCTACCACAGACTTGGGGGCTCTCCACCTACGACGACGGATGCGGGCCCTGAGAATGAGGAGCGCATAGACCACAGTCAGGGTGATCAGTGGGCTAATGACCAGGACCAGAAGCGTGTCAAAGAAAGGACTTGCGCCGCTTGTAGGTGTGATTACAACCCAGAGGCCTTCCTCTTCTGGTGGCGTATCCTCATCAGGAGCCGGGATTTCCACAATGGGATTGTTGACAGACGGGGGCGCTGGGTGGGATTTGACAACTTCGAGCTCATCATGTGTCCCGAAGAGCTTGGATAAGAACCCGCGGTGTCCCTCACCTTTGGACTTGGGAGTTTCCAGCTTCGTTTCCGGCGCGGTTTTGCCTTTGTGTCCATTGGGCAAGTACTCTCCGCTGCCGGGAGTGATACTGCCGCCTTTCGGCCCGCTGGTATCCTTGGGCTTCCTATCTCCGGAAATCTCTGAGCCAAGCTTGGAGCCTGCCGCGGCATGCTTCTCAGTGCCCTGAGCAGATACGTGAGATCTGTCCTGGCTGGATGAGCTGAGAAGATCGGGATCTCTCCAATCCTCGACGCCAATCTTGAATCCATCGCCGGACGACTGATCTGCCTTGGAATGTGAACCACTCTTCTTCTCAGACTTGGCAGCGTTGTCGAGGCTGTTCTTGATAATCTTATCCTGGCTGTCCGAGAAATCTTCGACCAGCACCCAGTCACGCTGGCCACTAGTCGGTGGACGGCTGCTTTCGCCAGCTTTGGAGTCCGAACCCCAGCTGAAGATACGGGAGTACCAACTCGAGCTGGAGGCATCGAGCTCTGTAGGGCTGCCAGACTTTGAATCCACTGCCTTCTTGGCCTGGGTTTTTGGGACAGACAAAGCGGTGTTCTTAGGGGTTCCAACCGTCGTGGCTGTCTGCAGCTTGGCGTTTCTGTTCCTGCGAGCCTTATCAGACCGCTGTACTTGGTACGAAGGCTTGCCGTTCTCGTCAATAATGTCCTCGATAAAGCTGCCAGGCTGCATAAGAGACGATAGGAGGTATGCTGTAGTTCGAGACGTGAAGATGGAAGGAATCGTAACGTTTGAGGTATCGCCACGCGCAAACATCTGGATTAGAGGCCCGCCGCGTCGGTTGTCTCCCACGATTAGGGCGACGGCTCCCCGTCTCTGTGCCCACTTCACCTTTTCGAGAAAGCCACATCCGCCGCGGCTCAAGAGAACAATCTTGCCCGCTATCTCGGCTCCTTCTTGTATCGATTGGATGTCTGCGTGGCCCGAACTGGCCAACCCAGCGGCGTCATTCTTTGACTTGTGCGAAGACCCAAAGCCCTCGTGAAGGTAGTCATCCGTGCCATCGTTCACAGATTTGCTCTTGCTCTTGGATTTGGAATCGGGGTTCGATACGGGAATGCGGTCGATCATGGGGCTGTTGGACTTGTCACCCCGCTTCTGGTTCTTCGACTTGGCCCCGGAGAGACTGGGCGCAGACTTGTCGTCAATCTTCTTGGCGGAAGACTTGAACACAGCAGTAATGCTGCTGCCGTCGTAACCGGGCACATCACTGCAGCCGAGCTCTCCATCGCTCTCCTCGCCGTCCTGCAGAGTATCCTCGGTAAAGCCGCTGCCGATCCAGAGCTGGCCGTTCAGGCCTTTGGTGGGCAGCGGGGGCCCGAAAGCAGCCGGCCGCGCGGCGAATGATGTGCTGTTGTCATCGGCAATGGTAATGATGGCATTCGGCGGGAAGAGCGAGAAGGGCGCCGAGAAGGAGAAGAGCGACCTGAAGCCGGACTTCTGGGTGGACGCGGGCGCCGATATGACCGGAGGGGTTTGCCCTACAGCCGTGATGGAGCGGCAGAGCAGGAAGAGGCAGGCGGCGAAGAAGAGCACGAGAATGGCGATTCTCGGAGGACGCATGGTTGCGCCTGTGTTTGCGGTGGGAGGCCAACAGCGAGGACTTGATCCAGCTGTTGCTGGTGCTGCTGCGGCTAGAGAAACACCACGGAAACGGTGGAGGCGTGGTGGAGGTGGTGAAGTTGTGGTATGCTGATCGGAAGGATGCTGCCGTTTCGCTGCTCGCGTCTAACGTTATTCATGCAGCTGGAGATCAGCCTGTCGCATTTGGGTTTGAACCATTCGCAGTGTTGTGTTGGGGTGCACAGTCCGCCCGACAGCCAGCAATGGACAATTAGTCGACGACGTCGGAAAGGCGAAGAACGGAGCGGAGCGCAGGTGAAGATGGAGGGGAAACAGTTACAAGCACGAGGAAGGAAAGCAAAAGCGGGAGCAAAAGGTCGGGAGCACGTCACAGGAGGTCGAAAAGAAGGTACGGTGAGAAGGAATCACGGGTTGGGAGTAGGTAGGGCGTCGTCGGTAGGTTTACGTGATGAGTCGAGTCGTGTGCAAGGGAACTAGGTGATGACGATCAACTCAAATGCCATGTGCCGTCGCCGCCGCCGCGCCGCCCGTGAGCGAAAATGGGTCAGAGGCCAGGCAAATGGGGGCTGGCTTCACCGGGCCAAAGTTGGGGCTGGTCTCAGACTCAGAGTGTAAGTAGCAAGGTAGAGAGACAAGTGCTCCGAGTTGGAAAGTGTGCAAAACGCTGCCATGAGCTGAGGCGTGACCAGTTCGGCTTGGAGTGACTGATGAGGATGGGTGACTGGGGTTCAAGTCAAGTGGGAGCTGGAGAGCTTGCGAGATGGTGGAGGGTCGATGATGATGATCCGCCCAAATCGCTAAGGGGACTTATTAGTTGGAGACGGGCGGGATGAACATGGGGAGCGTCTCGCTGCTGTGCATGCACACACACACATGTGTTTGGACTTGTGTCTTGGCGGCGGGAGAACTGCGCTGGCTACGCAAACCCACAAGCCCCAGCCCCAGCCCCAGGGCAGCCGTCGACTGGCTATTGGAGATACGGAGTGCAATAGTCAAGGTCAGGCGTCAATCACACGATGCTACATATGGATCCATGGATGCGTCTGTGGTCCATGGGGCCTGCCCAGGCGGCAGCCCAGGATGGCATTCTCGACTCTCGAGGCTGGCGTCCGATCGACTGGGAACACCCCTCCATCTCCTCGGGGCTCCTTTGAGCTGTGCCAGCTGATGGGAACGCGATAAGGCTAGTTGAGGTAGAGACGACACCTCCAGGAGGCAGGGAGGGGACTCGCCCTGACAGGAGGGGACCCTCAGGCCTCAATGTTGCCAGGCCCGTGATTGGGGGTTCGGGATCGGTGGTTGGCTGGTTGGCGTTGCCCTCAGTGTTCGCCATGCATCCATGCAGGACATGCGCATGACAACATAGATTCCAGCTACGCGCTGCAGAACAACTACCTTCTTCCCCGAACAAGCATTTGCTGAGTATGGGGTTGCGTCTGGCGCCGCGGGTGGCATGACTTGGATGGCAAGAAGACATCACGGACAATAACGTTGGCATAGCCCAGTCGTGGCCAGGGACATAGTTCTCTGAAGCCGGAGTAGCACGCCCCAAGGTTGCGGTGACTCGGCGAGGATGTAAATCGGAACTCTAACCCCAGGCGCAGCGGGGTTTGAGGCTTTTGCGGCCATACGCCCACTGCTTCCAGGCAAGTTTCCAGGGCTCGGGTCACGCTCTTCTGTTGCTTGCATATGCCACTATCTTGGTGTAGGCGCTGGTTTGCAGTAGCACCTGTCACATGGCATCCGGCCAAAAGTCGAGACCTCAACATTCGTCAAAAGTTGCAAGATTAGATGCGGTACCAGTGGATCGTGCAGCCTCTCGACAGTACGGGTGGGTATTGTGCCTTGCACCCGCTCATGGCCGCATGTCGTTTCAGTTGAGCAAAACGAGTAGATCGCAATGCACTGGGGGCACGAGCAGCAAGGCCAGGCAGGGTGGCAGAGGCTTGTGCGACGAGTTTCAGGCTCAAGCACCCCCGGTGATCTACTGTTCTAGCGCCCGAACCAACGTTTTGTGGGGGATGAGTTCAGCGTCCTGAGTGGCCACATCCCGACGCGGCAGTCCAGGAGGTGCACAGTTCAAGCTGAGGTGCCCGCAAGGTCCATCTTGATTGTACGTAGTGTACCGGCATCTGCTGTAGATAGATAACTGCATGAAACGCTTGAAACATTGAGATCTATGTATTGACCCTCGATGACGACTTCTCAAAAATCTCCTCGAGCGACGAACGCTAGCCACGGACGACCCCAAGTCCCTTTGCCTTGAAGAACGCACGTCTAGTCCAACCTGATAGCTTTCAGCTCGGCGAGGCGATCTCAAGATGCGATTGCAGTGAGGCCGGGACGAGTAGATGCCCCTTTGAACACGGAGGATAAAAAGGCATGCACCTAGTCGCGTTCAGCGCGCGGGGTCTCTAAGGGCGACTACGGCTCACGGGCACGATGAGTACTTCGGAACAACGTACTGTATTTCTCCAGGGGGCCAAGTGGGATGTCTGTCGGAAGGAAAAGCGCAGAGAAAATAATATCTGGGAAGATGCCCCTATGTGTGCCGGCAGGCGACCTTGCCCGCCGACTTGCTCTTTGCCGGCGAAGAGTCATCGGCGTCGGAATTCCATGGCATTGATGAGCTCCGAATCGGCAAGCGCCGACTTTGCCAAGACGGGTTTTTGCTCCGGCGCAACGGGGGCCTGCCTCATGGACGCTAATCTACATACTTAAAGCGAGTGCTTATGGACCTTCCAGCCGGCTTTCCCTACCTCGAATCTCCAAGCTGAGTTGCTGCTGAAAAGGGGGTTCGTGCCTCAAGATTGAACCGAATGGTCAAACAAGATCCTACTTCACCAGTAGCAGTCATGGCGCTCCCCTTTGCAGCCCCCGCTTCTCTTTCGTCGTCCTTCGCTATATCCTACTGCACTCTGGTAGACCTAGACGCACTCGCAGAAGTTTATTATGAAGCCTTCAAGGCGAATCCTGGAAACACCCATTGGTGGTCACCGAGTCGAGAGTCTATGATGGCCTGGATGCGTCGCAGAATGACGCCAAAGTTTAGAGACCGTAACATACGCCACTTTAAAATCACGGACATCGAGAGCGGGGATCTGGTGGCGTGGGCGAGATGGGATATCCCTAAAGAGTCCACGCACTTCGGCGAATGGTCTGGCGGCGCAGGGGATGTCTCCAAGATCGTTGGAACGGAAGATGTGGCCACTGGGCCGATCGACCAGGCCGACGAGATCTCGGCGAGTGCCTCAGCTGTAGAACCGGCACCGGCGCCCGCGGATTGTCCCGAGGGCGCAGATCCGGCGGTATGTCGACGATTCTTCGACGCTCTATCCGGTGCTTCGGACAAGTGGTATACAGAGAACATGTTAGGTGAGGCAACGCCCTGAAGCCCTGGCCGGCAAGTATCAGCTGACAGAAGAATACGTTAGGACTATCGTTGATATGTACGGCACCAAAGTACCACAGACGGGGCGCAGCCAAGGCATTAATTGCTCCCATGCTGTGTCTTGCGGATGAAGCTGGCATCAAGGCTTATTTGGAAGCTACACCAGAAGGAAAACCTGTGTATGAGAAATTGGGTTTCCGCGAAGTAGATACACTAGACTTTGATCTTGGAGAGCCCATCGGCCTCTACCAGCTATGCGTCATGGTTAGGGAACCTATTCTAAGCAAGTAATAGATAAACATCTCTATGACCCAGCGATCCAGCCATACCGAAGCTCGGTTGAGTTGTTAATAGTAGGCATATGGCACAGACCTGACGACCGCCCTCAAATCTTCGTTGACCTTGAAAATCAAGTCCCAGAGCAGATAAGGAAACGTCAAGCTCCACTATACATCTTTCCGGCTTTCCCCAGCTTATGTAGCAGCCTGCGGTTTCCTGACGGATTATCGCAACGGTGAGGGCCCATATCTCAGTATGAAAAGTGGTCATTACCGCAACTTAACATGTATTCGAGGTAGAAGGACTTGGTGGATAGGGTACCTAGAGAGTCTGGAAATCTGGAGGCTTACCCCAGAGTTATAATGGGTTTTGCGGACTGCGAAAAGTTCCGCTTCATATGATTATGTCAAAGACGTAAATCTTGGCCACATTACAATCGGGAGTACAGGCCTCGATACGGCCGAGCTCTTATACTTAGTGCTGTTGATTAACGATGGCCAAGACTATACCATTCGCGCAAGCTGTTCCTCAATCTGGTCCCAGTGGCCCTTGTTCATGTAACCGGACAGCCAGTAATTGCCATCGTTATCCTTCCCAATGATGGGGAATCCGTTCGGAAGACATAGTCCAAACTGGCAGTTTTGTATATATGTTGGCCTGAGGGGCTTTTGCATCTTCTCTGTCGGCTCCCAGTTGGGCACTGCTGCCGAAAAGTCCGTCTCAAAGAGTCGAGCCTTGCACCAATTTGAGTAGGTGACCATGTGCATGCCGCTGTCGCCGAAAAAGGGTGGCAACTTTGCGGATGATTCTCTCCACATCGAAGCGAACGCCTCTACCTGGGCACGAGTTCCCAGCGCCTTGATGGTCTGGCGGAAAGTAGACGCCACACGGCCAAGCGGCTGACTGAGGATGTCGGCTACAGGCAGCAACACGTTGATGAATCCAACGGCGTTAGAAATGTAGGGGTTGCTCTGAGGAAGCAGGTCCTCAGCCAAGGGCGAACGCAGCGAGTAGGCGTTGTTGATGCAAACCGTCCGCCGTGAACTGGCGGGGAGATGTGAGACTGCAAGTTTTGTCCACCATGCGCAGAGGATGTCCCCATCGCTCAGGAAGTACCCATCCTCGTCGGAAGCCACAGTAGAGGCTTTCGTCTCATATGAGATTGCAGACGATGTGGGCGAAAGGCTTGTGGGTGAAAATCCGCCATCTGAAGGGCTTGAGGGTGCAGATAATGGTTCGTCGGCTGAGCTGAGAGAATGATTTGCCATCCCAGTTGTCAAGCTGATGGAGCAATTCTCGGCTCTCTCATCCGCGAGGTCGATATAAGCCTCTCTGCGTAGCTTTTGCACAAACGCCGCAGGCACACAGACCATGCGGTTCTTCTTGCTACTGAAAAGGCTGGGAATGGTGCCTAGTCCGTATCCCACAAGCTGCAGCATTGACATGCGTTGTTTCTCGAGTTTATGAGCCTCGCTTGGATGTTTTCCAAGGTCCGAAAGAGGGTCATTATCGGGCATAAGTGGAGGGACGACCTCGTCAGCGCGGCCCTGTAATACCAACGTCCATGCTTTAAGAAAGTCTTGCTTCCCTAATGCGTCCATCAAGGTATGCGGCCAGTATAGCGAGACTAGGGTTTTATCTTTGAACGACACAATGTGAAGACCAATCTGAGGGACATCTGCATTTAGATAATGGTTCAACTCAGTCGGGGCGCCATCCTTCTGGAACAGGCTGCGAAACTCGTCCGGGTCACAAACTGTTGCGGGCGTTGCACTTGGTCTCGGTAGGCGCGATGCGACAGCATGATCCGTACTAAGCATGTCAAATGTGGTATGGGAGTATGCCACGGCTGAACGTTCTGTCGTGAACTGTATGGGCACGTGATATTCTAGGCCCCCTGTTTCCTGTTCAGTTGATCAATGTACTGGCCAATTGGTTGGTGGTGGTGATGTGACATACGTTACGACGCAACCGGGCCCCGATTTTCTGCCAGCCGTCTCGCCTGGCCAGCTCTTCGAGGCTGTTCCGGAGCCGTTCTGGGTCAAGCACCTCGTCGTACACAAACATGGAATACAAAATGAAAGATCGCCATAGCGGGGTATCATCAAAGTAACGGAAGGGGATAACGGTATCCGTAGGAACCCTAGTTGGGGGAGCTGATCTCCGGAACATTTTGGGTCTGCTTTTTTCGTTGATTCTATGAATGTGTCTCGGGAAGTCGAGTCACCTGGGTGCCGGATGCTGTGTGAACTGCGAGACAGTTTTATTTGGGGGATACGCCCGCGGCGCAGCGCAATGCGATATCATATCATCCATCCATCCATCCATCATAATGCGCGCAATCTTGAACCCTGTTGACTGCCCCATCGCTAGCCCTTGGGGTTGCAGCAGGCATGGTAGCTAGAACCAATTAAATCAATGTCAAAAGTTGTGCTGCTTGGCAAGTGGTCCATTTAAGCCATTGGATGATATTATAAATTTCTGTTCAGATATGCTGCATTCAAGAGGCTGCAGCTTATGTGGCGTGATCTCAATATCCCGTTCACGACACTTGCATGGAAGACAGTTCAGCTAGAAGTCAGCCAGTCAATGAACCACTGGGGAATCAGAAGTCCTTGCCATGATCTTCTCAGTTACACGGGGGTCATGCTGACCGCGTCGGCTGAGGCCAGAGCAGGTTAGCATCGCCGGGTTATGTGGAGCACAGACATTTTAACCCGTCGCGTTCCCATTGGATAACACAAGGGTCTTCCCATGAGACCTTTACTAGGTCCGCGTGCGAGGTCGTATTGTAGCTCTCTTTTGGCCATGATATACAAATGCAGGTCAAAGGAGAATCGGCCCATCGTATTGATTTCTTGCAGCGCCCAGAGAACAAGGATGACTTTCTTTTGAATAGATCCCGCAAACATTACCCAAGGCAGAGCTTGACATCAGGTAATAGCTATTTCCTGGAGAGTCTTGCAGCATAACCAGACAGGTCAACATTTGGCCTGAAAGGGTGGGCTCTTGCCGAACGGCAGCGCAATAGGTATAGACATCATGATGGTTATTTGAATATTTGATTTTGGAGGACAGCCTTCCCGTTCTTTACTATGTTCCAATTCATATCGCTGCTACCCACTTGTCACATACATCACTACGTATCACAGTGGTATTTTCAGGGGAGCAAGGGAGATACCAGGACCCCGCGACATGGGGGAGACAGGACTCGCAAAGTACAACCCCGGGAGGACCCGCCCGGCAGGGAGACTAGATACCTTGCACTACCGTACATTCCTCCACAGTAGCAAGATTCGTCTTGTCCTTCACAGCAATGAATCGACGCACGTCGTGTTCATGGGCCATGTGTTGCGAAGCGCATCGATACCTGAGGTGGCTAGCTCAGTTGCTAAGATGGATCACCAGGATCGGGCCGCTGGCACTAATCTGGTGGAGAGTTTAGACGGTGGGCCAAGTGGACAGACCCACTCTCTGTTGTAGATTCTCAAGCCCTGCCCGCCACTGTCAAGTAGTGTCGCTGGCCAGGGGGCATGATACATTCATGTTACCACAATACCAGATCTGTCCTGCTGTCTCACTTCTGCATCCTCGGAGCTAGATATTCTTTACTATCATGAGACAGACTAGCGGTTGCGCCAGGTACGGCTGGGTGGAGACAGGACCGCGGGAGCTGTCAGCGGCCGCTAAAAACCCCTAGCGTGCTGTGTCCATCCGGGATGCAACGGTGGCCGACAAGTCACCCCAGGGCGGAAATTTCCAGCAGCCATCCGCACCAGTGTAGGGACCGTATTCGCGAGTTCTGCTGGTGGGTACGTCGATCGTGTAGCGCTTCGAGCTCTCGGCAAGTGAAGATGCATGGTAATTTATTCGTTAGTGATTCGCTAGCTGCAGCTCATGCCCGGCATTGTCTGGCGCAAAGGGAAATGGAGAGCACCATAACCTTGGCCTGCTCCTGGGAAAGAAAACCCCGTGGGTCAGACCCATCATCTGGTCGCCACGCAGAGCATGAGCACTTCCTTTAAAGAGTCTGCTTGCTGACTTCCGCATGCTCATTCACGGAGGTCTCAGTCTAATATCCAGACGGGTCTTCAGTATGTCTTCAACCGAGCCTTCCGCCATCGAGCAGGGCGAGCTTCTCCAGGCCGCCGCGTATGCTGAGCCGCCTATCACGCCGAGGAACCTCGCCCTGAGCCTTATGGTCATTGTCTTAGTCACTGCCACCATAGCCACAATAGTCGTTGGCTTACGAGTCTATGTTCGAGGATGGATGGGCAGGAAGACGCATAACTGGGGCTGGGACGATGCTTCCGCTGTTCTAGGCTACGTGAGTAACATGTCTCTTAGTATGATGTTATTACCGTCAACGACGGTGGAGTGCAAAACGTCGTGTGATATATCACTTGAACCTGCTTTGCCTCTTCTGTGCCACCCAGCTGACCTGCGACTGCTTTGTGCCCTTAGCTCGCTTTCTTCTCCAGCAGTATTTTCGCCATTAAAGCTGCCCACTACGGGCTGGGCACGCCGGACGCCGACCTTAACCCTTATCTGATGGTCCGATGCGCCGAATACTTGCTCTACTCGCAGGTACTATATGGCGTGTCGATGCCCTTCATAAAAGCATCAGTTGTGCTCACTCTAGTACGCATCACTACGAAGAGAGGGTACCGCTGGGCCTTGTATGGCATGCAACTGGTGGCTAGCATCATGGCCGTGGTAGGCGTTTTGGCTTCCCTACTTTACTGCAGACCCGTGCGAGCATACTGGAACCCTCTTCTGGGAACGTGCGGCAACTATATGACCGTGGTCAACATCGGATATGCCTGGACGGCAGTAGGGATAGTAACTGACTGGATGTGCGCTACTATCCCTTACTTCATTGTACGCAACCTGCAGATGTCCAGGCGAGCAAAGACTACGGTCATGACTATTCTGGGCCTAGGTGCTGTTGCCTCGGCAGCCACAATTGTTCGCGCGCCTTATTTGCAATACTATCTCGTCGAGACAGACCGGCTCTGTAAGCACATACTTTCTTGACGCTCTTGTGTTAGCTTCGCAGGAAACTGACACTTCACAGATTGGAACGGCCACATTTCTATCTGGTGTCAGGTCGAGAGCGGTCTTGGCCTTATCGCAACTTCCCTTCCCGCTCTTCATCAGTTATTCCGCAGATATCTTGAAACCTCTCGTTACGCGTCCGGCTCCGGGTCCGGAAGCCGGCCCGTCGGTTACGGTTCTCAGGGCGACACTCTCAACAGTCCTACAGAACAGAGTGTGCCCATGGATACCTTCGGCAGCCGCGCCAAGACTTCTGTTATTGGGGGCAAGTGGGATAGCAAGTGGGAACGGCTATCCGACGACAACTCCAGCGAAAGGCATATCATCCAAGAGCGGACGATTTCTGTTGAGACAGAAAGTACTACCTTCGACGACAAGCACGGTTCGAAGGTGTAACCTAAAACCCTACGGACGGCGATTGCTACAATCGAATTGATGCCAGTCTGCAGCAACCACTCTACCTAATTCGGTCACACTAGCCAAAAAGACAGAGACTTGATTTCCTTTTCCGACTATACTGTTACATAACTGGCGAAGCGAGCAGCTGCCCTTCATTGGATGAAATCGCGAACAGCTCTCAACAGGACTTCGATGTCCCTGATGCCCCAGAGGTGGATCAAACAGGTACAAATATGAAGATATCATAATATGGATACGGTCAGTGCGAACAAACATCAAAAGCAACGTATATTCTAGTATCTTCGAGTCTGTTCGAACGAATTACGGCCAGAAGAGCGAAGTTCCAGCAATTCAAGTTGCTGCTATATATCAGAAACGCCGGCCCATGCTACTATTGTATGTTGGCCCTTGCGGGCTTCCTTTGCAGGAATCTTTTCTAGACAAAGGAAACGTCCAAATTTCCGCCCAGTGTCATCGTTCCTAGGAACAACTTCTCCCAGCCCTTACGATAAGAGATCGTCGACCACCACGGGACCGACTTCGGCATGGGCCTTTACTTTCTTGGGAAGAAGCTGCAGAACCCGGGTCTTCTTGATTTGCTGACCGCGCTTTCCAAAGTACCTCTCGCTCTCGAAACTCCACTGGACGTTGGCCACAACCCATTGGGCGATACCGTCCACGTATGTCTGGACATCCAAGTCGACGGGGCCACCCCATCGTGGTGCCGTGAGAACGAGTTGGTTGAACTGTCGAACCAACTCAGCGTGGATCTTGGCCGCCCAGTCAATTGCACCCTGCACGTCGGTCTTGAACTCCTTCATAGCAATCGTAACGAGGTTGTGCTCGTCATCGCCGGAGGCTTGTTCTTTGTCGTATGACAATAGATCCTAAGGCATCGATGACGTAAGTTTCTGCGCCGTCTTTGAAGATTTTTGCGCGACCTTGTGGGTGGCTGGCTGGAGTGGCATAGCACTTACGTTGGCAATGATGGTGAGATCAACCGCGAGCATCTCCAGTGCCACGATGGTAGGGTGTGCCAATACCTCATCTGGCAAGTCCATATCCATCTGGAAAAAGAGCAGAGACGGCAATACCCCAATGGTCTGTCGCCGAACCTCGAGATAGCTATCAACATTGCGGATATATGACCGCGACCTGTCTTCGGCCTGTTGTGCAGTACCCTTGAGGTAATCTTCCCAGCCCACAAGAAAGCGTCGCTGAAACGACTTGGTTGAGATCTTCATGGTTTGGATCCAAAATCTGCTCAGTATCTTCAGCAAGCTTGCTCAGTCTTATGATGGGGGTGGGCGATCCGAAGGCAAGGGTATGACTTACTGTCTCGCAACCTCGCCGCCTACCCACTCTCCAGCTGGTCGGGGACTGTCCGGGTTATGGAGGGCATCCATTAGGACATGGACTTGGTTCCAAACATCGACGGGCTCGGACTTGTCGGAGTGCTCGTCAAAGATGAAGAAGAGATTCATGACATCGCACGCGCACCTCAGCTGCTCTCTCGTCAAACGCGGGTACATCAGACCCGTCAGCAGATCTTTGAAAACTTGTGTCAGCATGATGGTGCCCCCACTACTGAATCGGGGGAGGCTTCGTGGTACGCACTGAAGTTACATTTATCGAAGGCCTTCTGTGCTTGTGGTGTGAAAGCTCCGAAGCTGGCAGCCCAGTCGAGACTCTCCTGCCTGATGTCGGCTGTGTGGATGTTGAGACGACGAGGCCATAGCCAACCGGCCTCCAGGTCTGGCAGGTACACAGTCTTGGCCATTTTGAGTGGTGTTGAGTACGGGGGTTGAGAGTATGTACTTGAAGTCTCAGCAACCGTCGTACAGAACTTTGTTGCTCAGGTGTCTGTTCGCCAAAGGCCCGTACGGTTGAGGGGGTAGGAGGTCGCAACCGCCGTGGGTTCCTCAGGTTTATGTAGGAATGGGAGCCCGGAGCTCGGGTCCGTGTTATCCATCTCGCCTCACTCTTCGCTTCGTTGGTAGCGGCGAAGAAGGGCACAGGAAGCTGCGGGGGACTAATTCACTTGCCGTATAGTGCATGATTGGGTACTTGGGCGTTGGGTAGCTTCGCTGTTGACAAGCCACGTGCCCGGGTTCGGTTCGAGGTCTCACTTCTGCATGCAGGTCACAGGGCTGGCAAGGAAGCCATATGGAAGGCAGCCAGATTGTCGACCATTTGGGGTCGAATCCGCTTTCGAGGAGCAGTGGGCAGGGTATGCACACGTAAGGCTGCAGGATAACCGAGTGGCTGACCCAGGGGTTCAATCAGCATTTGGTTACTCGCGGGCACCGAGACATCCCAACTTGCACAACCGTGCTCCACAGCGATGGCATGTGTTGAAAGTACCTAGATAGTATCCTAGTCAGATAGGCAGAATTTGGATCGCCCTCGGAGCCCTACAGGCTTCAGATACGATGACTCGTGAGAATGACGAAAAGCAAACAAAGAGGAGCAGGGGTCGAACTGGGGATCGCCATGCCTTAGCACACCGCCTGCACGGTTCCTCTGAGGCTGTTGCGGCGCTGCAGCAGTTTGAGATCTGGTAAGACATCGTGATTTGCTTGGCGCCTTCCTCCGGCTGTCAAATCCCAATTGTCGGGTCCAGCAAGACATGACACGGCAACCACGGCCGGTGGGGCGCAGAGAGTCACCTGAGCAATCCTCCCGCGGCACAAGAGTGAGAACTATTCTCCTGTGCCGCCGGTTCTCACCAATCCTGATGACTCAGACCCGGACTGTGATATCTCACTGGCTGGCATTGAAACTTAGAGGACGACATATGGGTAAACACTATGTGGCCTGGGATAGCGGATTGCAGTTGACCTGATGGATATTCGAGATTGGCACAGCATGGCGGCGCGTGTGCTTGTGACGGGTGGATATACAAGCCACCCAATTGTCTCTGGCGGACACCTATTCGTCAATCACATTCCTGGGACTCTGCATGGAATGTGGGGGGCCTCTTGTGGTGGTTCCAGTTCCACGAAGCACATGCGCCAGGGCCGAAGCCACGGGTTCCACTCATACGAAGTCGGCGACTTTACTGGCCGACGACTCCATCTTGGGGCACAAGCTTCAATGTGACTCGGCGCTGACTGTGCAAGCCCAACTCGGCGCCGAGTCTCATTCTTATCATCATCCCAAGCTCAGCAAGATATTCATGAAACACCACTGTGGAAAGCGGTCTGCGGCACCTGATTGACCCCCTCAGCCCACGATCAGCATGAGCATCTGTCGGGCCTGGTATACCGTATGAGGCGTACCGACAGCAAGGGAGTAGGGCCTGCTGCCAACGCCGCTTAACTCGGTGGGCTTATAATCCAAGCTTGCTCACTCTAGTGACTCCGGCCACAGGTACCCGTGGACCGGTGTACGGAGCCGAAAAGCGAGACGTGCTGAGCGACCTGGCACTTCTATGCACGGGCCTTTCATCACTAGGCTTTGCACATATAGTTTAAACAAACTTACAGCCACTCAGCAAAGATTACTCTGCAAAAATAGTGCCAGATAAAGTCACATAATGAATCCTTTATGCACTCAGCCTTCAGTTGGTTGTCACTGTCCTCTTTGTATGGCCATCCTTCGCAAGTGGCTCTCTTCCTTCGTACGCCAAAGACTGAGACAGAAGCGCGAATGACGCAGGACCGGGGCGGTATTTTTGCGAACCATTCCTTAAAGGGTATTCACGGTATTTATAGTGCTGAGTTGTGCCGTGAAAGCCTTTCACATTTTAAGGAATTAAAAAAAGAAAGAAAAAGAAAGACGCAAAAAAAAGGGGGGAGGGGGAGGGGGGAAAGCTGAGCATCGTCAAGGATGCCTTGACCGAGTTTCTACCCACGCTGGGAAGCTAGAAGCTTTGTCGCTATTCAGCGATTGCTGTCACATTGGCGCTGGCAGTTTCACGAGCCTTGGTATACTGATCAGCAACCTGGCGTATTGCTAATTATCTAGCGACCCTGAATGTTCCCAAAGCTTAAAGGCTAGAACCGGCTGCTTGAAATTAATTTTACAAATTGCGGACGGGGTCTCCACACCTGGTGGTCCCCTCTTTTGCTTTTTCCGTATCAATTATCAAGATGGATGTGAAAGGTGACTTGCGACGCGAACTTAGGCTTAGAGTTATCCACTTATAGCCCATAGTATTAGAAATAGCGGCAGCGTTGTAAAGCCTGATCAACTGACAAGGAAACGCCATTGAGGTCATGCACAAGGCAACGAACTCCCTCAATACGGGACTTGTCATACCTGTCAGTTCATTCTAATATGACAAAGTGTCACGCTGACGCTAAACTCGATATAACCTATTCCTGGATAACGTTAGTGGCTTGGACTCAGCCTGAACGTCATGGAATGACCCATGACGGACGGTGCGAGAAGTTGGGGGCCGAGAGGGTAAGATTGTGGCGATGCAAGAAAAGAAGGCAAAAACAGCACTGGCCTTGGCCTTGGGGCGGTGATGAATATTTTGGCCTTGCCTAGCCTTGGATTCGAAACATCAAGCGTGTCTAGTGATTACGAGGATATCTATTTACATGGGCCATCATAACCCCCCATGCAGAGGTATTAGAAAACCTGACACGGAAATGTAGGTCGCAGTGTGTGGCGCGGCCACTAGTCGATCCCGCTGTGTTAGGTTTTCTAATACGTCTGCGTGCCCCTTGCGCTGGCTTTCAGTGCTGCAGGGTCAATGGAGGCAAATACATCTCGGGATGGTACGGGTTGACCGAGACATCTACTGTCATATCTGGAATCGGCCTCTAATCAAAGCTAGTAAAATGCACGAGTGGTCAAGCCCGATTAATATGATGGCTTCACAGGATCTCAACGAGCTCCGGGCGCCAATTCTCAAACGTCAACTCGCCATTCATTGCAAGAGGCTTTGCGGACTCGAACAGCTGCTCATACTCCTCGACCCTAATGGAAATAGGAAACGGACAAGAGATTGACAGTGACTGGATTGACGATCAGTACATTGCGGTGAGTGAGCTCTAAGAACATTGGCTGCGGGAATAAACACCGCACATCAGGGCACATTGCAACGGCAGATCTTGTCTTATGTGCGGCTGCGAGTGACAGGTGGTTTCCCAATGCTCAGGATCTAAATCTGATACCGCTTGTACGGCTCGATGATGTCTTGCATCACTCTCAAAAGCTTTTGTGGCACAGATGACTTCCAGCCCAAATATAGTTATTGATGCAATGGACATTGTGGTTTTCTTAGCTGATCAGAATTTTCAATCTCAAAGAGGATTTCACCAGAGCTTGGCCACTGATGAGGCAGTGACATCTTTATTGGAGTTACACCTTGACCATTCGGGAGTGGTAGAATATTTGAACGAGTCATTTACTACCTATACAGAGTATCTCATAGCCAAACGGAGCTTACGACAGGTTATCCCAGGCTAAAGTCCGAGATGGTGACTGCCTTACAAGGTGGTAGCCACCGGCAATGCTTCACAAACATGTTGTCAAATCAAACAGGGCAATTCGCCTTTATAAAAAAAGAAAAGATTTCCGAGACTCAGTGGACGGAAATTTTCCCTTTTTTACGATTATATGGAGACCTGGCTGTGCAATGGCCCAACCATCAACCATCTTTTGCTCTCAAAATAGATACAGGAATTCATCTCAGTAATCAACACCCTGTGTCACTCACCTATATAAACACACCGCATCTCTATTCATGGAGTCACTCAAATCAAGGAATTCAATGACTTTGATGAATATCTTTGACGAATGTAGCACGATTCCAGAAGATGCTCTCATGCGTAGTACATATCTGCACCAAACCAGACGGCTCTCTCACCTTGAGCAATGCCATCAGTGCGACACTCATTCTTCTGGAACAACCTGACATTGGGATAAATTTCTTTTCTAATGACAGTGAGAGTAAATGGAAAGGTTTCAATCATATAACCAACGTCTGCATAATACTAGTCGCAGAGATCAGCGATACGAACATTCAACCATGCATGGAAGGTGACACACGTCCGACTAGAGAGGACATTGACTGCGCTTTGTTCAGTCTTGAGGCCTCCATTACGTTTTCTCACCGATGTCGAGCATTTTTCGCCTTCAAAGTGCTCATGTACATTGCACATGATTGGGAAACTCGGAAAGATGAACTAAAAATGAGAAAGCTGAATTATCAGGATGAAATTCAAGCGAGCCTGGAAAGAAGCTTACCTTTCAGATATTTTGGTATGTGTTTCGTAAACAGTCTCGTAGCGCCTACTAAAGCCATCACGGCCTGAAGTCATGGATGCTAGGGTTAAGCATGCTTTCATGATCTGCTCTTCGGCGTTATTTCAATCTCCACTATACTATGTCACACACAAGACCAAAAATTCAACAACTGCGCGGAACAATTCCCAACGAGATAGTTTCCAGTGGCGCAGCGTTTGATCGTACATCGAATAAGACCTGATTTGTTATTCAAAGATGATCATTATTTCATTAAACTAAACATGGCTCCGGGTATATATAAAGATTGTAATCGTGGGTAAACCAATGCCACCTACGATGGAGTCATTCCCGTGTTCCAAGGGACGCCCTTAACTCCAATGTGTAGATCCATTTCTTACACCAATTTGTCCGCGTACATACTTAAGAATCGTACACGTAACATAGGTAGCCACCCTGAGTATCCATCACGTCATTAACAGTTGCATCAGGACGAAGCCCCTGGGAGCTCAGGACGTAATTCGTGGTAAGCTGAGTGCAGGGGTTTGCTGTATCTGAGCAGCCGTTGACTTGGTAGAGTCGGTTGGGGATATCGGCATTCTGCCAGAGGACCCAGCTATGATCAACAAAACCGTGATGCATGAAGAACACAGGGTCACTGGGAGATGCAGGCACCTGTGACATGACCGCGCCAACGCCATTATGTCCGTAGCCATGGGGGCTGTTGAAATTATCAGCATTGCGGGTTGGTTGAATTCATGCAGATCACTTACCCAAACTCGGAACAGGACTCCATATCAGAATAGGCATTGTTTGAGTTGCAGCTATTCACGAAGTCTGTGTTACAGTTGCTGGTGGCACTCTCGTCTATTGCTCTCGATAGGCAACGGTCTCCTCCAACATGCAAGGTGATTCCACCAAATGCCTAATGGATCTGTCAGCAACTCTCACAGCAGTGGTCTCAAGACAGAGCACTTACGCCGTCTGCGATGCAGGTACCCTGGCCATCAGAAGTCTTCAAAGGACCGGAGCCGAACCACTGTGCATTGAAAACAGGCGAAGATGCGAAATTGCCTGCATCAAGTGCTTCATTCCACCATGTCATTGGGCCGGCATACGAACACTCTTCGCGCAGCAGGGACTCAAAGACATGAACATAATAGCGGTGCCAAGGAAGGAACTGCGCCACGCTGTGGATGGATCCAGTCATCTGCGAATGGACCGCGACGAGATCCTCGTATCGGTTCTGGGATCCCGCGCCGGAGAATGCGCCCGAGGCGGGAAGATCGACGAGGCACCTCACAGCTTGTACGAAGGCAGTCTTGTCGGCGTCGGATAGAGATCGCCATTCGATGCGGGTGGCCGGCGCTGTGCAGGTACCCGCCTGTGTAGTCACCGTCCCATCTTCAGCATCCGTTTCCGCGGTTTGCACATTGCCGTCCTTTCCAGCGCCCGTTGAACTCGAGCTGGATGTGTTCGTCAAGGTATTCTTGGCGTTGTTGATCTCCGCGTTGGCCTTTGCCTCCTCAAGCGTGATGGTCTGGAATCCGGGGCCGAATATGGATAGATCAACGAGCTGTTGTCTCCTTAGTAGTGACCGAGGCAGTGTCAAGCTTGACACAGCAGCAGCACTACAAAGGATCTGATTGGCGATTGAGGGTCTCATATTTGCCGTTCCTACACAATTAGGAAAATATGATAACTTGGGCACTATGAGAAACACAGCGTTTAGCGATGGGAGACCCAAGATATTTCACTGCGTGACATTCCGAGGAACACGAGGGGAGCCCACTCACGCGGACACAGCTACTTAACGAGAATGAGGGCGATCGTCATCATCGTTGGCAGACTGTGAAAGGATTCTGGTCGATCACTTACATGTTCGCCAGAGTGCGTGGCCCTAGTTCCAACCCGCCGGCGTGATTTGCGACCCCGGCAGAGCTAGGACCTAGATTTCGTCGACTAAACCCATGCGTTTCGCCGCATAACCGGCCGACAAGCTTTCTTTGTGGCTCGATGCGAACCAATACGGACAAGACCTGGTTTACTGCTGTAACATGGCCGAGGGCGGTAACCTGCTGGCCTGCAGGTAACTGCGGAGCTGACAGCGCTTCACCGTAATATGTCGCAACGTTCCAATCGCTGGCGGCGAGCAGGCAGAGCTGTCACGGGATCAATTGGTGACGCTGAAGTCATCATGCAGTCTTAGGCTGGCCCTTTAAGACTTGGGCCTACAAGGATGCAGGGAATACGAGATCGTTTTCGTGGGTGGCTCGCACTGCATCGAGCACTAGGCGCTGTAGATCACCCCAACCCACATGCTTCTCCAGGTTTAGCAGCCTCAGCTTCTCCGACCTCCTCCAAAAGCACCTGCAATGCGGCGTCATTCTTATCGGTGCCGCGATAAGTCATCTCCAATTCCAGACGATATGCTGTCTCGTGTCAGCAGCTAGTTCCGCTTGAGCTGTCATCGCGCTGTAACCTTGACCCATGGGTTCCAAGACCTTGGGTTTTTTCAACCTCCCGGTTTTCGCGGCCTGCTGTCGTCCGCCATCGAGATCCTGGTGCTTGTGTCATGGCCGCCCCTCCACGTAAATTGAGTAAAAACTTAACGTGGGCTTGACAGTCTCCAATTCTGTTAATTTGGGACTTAAATGGAGTCAACCGCATGGCGGGGCACTTGACCACGATGATGCCTGGAGTGTTCTTGAGTCAGGAGCTCTGTGAACCCGATTTTATCCAAAAAAGACTTTTCAAAGAGGAAACCCACAACGGGATAGCGCTCTCGGTAATACAGTATCATCCATGCCTTTTGAAGATGGCTATCTGTCATATTCACCCAAGCTTGTCGAGGCCCATCCACCAACTTCTGTAAATTCATTAGTGTATCGCAACTCCGGAGACTTGAAGGTTCAGCTTTCGACTTAACATTAAAAACATCTTCGGAAGTTGTTTCTCAGAATGTCTATACTGCACTATTGCGAAAGCACACGGGTTTCCCGTTCCGAGATTTATACCAGTTACAACAATTTCACCTACTAGGTTATATTTGTCTGGATTGCATAGCATGTCGCTACGATGTTTCAAATGCTCCACTGCCTGGCACACTACCGAGACCATATGAAGTAATTTGACTCTCATGTTAAAGTGTACTCGAAGAAGCACCTGGCCGATGGCTGTCTTCGGATGGAGACAATTGGGTGACTCCTTGCATTGGCATTGATTGTCACAGGTTCCGCAATTGGTCCCATATATTGGATGATGGGAAGAGTTTTCTAAAATAAGGTGAATCATAAACATCCTACATCAGATTTTGAAATACTAAGCTGCAGTGGTGCTCCAGGGCAGTGATATCCCAGAACGCCCACGGCAGCCACAGCATTCTTCGTCATTACCGACGACGAATCCAACATGCATTGTTCAATGGCATACGGCATCAAAGGACTAGCATCTCCCGTAGGACGTATGGTAGAGGCTGTCAGTCACCACAACGCAAGAAGACAGAAATATAGATGAAAAGAGCGTTGTCTTTTGGAAACACAAACTCGGCAGAAAATGACTGTACAGTAAAGAGAATGTTAAAGCCACCCTGAGCCACCCACACAAGCCACGCAACTCGGGCTCAATACTCAACCAGAAACGCCCTATCAAATCGGCTCAGGTAATCTTATTTGCACGAGAATTATCAGATTCGACCATGATTTGTAAGTTATGCAGAGATTCCAAACCAAGTCTTTCTCAATTATGCAGTTCAAGTAGTATGAACTCCATAGACTGCGCACTTGGTAGACACCACCATTCAGTAGCGTAACATGGCATAACTCCATTCACGTGAAAGGGCATACAATTGAAATAGAACCCCGCAAAAAACAAAAATCCTGGAGAAATCTTGTCTCTTTCTTTGACATCCGCGATTGGTCCGTGGTATTCATCCTGACCCAATTGTTTCAAGTATTTCTGGCCCATCACCACTCTCGCTGTCTCCGTCATGTCAGCCAACGTGGGATGCGTCTCCATCAACGAGCTGTAACACTCGCTGTGTCTCAATAACATCTAAAGCACTTGGGAAGTATGGACTGGATCGGCAGGCAGATATCATTTGGACCTAAAGGGGCCAAGCTCAATTAGAACACAAGATCGCTTGCAGAGGCCACTGGGTGGGATTACTAACCTGAGCAGCATTGCACTGACACAGGCTAGTGCCTGCGATGCCCGACATTATGGATCTACTTGTCTGCTCTGGAGTAGTTGCAGCGTATGCAACGCAAGGAACTGCAGATTCCCGTTTGCCGATTAGTTTAGGACGCTTAATCCCTCAACCTAGTATCATAAGTGAGAAACTGGCCAGGAAAGGTGGTCGTGCACCGAAGTAAAATGGGATAAGTGATTCTAAATACGAGACGCAGCAAACTGCTTTAGCGGAAAATTGTTACAGGGAAATGGGATTCTCGATTTTGGGCTGTTTTAGTATCCTTCAATTCGGCAGGGCCATCTTGTTCAAAACGGGACAGGCAAGGCCTGGATTGATTTGGGGGGAGGGAGGGGAGGGGGATGTCGCGTTATACATCACTGTATAGTAATTGCATACTGAGGATATCGTGGCCTGATAGCACCCGAATGCTATTCTTGGCGCGCTAGACAACAAGAGCACGGTCATGGTCTCGATCAGTGCAGATTGCGGCTCTGCTAATCGCATCGAAATCCACGAATTAACTTAAATGCTTGTCGTCTTTCGATTGTTATTATTCTTGGCAACAAATGCACGGCTCACAGCTGTATCAGTGCCAGCCGGTGACAGGCCTAGCATGGGATGGGTTGAACTGCTTTTCGCCCCCACTCGGCAACAAAATCCCTCCCATCCCCCTCCGACAACAAAGTGACCCTACGAATTTGGGGGCCAATTCACGGCAGATGCCAAAGCCGGGTGTGTTTAGCACATCTGATTTGCTAGTTTCCCGATATTCTGCAAGAAAATAACCCCTGTTTCATCTGCGGCTTGCGCAATCTCCTAGGAGGAGCGGGATTGGTGTATCTCGGAAACCCCTGTATGCTGAAGGTTGCTGATTCGTGACTTTCGGTCACAATCAGCGCATCGTATGTACCGCCGAGATACCGAAATTCGAAGCACTTCGCAAAGAGCCACTCAGCCATGTCAAAGACTTTATGGCCCACAGTTCGCGTTCCACCATTCTGGTGAGGCGGGCTTCGACTTACGGATGCAGCATGGATATTTAGCATGGATGCTGTACCGCCCAGTACCTCTTCAATAAGGCTGATATAAACAATTTATGTTTTATTGGTCAGGGATGCCTTGGCATCTGGTCCACAGTCAGGCGGATTTCCCGGACATTTCGTGCCCTGTAGATCAACCTGATTCTCTCCTGCTCCATCTTCATCTCCTCAACCTTCCCTCCTCAGGCCGTGTGCACGCGCAACAATGGCGGTCCTGAGACTCTCGCTGCACGTCGTGCTCTGGGTTCTGCAATTATGGGCACCAGTAACCCGGGCGGATTCCCTCCAGTTTTTGTTTCCAACCGGGAAGAACGATGCGACTACTTTCTATTACATGAATACAGTGGCGGTCAAGTACGAATCCAACTTTTCCAGTCCAGTGTTGTATACTTTTTGCAGAATTGCCGGTGGAAGCCCTATACGTATGTCACACCAAGCGAGACGCGACTGGAGCTTAGCTCACATCCCCTACAGAACAGCTGCAGAACTTGACGTCGCCAAACAATGCTACTGCTCTCATCACCTTGTCGTTTACTACTGGCGATCAGTGCTGGTTCAATCTCCGGAACTCCACGAAAAGTCCCCAGATGGGGATGAATAGCATAAACTGGCAATACAGGATAGATTCGGTAAACCAGGTACGGTAGTAGTCAGACCTGGAGCCGGGTCCCCCGCTTTTTATCAAGCGGCGGAATGAATATCAGCTAATCGGTGGAGCAGACAACGGTTGGATTGTCTACAATCAGCACATCAGCTACCGGGACAGCTACCGGGACAGCTACCGGGACAGCTACCGAAACAGCCACCGCAGGCGGAACGGCCTCGCCGACTGGTACCACGTCGACAGATTCTACGGCAACTTCTTCGGATGCTACATCTTCAACGGACGGATCAAGCGGCCTTTCAGTGGGAGCGCAAGCAGGAATAGGGGTTGGAGTTGGTATCGCGGGTCTAGCCGCACTTATTGGTCTTGTTTTTTTCCTCATTCGAAAGAAGAAACGAGAAGGCAATGCTGCGCAGGAGCAAGGGTACACTTACTCGGCTGCACCAACTTCGGCAACCTCGCCTCCTGGCACCGATTTGAACAGTCACTATGCACCATCAGAATCAGTGGGACATGGTGTTACGCAACCTAGCGTACTCAGTACTGACTTGCAAAAGTACCGGCAAACTCCCGTGAGTATGCAGTCATATACTGAACCGCAGGAAATGGACGGGGCATCTCCACCCGTCCACGAAATGCCTTAAGCCATTTCATACGCCGTGCTGTTTGATTACCAAGAAGAACTTTGGGTTTTGCGCCACGACCGGGTCGATGAAATTTAGTCATAGCCAATTCTAAAGATACTGATGCTAATGGTTACAAGCCTAGATTTTCCGAGCAGTACATAAGCTGCAGAGAAATGAGAGATTGATTCATAATGTGGCAACAGTAGGTCGACACTTTTGAAACCTATGGTCTGACTTGCACCACGCGTCTATTTTGTTGTCGTATTGTAGACTTCGGTTTGGCGCGGCACCTTCTGTCGCCAAATGTAGAAGACTATACTGGACTATTTATACAAGCCCGAGCAAGCCTTGAGGAGTTGCAGCCTTGGTCGCGAAAGCAAGAAGGCCGCCGACGGCGCTCATTGTGCCACTGAACATGGACACTTGATCGAACCCGCCATAACGAGCGACAAATGCTCCATTGATCGGGGGTCCGACTAGTGCACCTAGAGCGGCGAGAAACATGCCCATGCCCATATACGTCCCAACATCTCGGACGTCTTTGACGCAAAGTGAAAGAGCTGCAGAACCACCTGAGATTATAGTTCCAGATACGAATCCGAAAACAACGGAGTAGACGACCAGTGCCGAAACAGACGCGGCCGAGCTCATGCAAAAAACGACAACTCCGGTAGCGAGGCCACCGAATGTGAAGATGTTCAAGCGGCCAAATTTGTCCGCCAATATTCCCGGGATTATTCGGCCAAAGGTAGATGCCGCATTGATAATAGCCAACAGGTACCCGGCCAGTGTAACCTCCATGCCTTTCCGAACCGCATATGTCGGAAGAAAGAATAAAGGTGTAAACATTCCTGTGAACATGAAAAACATGGCAACGATGATAAGCACAAACCTTCTATCCTTGAAGGCCGCCGGGATCCAAAAGGTACTTTTCCTAGGTGGAAGACGGGCTTTCACGGTTAACAGGGCAAATCCCATCAAAGGCATAATCAGGAACCCGATAATACCGACCGACCATCCAAACCCAAGGGACGAGCCGTTGAGCATCTTGGACAATGCGATGGGAATGGCAACGCCCCCGATTGATGATCCAGAGACAACGACACCGAACGCCGCAGCTCGTTTCTTGTCGAACCATTGGGAGACAGCTGCGAATGCTGGAATCTGCAGAAAGCCCATCACTATGCCCATAAGGACGCCTTGTACCAACATTATTTGCCAGTATTCCGTGCATAGGCTTAGCATCATCACGGCAAATACGTAAAGTACGGCAGCCGGACGTATCATCTGGTTGATCATATAAGTAGTGCGCTCTGATCAAAAGCATATGGGAAAAATGCCCACCTTTGCTCCGAAACGGTCGAATAGCGGCCCTCCAACCATACCTGCCGCGAACTGGATGTAAGCCGACAGAGAGCCGATCCACGCGATATCGTCCGGCGAATGCCCTTGCAGTTGATGAGACAAGTAATACTCCTCGAAAGACCCGAAAGCATTAGAGAAGCCGAGGCAACAGAAAAAGATCGCATGGCCCCCAGCTGCAACAAGCCAGGCTTGGGTACCGCCATCTGGGGCTTCCCCATGCTCTATGCAGGGCTTCTCTGCATCATGACTGACTGCTTCGTTTGAGGCCTTTCGGGTTTCATCAGATTGATCTTTGGAATTCGGCAAAGTATTGGCCATTTTGAGATCAAAGTAACTGATTATAAGTTATGACGAAGATGGTGAAGATAGCAAGCCATACAGCGGGCTCTTTTGACATTCTTGCGTTTTTCAGAGGTTCTTATATAAAATATCGAAACAATATTGGCCAATGTAGCATTCACGGAATATTGCGCTGCTATTCATTGTGTCGCGGTTGATAGCAACTCGGGGATTGATGATCCCGGCAGTCGGAGCAAGTTTCGGCTCCGAGGCGGGAAATGGCGGGCGGTACAGACCAGGAGCGCAGATATTACTACATGCTCATCCGCTTTCGGGGATGCTGACTTGGTCTAATGTATTGACCCCTTCGCTGAAGCGCAATTGCACAAGTCTTTCTTGAATACTATTCAATTTGACTCGAGATATAGCCATATGTGATATTGTTGCCATCTCAATTCCCCGTCAGTCAGCATGGCAGAGCCGGACCGGCGACGACGAAGACCCACTGTGTACGTTATCAACGCCCTGTTTGGGAATTGCGGCTTACATAGCAAGGATAGGTCATGCTCTCTCTGTAGAAGGCGCAAGATTAGATGCAATCGAGAGGCTCCCTGTGCAAATTGCATCAAGTCCGGAAATGAAGAGTGTACTTACGAGAGCCATTCGACTCCTATCGTGCGCCAGCGCTCCACGCGCCGTGGCGAACCTGATACAGTGGGGGATCCTTCACACGACATGAGTACACTGCCAGTGCAGTCCCGGCATGGGCCGAGCTCACTTGCTGGCATATCTTCCAGCACCACAAATTCTGCTAGCGTTCCATCGGTTTGGGAGATGGAGTCCATGAGAACCAAGATCAGACGACTTGAGGAGCAGCTTGCCAGAGCAACACCAATATCAGCTCAAGCTACTAGCACCACCCCTAAGCCTAACGTAGAGACGACGAAATCAACCTTGGCAGGAACCTTCCACTTGCATCATGAGGGTGGTGCTTCTGGTCAGCCTCAGGATATCACGCGAGGTATCACACATAAGACACGCTCATTTGGCCAAAGCCACTGGATCAACATGCTTTCACAAGTACATCCCACCCGCCATGCCAAAATTCTATGAGCCAGCAACTAATCCAAGAATATGTAGTTCCGAGACATAATCGATGTGATTGAGCCTCTTATAAGGCAGGAGAACTGCAAGGTTTACCCTACGTTGCAGAAGTGCAAGTCATTAGCCAGGACGATCAAATCCAGTCGAACTCCTCCGTGGCCAACGGTGCCTACAACCGATCTGCCCTCCAAAGGTGTGGCTGATGAACTTGTGGACCGCTACCTCCAGACCCTAGAAACTGTGTATCGTATCCTGCACGTGCCTTCCTTCAAACGTGATTACGAATCAATATGGGTCTCTGAGACGAAACCGAACCTGGCATTCGTCGTCCAGGTCAAGCTGGTGCTTGCCATCGGAGCTTGTACCTATGACGACCGATTCTCACTCAGGGCTTCGGCAATTCGGTGGATTTATGAGGCTCAAACATGGGTATGTGAGCCTAGCTTCAAGGCCCGACTGGACATTCAGTTCCTCCAGACCAACCTCCTCTTGCTGTTCGCCCGGGAATTAGTCAATGTTGCTGGAGACTCTGTCTGGGTCTCAGCTGGAGAGGTGTATAGACGGGCCATCACGATGGGGTTGCATAGAGATCCTTCACGGCTGCCTAACAGGTCGGTGTTCTCCTCGGAAATGCATCGAAGACTCTGGAACACGCTGCTCGAGTTGGCCCTTCAGTCAAGTCTAACTTCCGGGGGCCTCCCGCTCATCTCGCTGGACGATTTCGACACGCAGCCGCCCGGCAATTTTGACGATGATCAACTTATAGCCGACGAGCCTGTCCCGAAGAAGGAGAGCGAATTCACTCAGATGTCTTGCGCTATTGCTCTGCGCCAGACATTTCCCCACCGCCTTGCGGTCACCAAATTCCTGAATGACATCAACTCATGCGGCACGTACGAAGAGACACTTCGCCTGGATTCCAATCTAAGAGCGTCACACAGAGTCTTGGCAAAGAGCCTTCAGAAGTGCAAGGCGGGTACGGGACCTTTGTCCTCAAACTTTGATCGGAGCTTTGTAGACTTGATTATGCATCGCTATTTGTTCGCTCTACACTTGCCTTTCGTTGGCCCGACCTTACGCGACAGCACTTACGCCTTCTCTCGAAAGGTAGTCACTGAAAGGGCGGTTAGGATATGGTGTGCGGTCTACCCACCCTCTTCTGCGCATCTCCCTGTTGCTCACGCTAATGTGAGCTCCCCATTACGAAACGACTTGCGGCGACTGTCAACCTGTAGTTCGGGATTCTTTCGCTCGGTTGCCTTCCAAGCCGCTAAATATACACATTCGGAACTTCGGATGCAACTTGATGAAGATGACGGTCTAGGTCCGTCGTTTCTACGGCCAGACCTACTGGCAATAGCCGCCGATACCGCAGCATGGAGCCTACAGTGCCTCGAAGCTGGGGAAACGAACGTCAAAGGGCACTTGTTCGCGGTAATGACCTATGCTCAACTTGAAGCACGCAGGCGAGGCGTCGCTGAAGATGAAATGCCCCAAACCCTGGTTCAGGCTGCCGAAGGAGCTGCCGAGGTGTCCTTGCAGGTGCTGGAGAGAATGTATGCATCAATCCGGGATAGAGAAACGGCTGTGCTCCAACCAATGGCTTTGAATACTCCTTCGGAGGTGGACTGGGATTTCATGGTAAGCACCACAATGTTGACCATTTCTCGTTTCTAACAACTGATCTAGATGGCTGATTCCATATTCGATGCTAATAACATGGAGCAAATTAACTGGATCATGAGCGACGAAGCTTTTGGAGAATTACCAGTACTTTGAGGGAGTTATGATTGAAGCACAGTGGACATCTAGGAGAAACAATTTGCTTTAGTTTCTCCGCGGTGTACTGATTTGTAACCTCCACACATAACTTTGTAACATACTTGTGTTCTTTCACAAAACAAACATTACAATCGAAGTCATTGTACAGGACTCGGTGCAGTTTCATGATACGTGGCATGCGCTACCAGAATACTACTGTCTGCAACCACAAAGACATTGAAACAGTACGAACGCGGTGACGCACTAATATAAAAGTGCAAGCAGCCGTTCCTCATAAGATTAACCAAACCCACGAGCGATCGCCTGATCTTGCAGCAAAGGCAGAAATCATGTGTGTGGCCAACATCTTATCGGAGTGCGAGACCTGCGGCGAGGTACAGCTACAGAACGTAGAAGCCTGCGACCAGGCTCCCAACTGCGTCCCAAGCTCAACACCGTCGTCATGGATGGGTTCGGTAAGCCCCGGTCTGATCTCCTCAAGCGCCCCTATATATGGGGAGGGAACGGTATCTGATCTTGTTCAGGTTGATGGAGTCAGTGTAAAGTCTTACGTGCGGCTCGGTCGATGTCCTTTGTGTGAGGCCCGACTTGGCCCCGACCCGAAGATTAATGAGCTGCGACAAGAGGTTAAGCGGTCCCCAGCCGCTTTAAGTATTCTCTCGCGCCCGTCACAGTCTTCGGGTAAGCATACCGACGATGCCCTTGCCAGGAGACTGACAAAGGGCCCCTGCTTGGCGGTTTCGCACTTTTATCAATGTGGTTGTCCGGCAAGGGCTCGTTGGCTGCAGTTATGCACTTGTTTAGACCCTTATGGGTCGGAGCAACACCGAGTCCCCTTGGATCAGGTCCTGGTGATCGTAATCCCAAAGGTGTGTGGACAAACGTCATGCGACCAACAGACAAGGATCACCCAGAGCGCCATGGCGCCGATACGAATTCGTGCGCGTCAATCTGAGAATTCCGACGAGCCGGAGATCGACTTCGGCCCCTGGGGCCAGTTCGGCAGGCTACCGTCAATGGAGCAACTGCTTCTACAGTGCATGAAGGCTGATGATAAGGCTGATGATTAAGGTAACTTGGTCGGATTTTGAAAGGGTACCGATGTAAGTTAGCTGGTGAGTGATAAGTACTTGATATAGCAGTCTCTGACTCATAGTCATGCAGGTAAACAAATATCATTTTCCAAATAAGAAAGAAAATTGTTGAAATTGTAGGCTATCAGTGAAAATGGCATGACAAGCAAAGGTGCATGGCTTCTTTGTTGTGAAAAACGTCAAACGTGCCCGATACTGTAGGCAAAAGGCGCCGGAACAAAGACGCAACCGCAGGCGGAAAGCCCCTGCATCTTGCCGCATTCATCATTGTTTTACACAAGATGCAGCGTGGGATATTAGTGCGTGTGCCAAAACAAAGAATCCGAATTCATATCGTGCCAGAGAACAAATCAGGCTCGGGCATGGCTAGACACAATGGCATAGGACACACTCCTAGGCTTCTTTCTTCATTGACAGGTCCGCACTCAGGTCCCTCGCCAGTTTCTAACCAACGTGAGTAAACAAGAGAAGAAAGCCTGTCATCATGTCACTGCTCTCACATACTATCCCTTCAAATTGTTCAAGCCAAGAATCTTGACCAGACTGGTATTGGCGGCGACTCACGACAGGCTGAGGGGCACTGTTTGGTCTCAACCAACTACAACAACCGAGTAGAGACTGTGCTATCAGTTCTTACTCGCTGGGTGTACGTTATCGAATATCTCTACGACCACCTGCCTCCAGCCGTGAAAGATGATCTAATAGGGTGGATCTCTCCTCCATGGCCGCACCTCTGTTCAAGATTACCTACATAGCTATCTTGCGTACCGACCTGGCTACTTCAGAGCATGGAATTAATTGACTTAAACGACCCAATCCGGACCACGCCGGTGTGGCTGCCGACCATGCTGTCGACCATGCTGTTTTAGGTATTAGGTACCTAGGTAGGGGGGCTGCAGGACAGGGTGCAGTTGGAATCATGAGTGGTGTGGGGGTTCCAGGTTAGGTGCTGTAACTAAGTTAAGTCTGGGGGTGGCAGCCGGCAGCCGTTGGGTTGGGCGGGGTTCCACTTGATGATGTGGAATCAGGCAAGGAGCTCGGGCCATTCGGGGACCTGAAGACCCTGGAATTTGGGGCATTTTGTGTGCTCCCCGGCGGCCCTTCCTGTGGCCGCTGTGCCCGCTGTGCCCCTCCATTTCCGTCGCTCGCGTGCTGGCCCTAGGGGAGGGGGGGACTTGAACTGGAGGTGGCGCAATCGCCCGTCTATTTGTCATCGCGACAGCTCGCCCCGTCCGTCCTAGACGTCACTATTTCTGAAAAGTTTCAGCGCATCTCATGCGACGTGACCCTTCGAATTTGCATATAATCCACGTATTGCCCCATGAGCCAGATCTTCAACATAGTCAAACAACCCCTTATCCCCATCACGCTTACCGTGGTCGTGTTCGCAATGGCTTTCCACATGCCCAACTTTATAAACCGCCTCTTCCGGCCACTCACGACGTCCACTCGTCTGGGCATCTCGGCAGACACCAACGGGGCTGGACTGACCTCGATCCCCGAAGGCGCTGAGAGGGCGACCATCGCTGCCGGCTGTTTCTGGGGCGTGGAGCACATATACCGCAAGCAGTTCGGCGGCAAGGGACTGTACGACGCGCGCGTGGGATATATCGGGGGCGACGTGAACAACCCCACCTACAGAGCGGTCTGCTCGGGGAATACTGGACGTGAGTATCCCAATCCCACCTGAGATACGTCTGTAGGGTGCGTGCATGGCTGGGCAAAGTGGCTGACACGAGGCGCACACAGATGCCGAAGCCACCCAGATCGTCTACGATCCCACCAAGATCACCTACCGCCAGCTCATCGAGTTTTTCTACCGCATGCACGACCCCACCACCGCGAACAGGCAGGGTCCTGATGTTGGTTCGCAATATCGTTCGGGCATTTTCACACACAACGAGGAGCAGGAGAAGATCGCGAGGGAGATCACAGCCCAGGTGAACCAGCAGTGGTGGAAAGGCTCTGTGGTGACGGAGATCCTGCCCGCCGGCCAATGGTGGGATGCCGAGACGTATCATCAGCTGTATCTCGACAAGAACCCTGGAGGCTATGAGTGTCCCAGCCACTTCCTCAGGACGTTCCCACCTCTGAACTAAGAGGGTTTGTACCGGTCTGCATATTCAACAACGCGTGCCAGAGCACAAAGCCAGCAAAGGTAAAAGCCGGCCAATGAATCGAGGGGGCAATCAACTACAAGCTCCTCCCCACAAAAATAAGCGCTTCCAGGCCCAGAGGATATCGCATGCTCTTGGAAGGGGATCATGCTCTAGGAAGGGGATCATGCTCTAGGAAGGGGACCATGCTCTAGGAAGGGGGCCATGCTCTAGGAAGGGATTTGGAGTAGTTGTACCCAATTATCGCCGAAGAGTGATGTCTGCTGCGACCATGCGCGCAGAAGCATTGGATATATCACACGGACGGGACGTTTAACTGTGTTCTGAGTCCCTCAGCAGTGGGATTCTCGACTACGTGGACTTGGGAGGAGTACATTCACGTAGTAACCAATTCGACAACGAAATGATTCGAACATCACTCTCGAATTATTCAGCTACACGGGCTTACCTAGATATATCTCTAATAAACCTACCATATTCAACCTCTCGAGGACGGCGATTATGGATCGCCTTCTAGTGACGGGACTGACTCCAGATCTTGGACAACTCGAAGAAGCGCGAGCGTCTTGTGAAACCACTCCCATCCTGACGCGGTTTCGATGATTCGCTGGCCCACGAGGTGAATCACCGGCTGCCCGGTACGGACTCTGAGCCGCCTTTCTGCAAGCTCATGGGCTAGCCCACCAACGATGGCCTCAAAGTCGCCCGTCAAAATGGCGACGTCATTTACGTGCAAAGCCCTGTTTCGGTGGAGATGAGTTACAGCGTACCAACTCTCCAGCACCACGAATGTTGTGTAGATCACGACATCGGTCTCTTCGCCTGCTTCGATCCAGGCGGGAGCTCGGAACAACTGGGCGATCCGCTTGGCGACGTCTACAAACTCCGCCTCGATCGGCGCCGATATTCTCGGGGGGAAATCATACATGATCCTCGCCAACTTTGTGCCCGAGATCGACCAGAGGGCGTCGCCCCATATCGGCCCGTAGACCAAGTACTCCCACGCGTTATCTATAACTCCTCTCCAATCGTCGGCAGTCACGTTGTTTGTGATGTAGTCCTCGAGGTCCAGCACGCTCCAAACCTCGTTCCAGAGTTGGAGCCGCGTGGTGTCGATGATGGCTATCCGCAATGATGGATCACCCCCGGGCGTCCAGAAATACTGACACGTTGCAAGATTTTGCGTCCATGAGGAGAAAGGCGAGATCACGTCTCTTCTCGTAGTGAGGTGGCCGTATAAAGTTTGCGCGAGGTTCGGGAATAATGCGGCAGGCACATCTGGTCTCTCGGCCCATCCGTCCGGCGAGTTGCTATCGAGGAAGTAGTGCGGGATGATCCTCGCCGGTTGGTTGAGTCTTCGGTCGCCCCCTCCCGAACGTGCAGAAAACCCACGGAAGAGAAAACGCGGGATCGGAATACCTCGATCACTCTGGTCGTACTTCTTGTCGCGGCTCGTAGGGTCCATCACCGGCAATAGATCTGCGCCATCGGTATCATGCATTATGTCTCCACCACCAGGGATATCGGTCATTGCCGGGTACGGGAGCATTGGGATGAACGGAGTAGCGCTACCAGAAAGACTTGAGATTGCTGGAGCCGGTGCTGTTGACATCGTAACGTCCGGGACCTCGACGTCCGGGACGTCGGCGTCCACCATCGTCACATCAGCAAGAGGATCTGACATGTTGCTCGGCGATTTTGGACTTACCACAGAGCTTGTTGAGTCAATAATATGCAAGCCTTGGTTAGCACCTGGTCTAATCAGCTGTTCCTCGACAAGTAGGAAGTTTGCAGGAGAGCTGTGCAATGCCTTATCGAAATAACCAGCCAGACGTATGCTCCAGTCTCGATATTTATATTCTGTTTACCAACTGCTAGCACACTACTCTTTGAAGTACACGATATACCAAGGGATTATCCAAGTGGAGCTATGATTCCCGTATCAATGACATGGTGCAAGGTCTACTTAAGCACAATGTCTTTGTTGTGTTCATTCAACCCGCACATATGAACTATTACGCATGGGTCAGTACTCCCTATCACATAGTCAAGGACGCCTGCTGTGTGACTATGTCTTTGATAAACGAGGTGTGATGGGGAGCCACATTCCGTTCTTGTTGTCATTTTGTCCATCGTCCGCAACCGGCCATTGCGCTTCATTGTGTCTACCGCTACGTAAGCAAATCCTCCCCATATAGCTTTCCATCCCGAGAGATTACTCTGTGGTCAGTTTGCAGAACAGGGGCTGTTCTAATTACTAACAATCAGCAACAGCCACGTGGTCTAACTGCCGATTCCCAAACATTGTCCATCAACCGACTTCGCTCGCCGTCACCACAAATCTCAAGCATGGGCGATACCCCAGTGGCTGGCGGAAGTGCCCGCGGTAGCGGACCAGAGGGTAACCCCGGGCACGACGATGAGACTCAGTTGAACAACGGCTATTACCGAGACGGCGCCTCTCTGATTCTAGCCTATTTCAACTGCGATCTAAGTAACGATGAAAAAAGTAGCGAATCGTTTCGTCAAAGATGTGAAGCGTGGTGTCTCGGTTGGTTCTCAGCTAAGGACTTCTACAAGGAGGTAGGGACAACTCCCAGACTCTATACCGCCCTCTTCTCTTCTGTTCCGCCTTGTCAGAAGGTAAACACATGTGCTGACGATCAGCGCTCATCAGATTCCCCTGCACAGCCACCCTGGAAACCCGACACCTCACGGGAAGTCCGAGGTGATGAATCCGAACGAGCCCGATAACCCGTGGATACTGAGCCATCCGCAGGCTTTTAACCTCGCCAACGAGCCGCACGGGCGTTTCAACTTTGAGCGCGTCGAGACAGCGTGCATAGGCAAGTTCTCACTTTATGTGGATGTTGTGTATGAATACAGCACCTTGGCCCGTTCGTTGAGTCTCTCCCAGGACGGAGACGCACAATTTGCCATCCGCGACGACGAAGGTAGAATCGAAGCTTTCGTCCGAGACTTCCCCGGGTTCTCAGAATACGAAGTGACCGTTCAAGATCTTCTTATGGACGAAGTTCTCATAAGACAAATGTGAGTGATGCATTCTCATCGAGGACAGCCTTCAAGGCAGGCCTACAGCTCATCGCCCCTCCCCATGGGCCTTCTCGGTCATACATGATCTCCACATCCTATACCGGGCCTTGGTGAGCAACGTGTTGACTTACTCTATGGCAGGCCTGAATTCATGGTATGGTTGGCGTACGGGCCGAAGCATTGTGCCCATGTCACCATCAGGACCGAACAGGCAGACTTATATAAGAGGTGGCTGATCAGACACAGCGGCTGGATGCAACTCCGAAGGGCGCAAAGTATCTGGGATGTCCAGTGGGGCAAGGTTTACGGTCCAATACCCAGCGCCGGCTAGAAACCTAAGGGCTGATAGCATAAATATTCTAGTAATATAACATGGAAGACGGTGATGTCTTATTGGTTGATTTATATTTACACGATTGTCGCACACTCGGCACAACCGGGTGGCAAGATGATGATAATGCACGAAGAGGAGATTGTCTGTCTACCTCGATTCCCTAAAACCCTTCCAAGGACCAGAATAGCCGCTTGGTGTCCTATAACGCCTCTTGTTCGCCAGGATACGCCGTGGCGCGGTAGTTTACTTTCTCCTGTTCTGCTGCAGCATCAGGATCTGGACCATCCTGATGAAGATGTTGAGGAAGTCCAGCTCGAGAGAAATGCTCTCGTTGACGGGGTCCTTCTTGATGACTCCCCGCTCAGCCAGGCGAGCATGGTACAGCACCTTCTGGACGTCGTACAAGGTGAAGCCGCCGAACACGGCAAGACCGCCGTAGAGCCAGATGTTCTCAGTCAGAGCAAGGGTCCGAGCAGCAGTAGCGGGAATGACCAGAGGTGCGAGACCAGAGACGGCGACAATGGCGGCGCCGGCCAGAAGAGGGCCTCCAATGTACAGGTACTTCTCCTGCTTGGCGGTCGCACCAACAAAGGAGATGGAGCCCATCATGGCGACAGTATAGAGACCGGCGCGCGCAATCAGTGCACCGGGGGCAAAGGCAATCAGAGGGGCAATGAAGGCAGCTTGGGTAGCGTTGAAGGCTGTCCAGAGGGCGTACTTGGGAACGTAGCTGTGCAAAACCATTAGTAGATGTATCGGCAAGAAAGTAAGAGTGGGCTGTGCGAGACGTACTTGTCAGGGTCGATCATTCTGGTACCGATCATGGTACCGAAACTTAGGGCAAGTCCACCGATAGCCACAACCCAGGGGTTGGTGACCATGAGTCTGTACACGAAGCCAGACATGACCATCTGTCGCGCGGTCAAACCGATGATGCCGATTCCTAGACCGGTGTGCATGAAGGTCTGGTTCAGGTACGACCTCTCAAACAGGGGCATCCCGCCGTCCTCGCGGGTCTCGCGGTTGAAGATGACGTTCATGGCGACGAGCGTGCCGCCGAAGATGGCGCCTCCGGTGAGCAGGCGGCGGCCGATGGAGCTGGTGTCGGCGGGCGCGGCGCCAGACTGGTACTGATACGACCTCGCCTGCTGGAAGACATTGCGTGGCGTCGAGCGGAAGATGGTCGACGACTTGGTGGCGGCGGTCCTCGGGGTGAAGAAGGTGGACGGCTTGTTGGTCGTCTGATGGAATGCGCGGATGGGCGCGCTGGATCTGAAGGCGGATTTACCAAGCTCGGGCAGCTTGGCCGCCAGGCGCGCGGGGCCCTGGCGAACCGTTATGGTAAACGACATGATGAAGAAGAGGAGCCTCTCTCACGAACGATGATCAGTGAGTGACAAAGGAACCTCGACGGTCGAAGTGTCGGGTACGGTCTGGTTATATCAGAGTCGTCGTTAAATCCGACCGGCGGCAAAGATGGCAATGACGACGTTGTCTCCGAGGTGGCAGGTGGAGCTTGGACCGTTCTCTGCTTAGCTCAGCCGCGCCAGACAGGCGAAGAAAATTGTTAGCGAAGGTGGTGGAAGATTCGTTCCGCTGGCATAAGTCCTGTCCCCTAAGCCCGTAATAGCTTGGCCCGCTTGCCGCGACGGGAGACGCTAGAAGAAGCTTGGACCTATGCTCTGCCGTACTGCAGCACTGCAGCACCCCAAACCACTGTAACCGCGGCTGGTTGCAGCGCCTGGCGGCCCCATCGCAGGCCGCTAGTTTTTGGTTACTTGCATCCAATTCCCTGAGTTGTCCTGCGACCAGACCCAGACCTAGACCACCAATAGCCGGCTGCCATCAACAGTCGCTCGATCTCGGGTTGTCGTTTTCGAGGACGTGCAATGTATATTCACTTGCGCACGAAGGTGCCGGGTTGATAGAACTTTAGAGCAGCTTTCTTCACTACTGTACCTGTATTCATTCGTAGGCAACTGCCACTGATCGAGCTGTGAACCTCGGAAATATGGGGAAACGGGGTTGGCGGCTACCCCAGACTATCTACTGGACTCTAGAGGGAACAGTCACTCGAGAGCTGACTCGATTCCATGACGATGGTTCCGATGATTTCCATGAAGAGAGTCAGCCCCCGTCCCTCATGTGCACCGTTTTCCTATCCATGAAGCTTGGCTCACTTAGCAACCTTCACGTACCCAAGGTTTGCATATCGATGGACCACGGCCTCTCGGCTGCCATTGCGTTCCCGGCAGTGAACACGCTCAGACGACTCAGCGCCACGCTCGCGGGCCACCTGTTCGGGACCCGGATCTGAACCGATTCGTTACGAAAATGATGGCGGAATTAAGTGATTGGGGTAGTGCGAGTTCCCGCGCATGCCTGATGCCCCTAGAAGTATTTCTACTGTTCGAATTTAGCACGCACGCCGCAAATCTGCAGTTCAGCCCAAGGCCATGCCGCCAAGGAAACGGCTCAGCCTCTTTGCATAAGCAAAGATCGGCTTCATTTCCCCAACGGCCTGGACCGCTGAGTCGGTCTCCTATTGTCATGCCGACGGCGGTGTGATGTTCTCGTGATCTAGGTCTCAGTTGCTTCGTTCCCTCGCATATGTTTCTTCTTTTTCTCTCAAGTCGCTCGTTGCTCCTTGCCTAAGGTCCCTATAAACACCGTAGTGCTTTCCTCCCAAGATCCGTGGCCAGGACCTAGAGCTTGCGGCTGAGTGACCAAGCACCATTTGCACTGCATTTGATGTCATCAGCGGATGTCCGTTGCGAGTTTTGCCATCGTGGCTTGAAGGATTGAGGTTCATTGCACGCTCGTCCGCTCATCAATCGCCCACGGCCAAAGCCAGACGGTGCTCAGACCGCGAACGGCCAGCAGCGACTGGTATATCCGGCTGCCACCACCCTACATTTCAGCAGTCTGTTGGGTTGAGAGAATTTCACCCGTTCGAAATAAGCCGTCGCGAATATGGCCAGATTATCGCTTCTTCTTCCTTTCGCCTTCATCGGGTTACGTACGGCATGGTCGGTCCAGGGAATGCCAACCTCTAAGTCTCTCGGCAACGAACAACTTATACTATTGACGTTTGATCCTGACGATGCACAACGTCCCTTGGCCGCGCTTTCGTCACCTAGCGGAAAGACTCCCGAAGTCAATGATGTTGAGGCCCAAGATGAAGCCCTCACGGTTACGAGGCCAACCAACTGCTTCTGTGGTGGAGGGTCTATGTGCTGCTATCTTGGCAATGAAGTGAATTGCAACTTTGGGATATGTGGGTTTGGAGCCTGATTGTGCAGACACATCCTGCCAATCGTCCATGCACGGGCACATCACTTTGGAGGTTGTGGAATCCTCATCGAGGTGGGAAGGGATTGCTTTCTTGGATTTGCATCAACAGTACAGGATATCAGGACAGCCGACTGTATCAATATGGGTTGGGGGCATTTTCATTTTACCAATGCCCTGCTTCAAGATGGATATGGAATGACAGCAGGCGTACGGAGTTTGGATAGGTTGGTGAATGCACCATTGGATTTGTGGGTTCTCTCAGAGTATCGATACCAAATGGAAGGGAATGCGAAGTGGGTGAGGATTCCTACTACAATATGTAATGAATAATCGAGGGCTACGGGCCGATGTCAAGTCTGACCCAACCATCATTCTTGTTCTCTTGAATCACTCTGATGACGATAATCTTCCGTGGAGGACTGCGAGTAGTCTGCCCTGGAGACTGATTTCAGACTGTATGAATATGATGTTCTTATTCACTGGGTCAGGTAGAATCGAGTGTCAATAGTTGCCAAGTGCTGTGACCACGATTCTAGTAACATGTAAGTTGTTCACCCCAAGAGTCGTCCACAATCCGCACACGGTATCACAATCATGACGGGACGTAGGAAGAGTACTATAAAGCAACTACAGCCTTATCTTTTATTAATTTCACTTCAAGAGCAGTCGCTTACAACATGAAGCTTACGAAATCATCAGACGGGAATGGTATAGACATAATATTTCTACGGACCCTTGGATCAGACGACGATTTCTGGCGCGAGTCTATTCCGCTTCAGTGGTGCATAACAAAGCTACAATGCACGACAGACTCCTAAGGGCTGGCGTCATATCATAATATTACTTGGCCAACGCACGGGTGGCCCAAGAGGTGCGTGCTAGAGGCTCACCTGCCCATTATGGATGTGCACGTAGCGTCGCATCAAGACGCCAAAGAAGAAAGAGGCAGCTGGCAGCCAAGACGTGACGTCTCGCTCGCTGCGGACAAGCTTCGGATTGATTGATAAAGACTCGCGTACCTGAATGCCACATGGTGGATCGCGTATAGGCACACGTTTCGCGCCGGCTCGTGGAAGGACACCCCAGGGGAATTCGATACACTGCTGGGTGGGTGGCCATCCCATGCGGCAGCAGCACACTCTATCGAGCTTCTCCAAATGTTCTAGAAAAGTGATGGGCCGTTGATTGCAGATGGTATGCATTCCGCCAACGTTGATATAGTCCGTGGTCTTATACGCGCGTTCACAACGTCGGGAACAAATGTCGTGAGAGATGTTTCGGGTTTCGTTACTGATGTGACAAGTGTTGCGCGGCCCAAGGTATGTGAGGTACACACTTCTCCCTGGCTGTCTCTAGCGCAGCACGCTGCGGCAGTTTTCAACGTGCACCATTTGACTCAAGAGGTGTTTAGAGATTATCAATCAGGTTGCGGAGAGCGTCTCCGTAGTCGAAAGCCCAATTGCATCACAAGCCAGATGCGTCCTCGGTATCATAGTCTCATCGCACAGACAGCTCCCCAGGCCACGGGGCTCCCTCTGATTTCAGACATCAGACGATATTCGGTCGCAGCCGTAACCCCACGGAGCCAATGCAGGTGGAAATAAGAAGACGGGCTCCTTATCGTAATAGTAGTAATCACAGCAGAAATTCCAGATCGGCAGGCCATGAGACCCTCAGCACGTTGCGTCAACATGAACTCATGGTGAGATAAACAGTTGACTCGCGATGTAGAAACACCCGACTTACTTACCCCCCACCATTCGGGTTGAGTCCTGACCGGTGGCGCTAGAAACCTTCTCGAAGACCTCTAGAAGGCCTAACCGAGAGGGCCGGGATGGGCCTTATACAACCGATCAGGGGTGCCACCCTGGTCCATCACGTCAGGCGCTCGTGTCAGATACTCAACAAGGCCCCAGTGCGGTCCTAGTCGTGAAACGTGCGCCGAGCGGTTGTGATGTGCGATTGAGGTTTTAGCGTGCCATTAATTGATCAAGATGCGAGTTAACCGCCGGCTGGGATGCGGAAGTCCTGCATTTGGTGATGATGCTACGCTGGGTGTCGTGGAGACGGTGTATAACTACCAAGATTGTCAGACGGGTCGACCTGAGATACACCAGGTCTCACGGGAACATGCGGAGAAAAAATTCTCTTTACTTTTCCCAGCACGCTGATGCGAGGCAGCAGGCATTACCGTAGTCAATTCCAACGGCGACTGTCAAAAGAAATTCTGCAAGCACAGGTTGGGAAGTTCTGGGCTTCAGTAAGCCATGTGTGTCATCGGTACTTTATTGGCTACCACGCATCAACACACCCCATGGCTGTGCAATGCCTGCATATTTCAAATGGACTCACGTCATCGTCCTCGCTCATTGCGAAGAGACTGATGAGATTTTCACTATTCTCGACACTTGCGCAGCCACAATAGAAACGTAGCCGAATGAGTTAGTGCTCAAATTAGAAAGTAGACGCCAGCTGGGGTTGTGACTCTCACACGCCGGACCATTGAGAGGCCATGCCAGCCACCCCTCATGAGACACCCGGTCGTTTCTCTCGAGAGCATCAGACCCCTGCTCGGCACGCCGCTACGCCCGTGAATAAATTCCGATGCGCAGATACAGCCCGCTTGGCTTACCAGCTCTCCTCTCATTGTTTTGATTGATGGCAGGCTCGGCAGGGCTAGAGAAGATTTCTGTGTAGCGGGGCCTTTTCGCGGTCTGAGGATGATGCATGGCATTTTCGACAAGGATCCAAACTCCCGGGGTCCCAGACGCAACACTATGATAGCTATGATAGGGAACTATCGCTGGCGGAAGCTGGGCTTGGGGGCTTGCAGCTGAACAGTGCACCGCAGCCACAATCTCCAATCGCCGGGACGAAATGCAACCATCGCCGGGGCTTGCTTCCTTCTAGAACGATCGTGGAATTCGTCTGCTGCTCGCGTCCCGCCTGATGGTTCCGTGCCGTGCCCTCAGGCCACGATCTTCCCGATGCTCGCGTGCCTCGATCGCAGGTTGCAGGCTGAGCGAGCGCCCACAGGCACAGCAGCAATGTAGTGACTAACGACCTGCCAAGGTAACTACCTAGGTAGTTAGTTGGCTGCCGGGCTTGCTTCGACGATTTCCACAAGGACCAAGGTCCCATCCGACCCTGGCGGGCTGAGCTGCCAACCAAGTGAGAATGATCTGCTAAAATAAGGCTCACCGCGACGGCCCCTCACAGCTAGAGCACCGGAGTATCCAGTCGGGCCCCATTCCCCAAGCAGCAGACCATCGTGCGCCCCGTGCAGAAGCTTGAAGCTCTGCCGTCAACCCGCTTTCGCTTCATGCCATGGCTCACCGTGAATCGTCAATTGCCCAGGGGCGAGGAGGAAAAGAGGTGCGTGCCCCGAGAAACAAAGGGAAGGGTAGTCGAAGGGTCTGCCGGTCCACACCCACACTGAACCACGGGCACGTCTCGTTGCTCGCCTGCGTGCAGCGTTCAACACACGCGAGACCAGGCGCAACGTCCGTGAGACAAAAGCATTCCTCGGCCTGCAGTGCTCCTAACGCAGGGCAGCCAGGTCCCACTTTCAACCGCTGCTGCTCGCCGCCACAGACATCAGAGCCCGCCCGCAGGGCTCAGCGCGTGTCTGAAGTGTGAAGGGTTTCCCGCGGTGCATCCATGTGTGACCTGCATCTGGGGGGGCGATGCTCTGCCTGCATAACTACCTAACTGGATAGATACATGTACTGCCTGCGGGCTGTCTGACTATTGTCAGCCCGACTTGACCTTGGCCTTGACCCTGACCTATGTAGATAGACACCAGATACCGGTCCACGGCACATCCCCATACAAGGGACTTTGAAGAAACCACTTACTAGGTAGCCACCTGAACTACCTTTACAAGTACGGAGCTGCATGCTTGTTTCTGACGTAGGGCTTTCGGGCTGGTTGCCAATGAGCGCGGGAGGGGGCCTCTCCGCACCAGCACTGAACTCACCTACTTTTCCAGACCTCGCACCCCTAATCTAAGCCAATGTACCCTTATTGCCTGCCCATCGACCGAACTGGGGCACCACTTTGTACAATTCCGCCCTCTGTACGAACGTCAACCCCCGGCTGCACATTTTCTTCTTCCCTTCCCACCCGTGGTCTTTCTTGCAGCCGTGAACTATACCTCCTCGCTCGGCCGTGGACTTGTTCTTCTTTCTTGTGTGTTCTGTTTGCGACGACCGCTGGCGCCCGCTGTTTGTAGAGCTAGCTCTCCTGGACTACATGCTCCGTCCGTACCTAATTGCGAAGTCGGGATACTTTCTGTAACCCCACGCTCGTCACGTCCCAACTCTCTTCGAAACCCATTCGCGTACGACAAGCCCCGGCGACTCCTCGACCAGGCGTATCTTGACAGTCGCGGGACTCTGATCGCCCGCCACCTGGGAGCACGTAGGCGAGCTCCACCGCTCTTCTCCCCCCTCCGGCGCTCTGCTGCTACTTTGTGCTATACCCGTCGTAAGTTTCAGAGCCACGGCCCATGGGCCAACGCAGCAACGACAGCATTAAGACTGACCAACTTTCCTCCATCGCCAGGCTCAATCTCGAACGGGACCCCTCGGCACCGGCACGAACCTCATTTACATCTCACACGCATTCCCGGCTCGCTGCTGTCAGAAGTCAGAAGCACCTCCTCCGTCCTGCTAGCTGCTACAATTCTCGCCCCAACACCAGACGCGGGAGCTTCAGTCACCCCACGACGTCGACGAAACCCCGGCTACCACGTGCCGGCCACCACACGGTCTACCTTCCGCCTGTTGGCGAAAAGTAGTATCTGTTATCACTCGAACGGGAAGATCTACGCTTGTCCCCACCCGATCGAGTGGCGCGGCATACGGAACGACAACTCACCAAACCGCCGGGTCGCTTCTCAAGGTTTCTCTTGTTCGACGAGTAATAGCATGAAGCCTTCCTTGCCTAAAGTCTGAACCGAAACCGATCCCACTTTATTTAGAGCAGAGAAGGCTTCGTCATACGGGTTGCATAAGCGGGCGAGGTAGACGACACCTGTATCTCATCTTGGCCATCCTGGAAATCCCATACCGGCTCGCCCAGTCTGGGCTGACCGCTCAGCAAACATGATCCGAAATAGGGGGTCGCGCTCCCCCCCTTCGCCCTACAGGGCCCTGGCGCACCACCCGGCTGGAGGTCAGATGATGGACTCGGTGTCCCTGATTCGGTCGTTCAATGTCGAGACAAACCCGACCCGGCCAATGCGCCCTTCGCCATTGACGGCGTCGACCATCCCAGACATGCCGCTGGATCTGCTTGATCGCATGAGATCCTTCCCCCTGTTCATGACAGCGCCCGAGGACTTCTTGGTTGCGATTGGGAAGCATTTAAGACCGCAAATCCACTCGGCGCACGACCACATCATTACCGAGGGCGACAACGCAAAGGCCATGTACTGGCTAGTCCGCGGTGTGGTCGCCGTGACATCTCGAGACAGCGAGGCTGTATATGCTGAGCTCAAGCCAGGCTCCTTCTTTGGCGAGATCGGCGTGCTTATGAACATGCCTCGGACCGCCACAATCATCGCCCGGACGAAATGTCTGCTTTTAGTTCTAAAGAAGGAAGACCTACAACAGGAGCTTCCCAAGTTTCCTGACATGGAGAAGGCGATTAGGCACGAGGCGCACGAGCGACTGACCATCCTGAACAAGAAGCGCCAAGAGGGTGGCCGGACACTCAAGACCGCCACTGGGTCGAGAACGGCGAGGTCTGCAGCACCTGGGGAGGTCTCCACGGGCGAGAAGGGTGTCATCAAAGAAGGCGCCGCCGTCGTGAATCACAAAAAGCGGAAATCGCCGAGTCCTGGTGTTATTGAAGACCCATCAGGCGGCAGTGCCCTGGGTAGTGGCATAGTCAACGTACGGCAAACACTGAAGGAACTTCCCCTGTTCTCGACGCTACCCCCCGATATCCTGCATTTCCTGGGTATGAGTGCGCAACCCAAGTCATATCCGCCGTTCACAGACATCGTACGGCAAGGGACGCTGGGCTACGAGATATACTTCATCGTTCGAGGCGAGGCCGAAGTAATCCACGATCCACCCAAAGAACAACCGTCCAACAAGCGCATCCTCCGATCGTCCTATGTGAGGCCGAGACTGCGCCAGGGTCAGTATTTTGGCGAAGTTGCGAGTCTTGGTCTATCACGTGAGCGTACGGCCACGGTAAGGTCTATTACGGCGGTGGAATGCCTCATGATCACCCCAGAAACGCTTGACGAACTATGGCGGAAATGTCCCCCCGGCATCAGAAAGCAAGTCGAGGAGACGGCGCGAACACGAATCAAACCCAGCGACGTGGATGCTGAGATGACGGACGCCGACGTGAGTGATGGTTCTGGGCCATCTACACCTGTCAAGTCGACTCCGACGGTCACATTCACTACGCCCTCGAAGCCGACGTCACCAGCCAAAGATGACATGGACATTATCAAGCCGAAGGATCCAGATCCTTTCCTCAGCGTTGATATGGAGAACTTGAGAAACCGGCGCCGCGGTTCGCTCGCACCCCCGACCCCTCCAGCCGAGTCTCCCAGCACCCCAACTACCAACGGAATCCGACAACGCATGATTGACATGACCACTCCTGTCAAGTTTGCAATCCCCTCCTTATCCCCTGATTCTGAAGGTCCTTCTAAAAAGGCTAGGATCCTGCCGAGACGGCCCGCTCAATCCGCGAAGGCGGTCTTGCCCGATGACATGCTAGTTGCCATCTGGCAGTGGCTTGATATCGTTGAGCTCCTACGCCTACGGCAGGTCTCCACGCACTGGCGCAAGATCCTCGCGACCTCCCCCAAGCTATGTCGTGATGTTGATCTAACCCCACACAACCGCATTCTGACGGACCATGTGCTTGTCTCGGTCATAGCTCCCTTCATTGGCCCCCGTGCTCTATCGGTAAACCTGAGCAACTGTTTCCACATCACCGATGAGGGCTTCTCGGCTCTGTGGAAGGTCTGCGGCAAGAACGTCAAGACGTGGAGGATGAAATCTGTCTGGGATGTCTCTGCCAACCAGATCCTGGATATGAGCGAGCATGCCAAGGGTCTTGAAGAGGTCGACTGGAGTAATTGTCGCAAGGTTGGCGACAACCTTCTGGCGCGAGTGGTCGGCTGGGTTGTTCCGGAGCACCCGCCTCAAGGTGCCAAGCAGCAGGTGGTTATCTCAAGCTCTCGCGTCAGGGGGCAGAAGCCCCAGACGCAGACCATCACGCTGCCACCAGCTGGGACCGTGATAGGCTGCCCGCGGCTCAAACGACTGAACCTGTCGTACTGCAAGCATATCACTGATCGATCGATGGCGCACCTCGCCGCCCATGCGTCAAATCGCCTACAGACACTGTCGCTGACCCGATGCACGTCGATCACCGATGCCGGCTTTCAGTCTTGGACACCCTTCCGCTTCAGCAACCTGACACACCTCTGCCTAGCTGACTGCACCTACCTTTCAGACAACGCCATTGTAGCTCTCGCGAACTCAGCGAAGGCACTGACACACCTCGATCTCTCATTCTGCTGTGCGCTATCCGATACCGCGACAGAGGTCGTTGCCCTTGGTCTGCCCATGCTACAGGAGCTTAAGATGGCGTTTTGCGGCAGCGCGGTTAGCGACAACAGTCTCGCTTGCATTGCCCTGCACCTCAACGACCTACAGCGCCTGAGTGTCCGCGGATGCGTGCGTGTCACTGCTGCAGGCGTGGAGAGCCTCCTTGATGGCTGTTCGCGGATGTCTTGGTTAGATATTAGTCAATGTCGCAACATAGAGGGTTGGGTGAATGCCGGCGGGGTTGGCAAGTGGGGATACGATGAACGTATCAGTCAGGGACTTGATCGCACTGCTATTAACGACGCGGAAGGCGACTGGGAGGCACAAAGTCCCCCAATGCTCAAGCGGATGAGCATCCTGCCGCCTAGGTCTATGAGCTTCGGCAGTCGCAAGTCGAGACGACCGGTAGCGTTTGTAGTCGAAAAGGGGCCCGGTGGCCTGCGGTAGCGTTTCCGATAGAGGACCAGGTTTGGCATACACGCAGCACAACACGATTTGACGTCGGGGCGGGCATTATCTGGTGGCTTCATAGCGTTTCATACTGCTTATTCTACATATGGGAAGATATGACGGACAAATACCCTGTCGCACATAGAGCGGAGTTATGTGGTGGAATGCATTTAGGTATGGTAGGGCCGGAACCCATCTGTATTGTACCGATTTTACGAAACCCTTTGGCTTTGGGATTGCGTGAACCAGGTAGAATATGCAGAGAAATCGCCAAATATAGCGACCCAGTAAACACAACCTTTGCATACAAATCACACGTTAAAGTTGGATCTAAAGGTATTCCCTGTGGGTAACGAGGGGGGTACTGGGGTAGACTGAGTGTGGGCGACCATGGCTGCATTACATGCTGCGCATGAGCACAGTCTTCTTCAATCATCGCAAAGACTGAGCATTTCCATCAAGGCTCACTGGAAAGAGTGGACTTGGTCTACACACTCTCGGCGGCTTATCAATCCCCCGTCCGTGTGTTATAGCATAAACGATTTGATAAGCTGGTGGATCGGAGGTGGACCGACTAGACCCGCTCTATTCGGAGCAGCCGCCACGGCGTGGCTTGGGATGCCGAGCCGTCGCCGTCTTCACGGTATTTATGACATCAGAAAAGAGGGAGGGAAATTTTTCATAAAATCGACAATTCGCAAAGGTAAACTCTGGGTTCCAGGCATTTGATTGAATCGTTCGACACGTTTCCACCTGTGCATCTTGACAGCGGACATAATCGACAAACCATTCAGACCAAAAAAAAAACACACAACCTGCGAAGATGAAGCAGTGGGTCACAAATCAGGATGGCTTCGACAACCTCAAGCTGGTCGAGGCACCTAAGCCGGACGAGAATGCACTGAAGGAGGGCGAGGTCTTAGTGAAGGTGAACCGCGTTTCACTTAATTTCCGTGACACCGAGGGTATGTTACGATGCCTCCAGGCCCCGGTCTACATTTCTGCGGTGACTGACTAGGGCGTATAATAGTCATCATGGGTCTTTACGGGCACCACGATTCAATGTCGCAGGGTGCAAGTGGACTGGTGCCATGCTCCGATATTTGTGGCAGCGTCATCAAGGTCGGCTCCGGAGTCACCACCCTGAAGGAGGGCCAGCGTGTAATGGCCACGTTCAACCAAACACATGTGAAGGGACAGGTCCTCGAGAAGGACATGATCTCTGGGTTGGGACTCCCTGCTCCAGGATGCCTGACAGAGTATCGCGTATTCCAGCACTACGGGCTGGTGAAAGTGCCCGATTATATGACCGACGAGGAGGCTTCGTGTCTACCCATTGCAGCAGTCACGGCCTGGATGGCCATCAACTCGTTCCAGCCGATCGGTCAGCCCATGGCAGGAAACGACAAGGTGGTGCTGCTCCAGGGAACTGGGGGTGTCTCAACCTCGGGCCTGCAGATTGCCAAGGCCCTCGGCTTGACCACCATCGTGACCTCGTCGTCGGATGCAAAGCTCGAGCGTGCCCGCAAGATGGGTGCCGACCACACTGTCAACTACAAGACGACCCCCGAGTGGCACAAGGCTGTGCTGGAGCTCACCGGAGGAAAGGGAGCCGATGTCATCTTCGAGACTGGCGGTGCCGAGACCCTGGCCAAGTCTTTCGACTGCGTAGCGTTCGGTGGCTTGATCAGCTGCATCGGATACCTCTCGGGCAAGGAGGATGCACCAGGTAACAGAATGAACACCAACTTGCTGGCTCTGAAGCGCAACGTCACTTTGAAGGGCATGTTGAACGGACCTGCGGATCGGTTTGAGGAGATGTTGGGTGTATATGCCAAGGCTCAGATCCACCCGGTGGTGGACAAGGTCTTCGAGTTCGACCAGGCGAAAGAGGCTCTACATTACCTCTTTGGAGGAAAGCACTTTGGCAAGGTTGTCATCAAAGTGCCATAGATGAGAAATATATAGGCCGGCGGCCGTTTGGCAAGAAGTATATCTACCAGCCATCTCGAGGGCTTGCGTTGTGTTCGGACAGCGGCATCGTACCTCCAGACACAAGGTATTCGTTCATCGCATGTCCAAGGCCGGTGACCCAGCTCGGCCCCTCATCCGGATAGCCTCCGTGCCACGCCAGTCCTTCATAGAGACCATCTATAAGTTCGCCACATATGCAAGCCGTATCCAGGCATAAAACCTCCTGGATCGCCGGGAGGAGCTCGAACCATGACCTACTGGTCAGCTCTATGGAGCATATGCACAGACTTCTTAGGGTTTCCTTGTGAGCACCGAGAACCCCCAGCAAGTCCTGCCCCTCGCATTCAAGCCCTCCGAGTGAAAGGCTTTCGAGATGCGACCAGTGATGGCCCGGCGTAATGATGTCCGGCAGGCAAGCGGGTTTCGGTATTCGCCCTGCGTAACACCCCAATGTGATTCTTAGATCCCTTAGCTTGTCCAAGGACGAAAGAAAACGACCGACGACTCCCGTGCCAAAGAGATGCTTAGAAGCCGGCTCGGAAGCCCCGTCTGGTCTCCCAGCTAACTCTGTGCTCGCGTTCAACGAGAGCTCAACCATCGTCAGGTTTTGAAGCGATGGCATTGCGTGGAGTCCCGTGCCCAGCCCCTTGGAGAAGAAAGTCCAATCGAGGTTTTCACAAGCGAGGGACCGCAGCATGATAGTACTCCCCGGCAAGGATGAAAGAAGCGAGCGTAGTTCGCGACATCCGGTTGGTTTTGATCGAGTAAACCTTTGGTTTAAACGTTTGATCTTTTTGAACGGACCCATGTTGTTGCCCGCCTGTCCTTGACGTGGGCGGTCACGGTACCTCACTTCAATTTCCTGGAGGTTCCCTAGGCGGGACACAATGCCCTGGAGCATGCGGCAGTCTTCATCGAGTTGGATCATCTCGATCTGGCGATCTGCGATCTTCTCGTACTCCTGAAACATCTCATTGAGCTCCTCTGTTGCTGACGGCGGGGCGTGGGTCTCCCGTGTATTGAGCCGGTGTGTACGTTTCTCATAGTCGAGGATCAAGTCCACGCGGTCCTTCTTCCGGCCATCTGACTTCAGCTCCAATCTGTTGGTAAAGTACACGAGCGATACAACATTCTTGGAGATGATGGGATGGCGTGATAGCAGCTCGAGCATCTGAAAATCATCATGGTGAAAGTGGAATTTCAGACGGCGATGGGAGTAGCAAGCTCCGACGTCGCCGTAAGCGCGGCATGTCAATCGAAAGTTGTATATGTCGTTTGTTTCCAAGTGCGAGCAAACGACATGAACAAGCTCTGCCGAGAGGCGATCCATCACTGCAATGGCAACGCGTCGCGGAGCGGCTCGGCAAATGTGGCCAGATTCATCAGGGTGGATGTATTCTGGGCTTACATCACTTAGACCCTAGCTGCAGCGGGGCTTAAAGTGGATATATGCATGACAACTCCCTTGCCATTATGTGCGTGTGGATAGTCCTGCCAACGCTAGACAGCCTATTTCTAAGATGTTACATGCACTTCAGTGTGTAAGGAACTCCTCGTTCATATGTAAATTATTTGAATCATTCGCTATGGACTTGGAAGACAATTGGGCAGAAACGAAGGTGGCACAGCTGGCTCACTAGAGACTTCCCTCTGTCAAGGACTAATCGTGACGAAGTAGATGATAACAGTCTTCAGGCTTACTTACAACAGAAACCAACTTTCCGATCCTCCATGCAATGGAAAATTCTCTATACTAGCCCTCGATGGCTGGCACAGAGGGCATGGGTATAGACTCAGGACCACGAGGCCCTACGTTTCCCCTCTTCATGAGCACCCGCTCATGCTCGCCATTTTCAAGGCGCGTGATCCAGTCCTCGGGTTTGAACTCAACGCCGAAAGGATTCTCGGCGAATGCAGGGCTCGAAAGGAAGGCTTTACTATCCTCCGCCGTCTCGAAGACGTCCACCTGCGTTTCAACCTTGTTGCCGTCGGGATCCAGGTAGTACATGCTCACGGTCGGTCCGTGGTTGACGGACCAGAAGGGCAAAATCCCATGGGCCTTGCGTTGTTTGTAGGCAAGCAACAGATCGTTGAGCGTGTTGAACGTGAAGGATACATGGTCCATGCCGGCGGTAGCTGGGCCTTTTGGCGTAGTTCCAGGAACCTGGGCAATTGCGATGCGGTGATGCTCGTCATCATAGGTCAGAAATGACAGTGACTCGTTCTCGTACGCGGCATGAGCACCAAGGAAGGTCTTGTAAAAGTTAACCATCGGCTTGAAATTCGAGGTTCGGAAGACAACGTGTGCCAGTTTGGCAGGCGACATCACAGGGCTGGCTGTGGCATCCTGAAGTTTGGTATCCATTATATATGATGCCGTTGGATGATATCTCAATGATTGAATAAAATGGTAATGATTGATTCAGTGTTGCAGGATGATTCAAGGGGAACAACAGAAATAGAGAGACACGACCTGTATTTATATTCGGTGCATGGACATTCTATAACTTGACCATGCAGGCGCGGGGAACATTTGGCAGGACATTCGAAAGTTCTTGGGCATGTCTGACGTGTCCAGCGTGGGCGACAGGAAGGACAGAGTTGCTGCCGTCGGGGTTGCCACACCACAATTGTTACACATTTGCTTCTCCAGTACACTTGATTACTGAGAAGTTGGATTTTAGTTGTGTAGGCGCGCGGGGGATCGCGACGCGAGACTTGGAAAGTCTCCGGTTAGACCACCTTGGAACAAGGGGTCTGTTGTTCTGCCCCTCAAACCAATAGTCACCCTTGGACGGGCTGACCTCTACTCATGAGATACTCCAGCTGATCCGTTGAGTTGTTGCTACGGACTGAAGTGGGGAAAGCATGGGACTTACGACACTTACCTTGTCCAACGTTGATTTTCCGTTCCTCGCGCGCGGCAATGAGTAAGCAACGGTTCCACCGGGAATACCGCCGGAGGCTGGTTTTTCCAGAAAGTCCTGGTTCTAATGCCATGATTTACGAGCATTGCAGTTTGCACAACCGACGCTTGCATCTCAACCTGTGAAGAACCACCGCATGTACCAGACGTTCTGTTGTGGAAAGCATCTCTCACGGGAAAGGGCAGAGGCAGCTGGACATACGGAAGGGAACACCTTGGTGGGCTATGACTAAAGCCGAGCGGCAAGGCCTCCTGTGATGTCTGACACAATGTTGTCATACTTCTTGATCTGCACCAGTCAATAATGGAGGTATGTGCAGTGGCATTTCTCGTTGGAGTTGCACCAAATGCTCACCCCAACTTCTCCAAGGACGACCAGTCACGCAGGCCACTCCAACTTGTTGTTCTCTGGACGTCTTTTTGAAGTGGTCTTGCTCACTAATGTCTAGAATCCTCATCCCTTGCAACTTGAGATGCCCGCAACGCATAGTCGAGACACAATTGATTAATTAAGATTAGCCTAGGTCCTAATATGCCCCTACTATACAAAGCCGGCTGCTGCCTTAAGCCAACTGTGCCCTCATAGCCCCGGGGACTGCCAAGCTTGAATGAACATCTGTGAAGAAAGCCTTGGGGTCGGCCACAATCTGACTGACTTGAAACCCGGTGCCGGTATCGACGCCATTGGCCAACACCCCGGTAGTGAATGGCCCAGTGGTACAACCGATACTAACCCGGAGACCTTCGGGCTTGCTCGCGTCGACCGGGACGGGGTTGGGGAAAGCAATGCGCGGCGGGCCGGTGGCACCCCTGGCACCTTGATGAATGTGTGTCGCGGTCTTGGCCGGCGACTGGTATTCACCTCTGAAGCCGGCAATCTCAATACGATAGCAGATCGTGTTGGCAGATGGGATGACGCCGTAGGTGAATATACCAATGCTTCCCGGAAGGCCACCGGTGAATCTTGTCGCAGCTCCAGTGCCATTGACGACCTGATCCGGTGTTGCGATAACCTTGTAGGTTTTCGCAAAGATTTTCGATGCAGAGTCCCACTGCCACTGGCCTTTTTGGCCGTGCTTGATTTTGTTCCAGTCGATTCTGGTATAATCAAGCTGGGACCAAGCGATATGGGCGTAGTCGGCCCGAGACCAGTCAACGCGACCATAGTCGAGCTTGGACCAATCGATGTGGCTGTAGTCAACACTCTTGAAGTTGTATCCCCTGGGTGCGTTATCGTTCTGTTGAGGAGCGGCAGAAACGGAGGAAACCAGGATGGCCGACGTGGAAAAGATGGTAGAGAACTTCATTGTGATTTCGTGTAGTGAACAGGTGGGTACAATTCAGATGATGCTTCACATGTAGAATTCGGTGTTGACGAAACGGAGAATCCTCGAACTGTTATATATAAATCCTGGCCTATGCCAGTCGGGTGAAATCAATACCATCTGCCTTGGCCCACGTCTACGGCTTGCAGTGCGGCCGCAAGGGAATGCATTTGTCTAGCTGGTAAGTTGATGCTCGAAGCGCAACTCATTACCAGAGCGGACATTGTAAAGACAAACGCGTAACAAAAAGAGCCAATCACGATACAAGGTGATCGCCGCAGTTCAAAATTTAGCATCATATTTTAGTGATTTTCCAATAGTCCTTAGGCCAAGACGGATCTGTACGCTACCGGTACTGGAGCACTTTCCTCATTTTCTCAATGAGACTTGTCTTGGAAAAGAGTAAAGCACCATAACACTGAAATAAGTCCTCGATGTACACGTTGAGGCTCTTCTGAATAGAGCTTCCTAAGAAGTTAGGCTAGTGGATTGTCTCAGACAAATTATCTGGGCATTACACAGGTGCCTTGTGCCAAGACGCCCGGCTGCTAATATCTCCGACATACTAATCTTCCACGTAGCGGCGCTGACGGCGCCAAGTCACCTAAGTAGTTGCTCACTGGCAGCAATCAAAGGTTATATGAAAGACAGACCAGATGGCGGCGGCCGAGGAGATGTGGTCGTCGCGTGATATCGCATCATGTCATGTGACCTATGAATGTCGTGCTTTTCATGTCCCAGGTTGGTAGATTCCGTATCCCGTCCTGCTGTGCTTGCGGTATCGAGCAAGCCTCTTTCCAGCAGAAGTCCTGTAGTGATCATGGATCTAGAATGAGATATGGCTCACGCCGAGTACAAGGACAGACGCGCTCCGGTTAACAGTGAAAACTTCAAACCCAAGGGACGTACAGTCTCAAGTGGTGTCGTGACAATGACGAGGTGAGACCCGGCTTATAGCGCAGGCGACTGGAAGCCGCCATTATCTAGGTATCTAGACGAACACTTACACTGGGGCTCTCTGGGATACCATCTAGAGACTGTTCCCCTGTTCTTAATGATTTGGGTACATAAATTGCGGTGAATTGATTTGAGACTGTGCCAAGAAGCCCAAAACTTTGGTATCTCAACATCGTGTGCTATTTTCACTGTTGAATTTCGTCCATCAACTTGTGATTGGCTACGAATATATCCTTGCCTGCAAGTATCGCAGTGCCTAGTCTCATCCCAGGGTCTAGACCATAGCCACATCTCAGGGGCCCACAAGGCGAGGAGGCCGGATGTTTATGAACATAGGCTCGCCTGTTCTCAAGTCACTCCACCCCGTGATCATGGATCCCGGGCAGCGGCCCAGGACACTGGCACAGATAACGCAATCATGATTAGGCGCATATATAGCTTAATCATTCACAACAATTCTGCGTGTGCGTTGGAGATTCGCAATGCGAGTCGCGTCTGCAAGTCGCTATATGCCAGCATCGTCAGTAAGCATCCACGGAGCCGTTTAGTAATGTGCTAATTTGATTATGTTTGAATCAATGTAGGCCGGGCAGTATTAGCAAATTCTGATATAGTCCACAGGACCAGGTTGGCTACAATACTTTCCATGCAGGCTTAGCAGAAAGACGTCAGCCCTCCCAGGTAATTAGTATACCAGAGCACATATCGGATGGATACACCACAAGCTCACCAACTTGCTCCTTGGCCCAAGACAGACCCAGGATGAGGGAGAAAGTTTGGTTGGATACAGCGTGTGAAGCTGCTCGCTGGCGTGGCAGGATGATAGAGTACATTTCATCCTCATTATTCGACCATCCCGACACCCAGGGATGGAGCGGCGAGTGCCGCTAGTCCTCCGAACGCGGCTGCATAGATAGTACGGTTTACGCCCAACGGATGCAACGAGTTCAGGGACTTGCCATTGCAAATTATCACTTGGATCCACGCTACTTGATCTTATGATTAGGGAGTTCCATGGAGTTGCAGTGTTTCTTACCGTGGAGGCACAGTCGCGAGTCACCAATGATTGCGGCGTGTCGGCCGGATGGTCGGTCCCCGGGGATAATCGGATACAACTAGTGTTGGTAAATAAGCAGCGGCCGGACCCACGGAATTGCCAAGCGGCGATCCTGGCAGCGCCAGCCACTGAGCTTTCACGCCTCAAGTGCCTCAAGTGCCTCAAGCAGTGAAGGCTTGGACTGTTGCGAGTCTCGGTCCGACATCTGCACGTCATCACAGACAGAGGGGGAGAGAGAGAGAGAGAGAGAGCGACGGGACTGGACTGGACTGGGATCGAAAGTCACCGTCGACTTCCTGTCTAGCGACCCTTTTGTTGTCCTCCAAGAGGGGGCAAGTGAAGGCCGGAGCCGGTTGAGCCATTATGTACTTGATTACTACTCGAGCAGTCCTGCCCTGTGCCATCCTGTCCCTGTATGTAAGCAGTGTTTAGCGTCTCTGCAGGATCCAGCCACGGCGATTGCCGTGATTCAGCAAGGCTGTGGACCAGGTCATGGGTACGCCGTAGGGCGGGGGTTTATTCTTTGGGTAGGCGTACAGATTAGTGTGTACCGTAGTCATGTACCTCTGCAACAAAATCTCCCAGCTACTCAAAACTTACCTTCTACTATCTACGTCACGGACTTCAGCCAGCTTCCCCCCCTTCCCTTCGCGCGGCAACCCGCCGTCTGTCTCAGTCGTGCATTCGTCCCAAGCGATACTATCGAGGAATACGGGGGCCCTGCGGCGCCCCTCGCGAAGATCGGACGGTCATTGCTGGAACTGGGCGGGCCTCTAACACAATGGCTACCGCATCGCCCCAGGACGATGACTCGAGTCCGATGGACGTATCGGCCGGCCATTCGCCGAACGGCCTTGGAGACTCTACAAACACTCCGACAAACTCGACACCTCGCGACGTGCGTGCTCCGGCTGCCGGCGCGGCCCCCGGCATTAGCCACAACGGCACCGGGGGTATTGTGATCGACCCAAGCGTCGAGCCGTCGTCGGCTCTGAATCCGAGATCCTGTGTGACCTGCCGGCGCCGTAAGGTCCGCTGCGACAAGCATATGCCGTGTAGCAATTGCCGCAAAGCACACATCTCCTGCATATTCCCTGCGCCAGGGCGAGCGCCGCGACGCCCTCGCCCTCGAGATCCCCACGCGCCGCCGAAGCAGACGACGGAGCGCGAAGTCGAGCTGATCAAGCGTTTGCGGAAACTCGAGGGCATCGTCGAGGAGCTCAGCGGCCAGATCGAAGTCGAGGCGCGCCATCCTGCGAGTATCGGCGGATCGCCCGATGACACCACCGACGATATAGACAGGAGGCGACAGGTATCTGCTTCCTCGTCGAGCTATAATCTTCCCGCCGGGTTGCCTGCACTACCTCCAGCACCGGGTCGTTTGATGAAGACGAGCAGTTGGGGCCCCTTGCAGAGTCCTACACTTGGAGTCAACAAGGATTTCGGCCGACTGGTCCTCAATGATAAGGGCAAGACACGCTACGTGAGCAATGCGTTCTGGTCCAAAATGAACGACGAGGTAAGATTTCCCGAGGGTTTCATCTGAAGCTATGCATGATTGGCTAAGTTTATCTGCTATAGCTCGCACAAATCAGGTCCGAGACGCAAAAGCTTACTGATGAAGAGACCGACGAGTCTGGTGACGAGGGCAGCTCCCCGGAGACGCTGGATTCCGAGAAGGAGCTCTTGACAGATCACCATGCATTCATTCTTGGCTACAGGTCCTCGGATGTTGACCTGCGCAAACTTCACCCCCTCCCGTCGCAGATTCCCTTTATTTGGCAAGTCTACACCGAAAACGTCGACCCGCTGGTGAAGATATTACATATACCGTCAATGAACAAAGTCATTCGACAAATTAGAAGCGACATGGACAGCATCTCCCCAAACTTGGAGGCCCTCATGTTTTCCATCTACTACGCAGCCATCACGTCGCTGGAGGAGGATGAGGTAAGTGGATATACTCGTCCTGCTAGGCAAAGGCTGACTAGTTTTGCAGGTTAAAACGAACTTTGGAGCCGACAAGTCGCACTTGATTAAGCAGTATCGGTACGGGACAGAGCAGGCTCTGGCAAAGGCCAATTTCTTGAATACCTCGGATCTCGTCGTGATCCAGGCGTTCACACTTTTCTTGGTCCTGGTTCGTCGTTACGACGACACGCGATTCTCCTGGACACTTACGGGGCTATTGATCCGCATCAGCCAGTCCATTGGGACACACCGAGAAGGAACCCACTTTGGCAACCTGACGCCATTTGAGGTTGAGATGAGGCGTCGTCTATGGTGGGCAATATGTGTTCTGGACCTCCGATCGGCCGAGGACCAAGGCACCGAGTTGACCATCGCCGAACACACGTTTGATACGCAGTTCCCCATGAACGTTAATGATTCCGATATCTCCCCCGACATGAAAGAATTCCCACGCGAACGGCAGGGGGCGAGTGACATGACCTTCTGCCTCATCCGATATGAGATTTGCAGCTTGGCCAGGAGGCTCCACGCCGCCAGCAACCCGATGGCGCCCTGTCCCAAGGACACCCAACTAACGCTACAGCAGCGCGAGGATATGCTGCTTGAGATGTTTGAACGTGTGGAAGACAGATACTTGAAACCCGAAACGGATCAGAACGTTGATCTGCTCCACTGGGTGGCCGCAGCCATAGCCCGATTGATCATGGCGAAGATGAGCCTGATTATATACCAGCCGGTCTTATTCCCTTCTCCTGGACAAGAAGTCTCCCAGGAGGTCCGCGATCGCCTCTTCAATTCTTCCACCGAGGTAGTCGAGTATAACAGACTCCTCAACAGTGAACCGAAGTGCAAGCAATACCGTTGGCTTTTCCAGACGTACACTCAATGGCACGCTGTTGCGTACTTGCTTCTTGAAGTCTGTCGCCGGCCATGGTCAAGCTCTGTGGAGAGGGCATGGTTGGCCCTCAATAGCGTCTTTAACAACACAGAACCGCACGAATTCAACAAGTTGGCCCAAAACGGTGCCGTGTGGCTGCCATTGAAAAGGCTGATGCTCAAGGCAAGAAAACACCGAGAAGAGGAAGTTACTCGTCTCCAGGGAGACCAAGAGGCAGCCCGAGAGCTCGACTTCAGCAGCTCAAAGACCCCGCCGGCAAGTTTCCAGCACTTGCCTAACTCTGTGCGTGAAACAATTGCTCAAGATCGTTGGCGCAAACTGGTCGGATTGCCAGCACCGGAGAAGAAATTCACCCACGGGGGTTGCTTCGAAAGTCCGGCCCCGACTGCGAATGTGGCGCCAGCACCCCCAACGCAAGTTGCCGGACAACCTCAGATGTCACAGACGCATCTCGATTACATCAGCAGCGTCATGTCCCAGCCCAATTTCCACCCTGTCGACTTCTGGTCCGCAGCGTTCCAGGAGAGCTCGGCCGACATCGCAAGACAAGCCATCCTTGGCAATGGCCTCCAATCTGGAAACTTGTCTGAGCAGCAGCAACGGCAACAGTCACCGATGCCAAGAGTGTCAAGTAATGGCAGTCCGATCACGAACAAGGGTGGAATTGCCTTCCCGCGTGAGAGTGTCTCTACACCTCTTTCAAACTCCCAGACACCTTCGCAGGTGCCCCTTACGACGAATATGCCTCAATCATCTGTGCTCGCAGCAGCCACAGGAATGGTGGATGATAACCCTCCGCCATGGCTCTGGTCAGATGCATGGAAATGGAACGATCCACAGGCAACTACCAATGCCGCTAGCAATGCCATCATCCCGACCGTTGACGAGGGTGATATCAACATGGATGAGGAGTTTGACTGGCAGGACTGGCAGCAAAGCATCCGTGGCTTTGAATTGGATTCAGGTTTTGGGATCGGGATGTCTGGTGGAGGGTTCTCCGGTGGTATTTGAAACATCGGCATGTTCCTGGCCGTATCTGGTGTGTACATGATGGGTTTGGGGGCCTCGGCGCGAAGAGATTTGGACTGATGATACCCTGTTTAGTAGCAGTAATTGATTTTGGGACTGATTGAACAAAATACATCGTCTAATTGCGCCTTCGAAGTTGAATACTCGGAAGAGACTCTGGCCATGCTTCAGGTTATGCCTACGTATATTGATCCATTCGAACACAAGTTTACCAGAGGCCGGCTGAACGTTAGTGAGATCGATGCCTGCTCATACGTTCCTAGCGCGTGATGGCACCGGCAGCCCAGGCTGCTACGCTTCAGTCAGCTCTCCCAATTTCTGAGCAACCGACATACGTTATGCTAATTTCTCCGTGAAATACTCATCTAATTGGAGATGCTATTGCCTCGCGAAGGCCGATATATGAACCTAGGTACAAGGACTATTACCTTCGCCATGTGATTATCCTGTATAAAACTAGAGATGTTTTAGGATCTGACCATATAAAATGCCATTCCGGGTGAATTCGGAATTGTTGCCCGGCGTGAAGATTGTCCAATACGCCTGACTGCACCCGAGCATGTCTGATACGTAGACTAATAGCAGAAATAATGACAACTCTGTAACACCAGCTAGATGTATTACCTACTACGCGCAAAGGCCATTGCCAAATCCTTTGCGAGCAGCTAAATGATAGTACACAACTCTTGCCCACAATGCCACTGACAACTGTGCAGCTGTACAATGAAATCTCCTCTAAGCTCGAAAACCTACAGCAGCGACAGTCATAATGCCATTGGCACAAAGTGGCGAGGTCCTCTTTCGCTCATAACGCAGGTTGGCGCCTACATGTCTACTTCTCATTGGCTCGAGTTTGACTCCAACAACTAACCACCGTAATGCAGTGTTGCCGCTAGCGACGTGTTGGACTTGGATCACTGGTAAAAGCGGAGTGAAGATTGTTTTTAGCACAAGTTCAAAGTAGCGCATATACACACACGTGACACGCATGTGCAGGATGTTGCAAAGGCGTTCTCTAAACCCCCCAATACTAAAGAGCAAGTCATGCTGCGTTTCGCTGGCGCTGTCCACTTTGTTCCGTGTCCGGACTCATGATATGATGTGACCGATCCACTCTGGGCCTAATCTCCGCCCGGCGTGCTCCTTTCGGACTTCGCACCATGACCAACCCCGAACCACGAAACGAGTGGGTCCATTTTCACTGATGCCTAGTTGGGCATCTGAATGCAGCTAGTGATCCCTATAACAAGTGGACATAGTAACTATCTACGATACATTTTACGAGTTCAAAGTCTCCGACGTGGAGTAATACAACGTGCGAGAACAATCCTGCTCGGCGATGACACTCTTCCATCGTCCGGAAGCTAGGAAGTTCGTTCTGCAAGTTCAAGGCTATCGCAAAATACAAGATGTGACTATCAAGAGTATAACTAAGAGGACCTCGTCTTGAGCCAGACGTGGAAATTGTCACCAGAACCTGCATTCTACTGCTGTACGGCTTATTCAAACGCTCGAAATACTACTTGATTGGTGCAAGCCAAGAAAAAAAAAACTGGTCATGGCTTTTGATCCTTCTGTGCTGCCCAAGGATTTCCTTGTCACTTCTTTTCAATTCACAAAGAATGTGCATCGCGACCAATACCCCTCGATTGACCCCACAAAGCCCGAAATCGCTCTCGACGGAAAGGTTGTGGTGATTACTGGTGCAAGCCGTGGTATTGGGGCCAAGGCCTTCGCCCCGGCATTTTCCAAAGCTGGTGTAAAGGCACTCGTTCTCATTGCGACGAGTGTTTCAAAGCTCTACGCCGTCGAGGACGAGGTCAAACTGATCAATCCTTCGATCCAAACATTGTCGCTGGCTGTCGACATAACAGACAACGTCTCTGTCGAGAAAGCTTTCTCCAAAATCGAGAAAGAAATCGGACATGCAGACATACTCATCAATAACGCTGGTGTTAGCAATGAAACCTTCGGAGCCTCCTTTGCGGACGAGGATCCGGATGTTTTCTGGTCCAATTTTGAGGTCAACGGGAAAGGCACGTATCTGGTCACGCGTGCCTTTATCAAAAGCCTCCCCAATCCTGATACATCTGCTGTTATCATCAACATGATATCTGGTGCGGGGTGGGTAATTAACCCGAGCCATTGCGCCTATGGAGTATCAAAGCTGGTAGCTCAGCAGTTAACCGTCAATACCGCGGCTGCTTATCCCAACATGACTATCGTCGCCTTGAATCCTGGGCTGATCGACACAGATATGGTACCTCCCCCTCTGCGGCCGCTCGGATTCGACACGCCGGAGTTGGTCGGAGGGTTGGCGGTGTGGCTGTCACATCCACATGCGAGGTTCTTGAGTGGAAGAACGCTGTGTGCTCACTGGGATGTCAACGACCTCTTGGAGAGGAAGAATGAGATTATCAATAGCAGTCAACTAAGGATGGCGCTTGTTGGTCCATTTGGTCCACAGCAGTTTCGATGATCTAGACCGGAAATCATGATCGGATGCATGTCAAAAGCTAGCATCTAGCTCGTTGCAACTGAAAATTCCATAGAGATTACCGATCCTGAATACGAGCAAGTGAAAATTGGGTGAGGTCACAGGTCACCATTTCGCAAACATTTCCTCCATTCCTCGAAACCCAGGAAATAGTCTGGGTATCTAGTTTGAGTGCCGACTAAGTTAGTCCCGGCAGGGTTGTGGATTCCAATCAATTACCTATGAATCTCTTGCAATAAATCAGATTGAAATGGGATGGCTGTGATTTTCTTGTTTTATTTCAGCCTGTCATCGGTTGTGGGTTAGCTCGGGATCCTATACCTGGGTGTTTACCCTTGTGTGTGAGTCAGCCGGCGATGCATCGTGAGTCAAATGTAAACGGAAGCGCATTAAAAAACAATTCCCATCCGTCAAAGTTGTTCAATCAAGTTGCTCAACTGGTATGAAACAACTGAAGAGTCGAGTGTTGCCGTGCTGTCGCGAGTACATCTCGACACGCTGCCTATCACTCCAAAGATTTAGGGTCCAGCTCAACAACGACAGAAGGAAAGGCCTGTATGCTTATGATCATGCTCGACTTTGTCTTGCTTCCTTTCGACATACACTGTGAGGTCATGCAAAAGCTTGACTTTCGATCCACCCTAGCGTTGAGGCGGGTGAACCGATACTTCTATGCCAATCTTGATGTGAAATGGCTATCTCCAGATGCCCGTCGCCCGTTCCTTGTCGAGGCTGAGAGATTTCCTCAAAACCAAGACAAGCTGGCTTGCTTAAAGTGCCTTTGCATGCTGCCTAGAGAGATGTTTGGAAATGCGCAGCGGGCGCGGAAGAAAGCCAAGAACTTCGCTGCGTCAAGTCAGCGAGGTAGTCGCTTTTGCTGGAATTGCGCCAGGGAGCATAAGCTCTACCAGCACATGTGCACTGTTAAAAAGGGCGGAGAGTGGTATACTCTGTGCTGGAAGTGCCGGCGCTTTGGTACGAAAGCCCGCTCCTGTTCAGTTCCGGGGTCTAGCGAACCTTGCAATCGCAATAGCTGGATGGATGCGAACTGGACCTGTTGGGAGGAGAGAATGGAAGAAGCACCTTCCATTGAAACACTTCCGCGAAGTCTTCAACAACGAATAGTGTCCTTACTATCCTACAACGATGCCATTTCCATGGTAGCAACATCATGGCAGTTCCGCCTCCTGGTAGACCCGCAGAAGTGCTGCCTACATGACAAGTTCAGATTTACTTTCCAGCACGTACTGGTGGTGGCTATTGAAGATGATCGGGTTGCATGCTATACGTGTTTTCGGGTACTGCCTAGCGCGCAATTTTTCGCCAAACAACCGGAGCTGGCCCGCGACTACACGGACACCTTTTGGAAGCGGAGGTGTGAGATCTGCACCCGGAGAATGTACTGTTCACCCAAGCCCCACGGAATCTTGGCGGAATGGAAAAGCTGGGAGTTGTGTGCGGACTGCAAGTTGCTCAAAGTTCAAGACCAGGAATGTTTAGGTTGTCTGGAGCAAGTCGCTCACGATCAAAACTGAATTATGGGCGACGCTGACAATGAACACCTCAACCCTTCGCCGTCTACTTAACCTTCTGTACCTACAAAGGACATTGAGCGCGACACTTATTAAGACAATGTCCTTATTGGAAGGCTTGTCACATGTTAATTAGCTGACAAGCAGATTTTGGGTTGTTCACGCGTTGTAGTACAATAGACTTTGGTTCTACTGATATGGCATGCGTAGTATCTTCACACGTAACAAGATAAACACCTTATTCTATAAGGAAATGTTACAAGGTGCAAGGAGACTCGTTGCCAGGGCCGAACCAACCTATGGCATAGGAAGCCTCAGTACAAGGAAAATGCCGTCCCGGCATGGCGAGTCATTCGTGACCGTAAGGTAGCTTGATGGCATAGACGACACGGGTCCATAGTGATAAGGAAATCGTACGAACCTCCTCCTTATTCAATAGTAGAAAAATGTAACGGGATAGCTAGCACTTGAGCCACGTTTGTATACTGCCGACGTTGCTAGGCTTGGCTGCCTGGCTCTAAGTAAATGACAAACAGAGGAAAATCAGCTTCAAAGTAGTCCGCATGAGGACCCACTGCTCACGCACTGGGACCTAGTGTTGACTCTCTAAATAGGAGCTCGGCAAAGTTGAGTTGAGGTTAACGTCCTTGGCATAGGGGTGGATCAATATGGGTCTAATTCTGACGGGCCGATGGCGGCGTTTCCGTAGGTGCCTCAGCTAAAAATGGTCCGTGCTGCTCCGAGATTCGATTGCCCCGGCGCGGCAGCACGCCGTAACTACGTCGCATCAGCCACCGGAGACAAAAGGGACCTGTGCGATAAACCTTCTCGCACCGCAGAATCCGACCTTATCCGTTGATACAACCCACGCGGCATTACTTGACGAGGGCGCGATGGATCCAGGAAGACGAACCTTGATAAGCGGGCGTAAGTCCCCCCCTCGCCAGATTATCACATCTCCTAGACGGGACCCAAACAACAGGATCACGAAGCCCGCCCGCCCAGCTGGCAAGCCGCCTGCCGCCTACCTGACCCAGGATGAGCAGGCCAGGAAGTTCGTGGCCGACGAGGACAAGTTTGTGCTCAAGCAGTCCAAGAAGAAGGCCGACATCCGTGTGCGAGAAGGCCGCGCGAAGCCCATCGACCTCCTGGCATTCAACCTGCGATACATCGACACCGATCGAGATGTCTTTGACGATCACGAGGCCGATGTGGAGATAGACGTGCCAGCGCCGGTCGCGGTCATCGAAAGCCTGGACGTAGGTCAGTTGGAGGAGCTGGACGGGGACATCACCTCGTACCACACCCTGGAGATGAACAGTCAGAACCGCGAATATTGGACAGCAGTGCAGGCGCTCTGCTCGGAGAGGCGCCAGAAGCTCAGGCCCATGGGCGCAGAAGAGCGAGCCGTCAGCTCTGTGAGCGCAGACGTGGACAAGATCCTTGGGCCCAAGTCGCTTGAGCAGCTCGAGAAGCTCGAAGGACAAATCAAGGCCAAGCTCCGCTCGGACGAAGCAATAGATACGGATTACTGGGGCCAGCTGCTCAAGAGCTTGCTGGTATACAAAGCCAAGGCTAAGCTACAGAAGATTTATGCTTCTATCAAAGAGACCAGGATCGAGACCCTACGAGAACGGAATCCAGAAAAGGCCAATGCGATCGCTGCTGCCGACACAGCCTCCTCGGAGATGCCCTCGCGCAACGCCTCCGCCCCGACTGTTCCTTCGTCGTCGAAGCCTACTTCTGCTCTAGGCCTTGCCTCGCATGCGAGCGGCGCGGGCAACGCTCCCCCAGGGACCGCGCGCTTCTCTACCACCGGCAATGAGGACTTCTCCCAAGCAACCAAGGCGCTCTATGAGCGGGAGGTCGCCCGAGGGATCAGCGAGAACGAGGAGATTTTCACGGCTGAAGAGACAGTCCCTGGTACCGCCAAACCTCAATGGGCCGACAAGTACCGGCCGAGGAAACCGCGTTATTTCAACCGCGTGCAGATGGGCTACGAATGGAACAAGTACAACCAGACCCATTATGACCACGACAACCCACCGCCCAAGGTCGTCCAGGGTTACAAGTTCAACATATTCTACCCGGATCTTATCGACAAGACGAAGGCGCCCACGTTCAAGATTATTAGGGAGCATGGCAGACGGAGGGGCGAGTCGTTCGCTGCCGCAGGCGAGGAAGACACGTGCCTGATCCGTTTCATTTCCGGGCCGCCCTACGAGGACATTGCATTCCGAATCGTCGACCGTGAGTGGGATTACAGCGCGAAGAGAGACCGTGGGTTCAAGAGCAGCTTTGACAAGGTGTGTAATCGTCTCTTCTCCTTTCTATTTTGTCCCTTGCATCTGTTTCACGTGGTAAGGAGACCCCGTTCAACACGATCTACGGCTGGGGCTGTTTCTGCAGAATCATTGGTCTCCACGAACCCATTCACCCTTCCCGATGCCATCCATAGCAACAGGCTCAGCCACCCGTATACCCGCCTGACGCTCAGGCGCGCGGATATGAAGTCTCCCTACCAGTTCATTTCGTGTCACCATCCCTCCTGTTCCTGAAACGACCCTTGCACTTCACAGAGCTGATCTTCCACACTCATAGGGTATACTGCAACTTCACTTCCAGTTTAAAAAGGTAAGCACATCCCTTGCGAGATCACCGTGACCATTCCATCGGCACACCCATCGATACTGACCTGTCACTCGCAGATCTATTATCGCAAGTGACCTTGCAGTATGTGGTCGAGTCTTCTTTTTCTCCGCGGAGAATTCTCGACAAACAAACGCTCGTATTGTGGGGGCGCATTGCAAGGTTGCCATATGGGTGGCTTGGTAGCCAGTGTGGTCCTTCATGATCGTTGGGATTTCTGCATCGCTTCGATTCTTCGCACCGACTAGCCTGCACCAGATCTGGGGCGTTTGTGACACCACGTTCGGGCCACTGCTGCCTCACTCCTGGCCCATGCCGTGTGCCACGTCCCATTGCCTAATCGACGGAATTTGGTCTAGTAGGAGCAGTCTTTGGCGAGAGACCTGAAAATGAAGTGTGAATTCCACTCTTT